ACAACGTAGCCTTTTAGACAATTCAAGAGGCTTTCAAAAAAAAGGACAAATAGTCGATGAGAGATAAATAGAGAAGAAAAAAAGAGGTGATGTGGAGGAAAAACATGAGAATGTCGGATATTATTAAAACGAGAATCCTGCAGGCACACCGCAGCGGGGTGCAAAAATCACCCTGCATGGCTTGTCTAGAGGAGAAGCAATGACAGCTTTGTTACCACAGTTTTTGTTGCAGCACAGAGTTGTGATGCTTTGTCGGTCGGATCAAAGTGAGATTCAGAACCTTAATCTGCACGGTGTCAGGCTAATTCTGATTCCTGTGATGTTCACAGCGATGCGTCAGTACCCTCAAAATTGGATGTAAATGAGATCCCATAAGTACTGTGTTGAATATAGATTTTATTTACAGCTAAATATTTATAAGAGTAATTTCACTAGAAAAATATATCTAATAAAACGAGTGTGTTGTGCAGACATCAGCTAACTGAACTTCTTGTTTTCATTTTAATAACATCAGATTACGTTTGGTGGATGATAATCCAAGTTTTGCTCCCCTTTTCTGCAGCAAGTCTCAAGTAGATGCAGAACTCAGTTTGGTGGTTAGGTTTTTTTCTCAGCTCATGGAGAGAATTTATCCCAAGTGCTTAGTATGAAACACTTAAATTTTTATCAGAACTTGTAGCAACAAAAGTCATTTTCAAAAATGGATTTGGATGTTTCGCAAAGAATCAAATAAAAGTAATTTTAACCAAATAGATGTTTATTTGTATTTGTATTTGATCAACTAATTTCCATTAAATGAGGGGAGGGTGCCAATTGTCTGAAAGCTTAAAAACTTTCCATTAAGTATTTTTGAAAACATAGCTTAAAAATTCATATAATGTCTTAAAAAGGAAACATGGATAATTTTCTTTGGAATACTTTTATTTTTTTATGAGAACTTTCAGCGACACTCAGCAAGAGGAATGCCTTTTTAATCCAGAACTACTCTCGTGACCAAAGTGTTCCACCTTGTCACTTTCAAGTGAGTTATTTAGTTAATAATGTTTTTCCTCTTAATACTAAGTGCTGTTGAAACTCTGGTTTTCCTCTGTGTGCACAATGGGAGTGAAAATGTCCAGAACAGCTACTAATAAATTGCCATACTAAATATTTAAAAGCGTCATCACTTCTGGTTCAAAATGGAGAAAATGCTACAATTTTTGTTTTATATATATATATATATATATATATATATATATATATATATATATATATATATATATTATATATATATATTATATATGTATAGATAGATAGATAGATAGATAGAGATATATGTATGTATATTGCAAGCAAACTAAAATGTATTTTCTTCCCAAACGTAAGAATGTGTTTATTATTCTAAATGCTAATGGAAATTGAAAAAGTTTACAAGGAATACCAAAATACAAAAGTGACTTCACACTGGAGGCATCAGTGGCGCGGTACAGCAGTACCGCAGTGGAACATCGCAGGTTCAAATGGAATCCATTATAGTCAATAGGGTTGAAACTGGCTGTGGCGCATAACATTTCAGATGCATCCCACTGCGCCACCCAAGATAGGATTGGGTTCTATTGATGCAGTGAGCCGCTTCAGCTCCTGGAGCTTGTCAGTTTTTGCAGTTAACACAGACAGAAAATCACACACGGTTTTGGTGTAAAATGTTTGGTAATTTTCCAAATAAAAGACTATTTCAGTGATGTGATTTCACTTCTAGATTACATCTATCATGTGACCTCACAGCTTTATTTGCTACAATGTGTTTTTAATGGCTTTGATCCTGGCAATCCCTCATGGGTTTTGTGATCTCGCGAGTCCGATGAGGAGGATGACAGAGAAGCCTCTCCGTGGCTGAGACTCTAACCCCTTCTTTCCGCTGCACATCGAAGTGTTGCAAAACACAGTTTAGATTGAGCCCAACAGGAAGTCAAACACAAAAGCAGCATAGAACATCCGGAAACTTTCAAAATACAGGTCACGTGCAGTACACATTTCCTGTGAACTTATGTGGCCGACATGCTACGCAGACATTTTTTTGTGCATGCAGCTGTCTTTCTTCTTGTTTATTATTGTGTGTGAACGTCTGAAGTCACGTATGGTGTTGCAATTCCCCCGTGATTTAGTGATGTCACAGGATCAGCTGTGTGGAACGCTTTCACTTCCGTTTCGCATCAGAATTGTTCCCGTTTGGGAACAAGCTTGCGGATAGAACGGCGCTATCACGCTACGTAACCGCTTTCATGGCCGGTGGAAAGCCGAGGTAACAGTATGGTGCACAGCGAAGCTCGCCAGTAATCCGTTCTGCGTCGCTAATGCCTTGGAATGAGAATGGGTTAAAAACCTGGTGTCTTGGGTCGAAGCACATAATTCAACACCTACAGAAGAAAGTCACAAATGATGATTGGTGAAAAATAGAGCGCCATTCTGTTCAATTACAACGTATAGGCTTACACTAAATATATTTTTGAGTCTTTAAGACCTAGTTCACCTTTTTTTTCCAACACATTTGCAGTGGTCTCTTGATTCTCAGTGGCCTAGTAGTATGAGTGTAAATCCTGAGATTGGGAGATCGGGGTTCAAATCCTGGTCGGGTCATATCAAAGACCTTACAAACAGGGCCCAGTGCTTCCCTGCTTGACACTCAGCTTTAAGGGGTTGGATTGGGGGGTTAAACCACCAAGTAGTTCCTGAGCGTGGCCAGGTCTGCAGCTCACCACTCCCCATGGAGATGGGTCAAATCTGGAGGACAATTTTCACCACATACCAGTGTGTTTGACAACTGATGGGTCTTTAAATGATTGCTTTGAGTCAACCTCTGTGGGGGAAAAAAACTCTTGTGCTCCTGTTTCAGGAAGTAGAGCAAAGGAGACCAGGAAAAAGCAAGCTTACTCATTGTTTTCATAATATTCTCACATCTTGCCTCTGATTGGCTAATAGCAATGTAACTTTACCACTGACTCTGTTTGCTCTGCAAAGCTGATATTTATCTCCACAAATAACACAAGCCTGAAGGAGTTCTTCCATGTTGTGGAGGTGCAGATGCTAACCGTTAGCTTCTGCTACCTGAGATGTGCTCCTCTCCATCCTGGATGCTAAATCAACAACAGCCTTTCCCGTCATGAGTCAAAGTGGGTGACTCCATGAATGATAATTTTAGATGTCATGTAGATCTGTTTTTTCTTCCCTGCCTATTTTCTATCAGCGGCTAATGCAGGAAGTAGTGTAGAAAACTAGTTAAGCCTGGACGTGAAACTCAAAGTGACTGATTGGATTTCAAACATAAAGAGTATTATCCGTTTCTCAGCAAACTTGCCCTTTAATGCTAGAACTCAAATATACAGACCAGTGAAAACACAACAAGCTTCTAGTTAAATGATTAATTTAACATGAATAACCAGCTGAGTTCAGTTTCGCTAGCCACACCCAGGCCTGATTACTGCTAGCTCTTCAGAATTAAGAATTTACTTTCGTAGAACCTGACTTATAACATGAATTAAGCTAAAAGACCTCAAAATGCAAAATGCCCCTTTCTTAAGAAAAATGAGAACAAAAGAACCCAAAATATCATTGGAATTGCATGCCTGAGTTGAAGTGCTTCAAGACCAAAACCTCTGCTGGCCAAAATAACACAAAGAGCATTTGCCAGTAAAAATCTTGTTGATTCCCAAAACTTTTGAGAAATTTCCTGTGGAAAGACGAGTCAAACGTCGAACTTATTTATTATATTGGATGGTGTCTCATTACATCTGGTGTAAAGCAGCGAAGCACCAATATGAAATTTTAGGGCCGACACCAATATTAATATCACTGTTATGGCCGATAACCGATATTTGCTGATACCGATATACTGACACTAATGCTTCTAAAATCAGCAGATTTTGAATAGAAGGAAAATTATTAAAGCTGAATTTACATTATTATGAACACACACCACATACATTTACGCTTCTGAGATGATGAAAATAATTGTCTAAACAAATACACATCACCACCCTCACCCTCTGAAACAGATAAACAAATGGAACCAAGATGGAAAAAAAATTGTTTGTTAATATTGGCCTACTTTTATTTATCGGACCGATAAAGATATGCTAAAAAATGACTAACGCCGGCCGATACCAATACTGATGCCGATGTATTGTGCCTCCTTAGGCTAACATTGCAACAGTCAGGCATGTTGGTGGTAGTGTGATGGTCTGGGGCGGCTTCAGGACCCAGATGAATTGTTGTAAAGGTTGGTTTATGCTTGATGCGTCCGCGAGGTCCGCACGGCTCCGCACAGCCAAATTGCGTCATTTTAACAACCACGCCCCTCCACCGCGACTCCGCACGACCCAAAATTTCCGCGCACCTAGGAAATTTTCTAACCACTCGGACGGTCAGACGCGGAAAAACATGGCGGACTGGCAAGAACTAGTATGGCAGAGGTTCGTAAATACAGACATTTATATGATTCAGCTCTCAAAGATCACCGTGATCAACATGTTAATAATTCTTGGAGAGAAATAGCTCGCACTGTCGGAAAAGACGAGGACGCTGTTAAAAAATGCTGGAATGCCATGTTGTAAACAGTAATTTCTACTTCTACTATGGTGTAGTGTTGGATGCATGCTGTAGAGCTCCATGCTGCCCCGTTAAGTTTGGGAGAATATTGGCTCACTTCAGAGACAAGTCGCATGAACCATAAACGCTGCAAGTTGTGAAGCGCGTTCCATCCGCGAGCCGCATCACTAAGCGGAAAGTGAATGCGTCAAGCATAAACCAAGCTTACCTCGTGGACCCATGAAGGCTGCTCTCTACCTAAAGGAGAATGCCTGACCTATGACCTTAATCAAACTGTAAACATTGATATGAAACAGTTTAGTAAACAGAAGCTATATGTTATCACACCACCGGATAGATGCAATAAAATCTTTGCTGCAGAAAACTGCGCCATCTAAATTTGGCAATGAAATTAATGGAAATCAGACGAGACGAGCTGATGTAGCATTTCAAATGCATTTTTGACATTTATTTCTTGTTTTTTTTTTTGGATAAAACAAGTTTTTTTAACCTGTTGAACGTAAATCCTCTCCATGTTCCAGCTCTAAACTGAAACAGGCCATGTGTGTGTGTGAGGTGAATGAACGCTCACCAACCCACATGTACAGCACTCCTATCTTGAATAATTGTTTTATTTCCCACAAAGATATCTGCATGTTGCGGTGGCATCTGTGAACACTAACACTGTCAATAACAAGTTGTTTTTTTTAGTAGCAGAAAATATGGCTTTGCAGAAGACACTCGTGCAAACATACTCACATTCCATCTGGATTACATTCAAGGGTACCACGGTTTTATCAACACACATCATGATGCCAGCATCTGATTAGCAGTCAGAGAGACATGAAGTGTTTATTTCTGAAGCAAGCGCTGCATTGTAGCTAAAAACCAAACGGTTGCAGCTTTTCTGCAGCACCGTGAGGTGTGTGGCAGGATTACAGCAAGGGCAGCAGACAAGACACGAGCAACATTAGCAGGAATACATTCAGCTTTACAACATTTATAAGAAAAACTCTTCTCACTAGGTTGTGTTATGCAATAGAGAGAAATTAAAATCACACAGACGTTACTCAACAGTCAGAACAGCTAAGAAAAAACAGAACATTTTCTTTCTGATTGAATGATAAAGTCAGCACTCCCAGAAATCACATGTAGCATTTAACACAACCACGTTGACATGAGAACAACACACGTCTTTGTGTAGGCCTACGTGATTTTTTTTAAGTTGAGATGGTCCAAAGCATGAGTAATAAAGAGATATTTGATCAGATCCAATCTTTCCTCCATTATGCCACATGTCCATTAAAGCTGTTGATGCCAGAAGCTGATCTACCAAGCTGACTTCAAAGGAGTGAGTCTATGACCGAGTCACTCGCTGCAGAAGTAAACACATGAGCGTGTACACCAACACAAAGAACAAAACAGATACGCCACCCTTTACAGCTTAATCATAAATATCTCTTGGTCCTTCCCGCCTCCCAAAAGGCAACTACGCTCTAAACTCCTGTTTATTACACCTCTAAACATCTGGTCTGACTCTGAAGTTGGCTGATCAAATAGGACCATGACTGGCTGATTTCCACTGGTCACCCTTCACTGTTTGGGGCCTGAGAGGCTGGACCTCTGCGCAGCGTGGCATGGGTCCAGGGACTCCTTGGTGGCACCACCATAGACATCGACATCCTGGTCCGTCCAGGGGGCGATGTTTCCCAAAGCCGATGAGCTGCATTCGGCCAAGGCGGCCACCTCTGCAGGCTTCAGCACCCGGTCCCACAGGTTGAACTGGGATAATTCTCCAACGAGAGCCTGGGAGGCATCGAAACGCCCGCCGAGTGTATCCTGAAAAGCAAAGTGGTTTGTTGTAAAAATGTTAAGTTGATTCAAGATTTTTTATTATTCTTTCAAGACATAAAAACACAAAAATAAACAATCAATGATGAACAAGAGTCTGCTTCTAGACCTGCAGAAAGAGAATTTTTTTTTTAAAGGGACACACAACAACGCAACTGGAGCGAGCTATCACTGCTTCAACTTGATGAAGAAATATAAAATCAACATTGTTTTACTGAACAATCACGATAATAAATCACAGTGCATGTAGTGCCAACAGCAGCCTTAAGACATGTTGAAAATGCCCAAGTTCATACTTATGAGAGCACCATGTGAGCACCTGTGTGTGTACACGCGCTTGTATATATAAGGTTTCTCTATAGGAGCGTCCAATGGAGAGTGTGAGGGGCCACAGATCTGCCCCCCAAAGATGTGTAGGAGATGGAGGGAGCTCCAAGTCCCAGAGATCCAGGAGCTGCCCCAGAGCGCAGGGACCCCAGGGAGACTGCAACCAGAAAAGCCCCAGCCCCTCTCGAGAGGCGCAGAGGATCGCCCCAGGGGGTCACAACCAGCAGCCGGCAGAGTCCCGGGGGATATCAGCGGCAAGCCCACAGAACCGCCCGCAGCCTCCCACCCCAAGCCGGCCGAGCCCGGAACCCAGCGATCCGGGACCCAGGGGCGGTCAGCCCCGCCGGGGACCCAACAGAGACCAGGGACTCAGATACCTCCAGGCAGCCACTGGGACCGATCAGGCAGACTCCAAAAATCTTAAACCCCCTGACCCGGGAGCACGCACATTTTCAACCAAACATTTGTTCTGATGTCTATGTATGGTGATGAGCTAAAGTGAAATTCTGGAAATCCAGTGTTAAAAACAATAAATGTGCATTTCACTAAGTAGCTATATTTCCACTCTCTTTCTAACTATCTATAGATTTTATACTAATTATATTAATTATTGTGTATCAAGACACCTTCGTTATAATTTTTCACCTACAAAAAGAAAATCTTAATGCACCAAAAAGACAATTTAAAAACCTGTTACAATCCAAAAGCATATTCATTTGCATTGAAAATTATAAATTAAATCTAAATGCGCCACTGTTTAAGGGTAGGGTCGTCTCGACTAAACCAGAAAACTCTAGATAAATAGCAATAACGTCTATTGGTTGATCTTATCCAATTTATGAAAGGTCAATGGTATTCAAAAAGCTGAATGTTGGTCTTTATTGATGCTAAAATATCATATCTGTGCACCAGGGCAACAATTATTTATAATACCGAAACACTGGTTTGAAACTCTGCTCTGCTTTCCTGGTTAAATAATCATGAAAATGGACCAACAGCTTACTTCACACATAAAAATACTGAGTTCTAGTGAACCTACAAAAATCAGATTAAAATGGTCTCTTCTGCATCAGAGTACCCATGGCAAGGGGATATCCTGGGATTTTCCTCTATAAAATCTCTTCAACACATCTACACAACAGCATTTCATCAGCCATCTGCAGCAGAGATTAATAAAGCCCCATCTTTTCCCTAAATCATCCATTAAATCAAGTCTTTATGTATCAGAGCATCACCTTTGTGAACTAGAGCCCCAGCTCTCTGCTCCTAATCTTCATTGTGAGGATGATGAGCTGCTGAATGAGTATGGGGTTGTTTCTTTGACAACAGGCATGAGGGATAACACAAGATTTGACCATGGTTATATAATGTAGCTGACTCACTAATGGAGAGGAGAAGAAACCCAGAGCAAAGATAAACACCATTAGGTTTCTGTGTTCATGAATGGAAGCTAATGAAATACTGAAAGAGTTCTCCTGGTCCACATCTACAGTTCATTTATCCATCGATCCATTCATCACCGCATCATCATCCATCTGCTGGTCATAAATGCTTCTATTGGCTGTTATCAATCCGCCCAGATATTTATACATTCATCTTTCATTAGTCAATCTTTCCATTAGGATAAACGTTTGTCCATCCGTCAGTCAGTGTGTACATTAACCTATCCATTAATCCATCCATCTACACAACTATCTATCAATGTGTGCATTCATCCATCCATGTATAGAACTATTTATATTTCCATCAATTGATGTGTACATCCATCCATCAAGCCATTCATCCATCTATACAACCATCCATCAATGTGTACATTCATCCATCCATCTACACAACCACCCATCAGTGTGTGCATTCATCCATCTATCCATCTAAAGAACTATTTATATTTCCATCAATGAATGTGTACATCAATCCATCCATCAATATATACAACCATCCTTCCTTTCATCAATCATTGTCCATCCATCCATCCATCCATCCATCCATCTATCCATCCATCCATCCATCCATCCATCCATAAGATTTTACATCTATACATACATCTATACATACATCTATACATCTATACATACATCTATACATACATCTATACATACATACATACATACATACATCTATACATACATCTATACATCTATACATACATCTATACATACATCTATACATCTATACATACATACATCTATACATACATCTATACATATATACATCTATACATACATACATCTATACATACATCTATACATACATACATACATACATACATACATACATACATACATACATACATCTATACATACATACATACATCTATACATACATACATACATACATCTATACATACATCTATACATCTATACATACATACATACATACATACATACATACATACATACATACATACATACATACATACATACATACATACATACATACATACATACATACATACATACATACATACATACATACATACATACATACATACATACATACATACATACATACATACATACATACATACATACATTTATTTTAGAGGTGGGAAAAATGATCGATTCTAAGATGCATCGCGATTCAGCCGTGCATGATTCCGCATCGATGCAGCAACATGACATAATGAGATTTTCTCCCTATGTCTATGTTCTGGACACGTGAGGACAATAACGTTTTGAGGTTGTACAACTACTTCCGGGGCCAGAGTTGCAATGACATGCGCACTGCGTTGCCCTAGCGCCAATTTAAAACCGAAATGGCGCACAGGGACACAATGCGAACATTACCAGTAATCAAAGATGTACCCGTTACATTTAAATCGGATGTTTGGGCTAATTTCGGTTTTGGGATCCTGGATGTGAAAGAATCACTTAACACAGCATTTGTTTACTATTTTTAAGTTCAGTAGTATTCTTTCTATAGAAAACATTATTTCTTATATTATTTAAGTAATTATAGGCAGCACACTTTAAAAAATGTTGCTCACTATAGTATATGTTCTGTTTTTCAGGGATATCGAAATAAAAAAGAAATTGAAAACTATTCTACTGCTTTTATTAAGTAATGAAACATTTTGTGAAGAATCGTGATGCATTTCAGACTCAAATCGAATCTTTAGGCAGATAATCGGAATCGGATCGAATCGTGAGGCAGATAGAGATGCACACCACTAATACATTTACCCATTTTTCTATAGAACAATTCATCCTTCAATGTGTACATCCATTCATCAATCAATGTGTACTTAGCCCATCATCACCAGGGTGTGAATGGGTGAATGACTGACTGTGCTGTAAAGCGCCTTGGGGGGATCAAGGACTCTACATGGCACGACATCAAATACAGGCCATTTACCATTTAAATCCATCCATCCATCCATAAAAGTGTACATCTATCCATCCATCCATCTCACCTGTTCCTGTCCCAGTATGAGGACTCCCCCGGGTTTGATGGGATGCCAGGCAGCCAGCCCCTCCCCCCTTCCTTTCATCTTTCCTCCCTGGTAAGCCTTCCACACTCCGTCCCTCAGAGTCCAGCTGACACAGATGTGCTGCCACTCGTTCTGCGGTAGGGACAGAGGCAGCTGTGCCACCTGAAGGTAAGAGGAGAGTCTGAGTAACATCTCTATGTGACTGAACTGGAACAGACCACACGCTTGGTTTTTCTACCACAGCAAACACTCACCTGCTTGCCTCCTTGGAAAGTTGTTTTTTTAACTCATTAAAAAGAAATAGATTTTTCTGGATCTTTTTAATCTACTTTCCGTTTGTAGCTAACATTTTTCAAGTTTTATTGTGTATTTTATTTCAAGGACATCCTGCTTTATATTTTTCCTGCAGCAAATAAGCGCCTGTGAACGACCTAGACTCCATAAAAGTCTGCAGCTAATGACTGCGATTCATATCCTGCTAACAAAAATGGATGGCTGTGACATTTTCAATATCAACATTTTTTTTTTTCATTTTTCCATCCAACCACTCATTTAAAAGGCAAAGGAAACTATTCCGTCACAAGATTTTTTTTCTATTCACTTTCACCACTGGATTACTTTGCAACATCAACTAGTTTCTGCTGTTAAATTAATTTATTTATAAAGCGTCAAATGACAACAAGTCATCTCAAGGCACTTTACAAAACAAACATTCCAACTGAACCTACTTGTCAGTGCACTGATTTCCGTTCATTATGCCATTTAGTTCAATGTGTCCTATGTAAGAAATCCCAGCAGATTGCAATTATCATCGATTCTTGTGTAAGTGACTTTAAAGCAATCCCTCACATTAAGCAAGCATGTAGCGACAGTGGAGAGAAAAACTCCCCTTTAGTAAAATATTAAATCAGTCCCCAAACAGCATTCTTGACAGGCTTTTGTTACTCAAACTAACATTTTAAGTGACGAAGTGTATTTTCCCTGGTGATAGAGGGCAGTCCATACCTAAATTGTTGCAAGCAAGCAGTATTTTTGCGTTCGAGTAAGACATTACCAACGGATGGCCGTTTATTTGGGGTCAGGTCGTGGGGGCAACAGCCTAAGCAGAGAGGCCCAGACTTCCCACTCTCTAGCACCTTGGGCCAGCTCCTCCGGGGGAATCCTAACCCCAAAATTCCACTACCTCCGCCCCTGCCTTTCGCAGCCGCTCGCTTCCGAACTCAATTTTTACTGGTACCCGCTCTACAACGGCTCCGCTCCGGTGCGGAGACCTGAGAAGCGTAAACAGGCATGCGCAGGATTTTCGAGATCTTGTGATACAGTCCGATCAATAAACGCGGACGTTAGATCCAAACACCCGTTGTGTGGGAGAAGCATCGGCATGAACTGTTTAATCTGCCCATCATTTGTGTTGAGAGATCAGCAGTGTTTGGATCAACAAAGTGTGACTACTTTGATAGTAGAAACTGTATTTATGGCTTACTTTTGTGCATTTAAAGTTCAGCCGCCATTGATAGTTGTTAAAAGTTGTTAAACATGTGCATATGAAACAAAAAACGCCTTTTGTTTACCGATTTATTGTGAAAAACGGAAGTTGTGCTTGCTCCTTTTCCTGTTGGGCGGTTGTGATTTCTGTCCATTGACTGCGGAAGTGCTCCAGCGTCCGGCAAAAATAGAATCGATCCTATTTTTGCCAGATGGCGGAACGGCAGGCAGCGCACTGCGCCGCACGGCCACAGTAGTGGAACAGCTCAGATTGACTACAATGGGACCGATTTTGCTGCGGAGTTTGTGCCAGAGCGGAGGGGAGCGGAGCGGAGGTAGTGGAATTTTGGGGTTAGGTGTTCCCTTGCCAGCCGAGAAACATAGTCCTTCCTTTAGGTCTTCTCCCAGTTGGATGTGCCCAGGAAACATCACCAGGGAGGCATCCAGGAGGCATCCTAACTAGATGCCCGAGCCAAGTCAACTGGCTCCTCTCGATGTGGAGGACCAGCGGGTCTACTCCAAGCCCCTGCCAGTTGACCGAGCTTCTCACCCTATCTCTAAGGGAGAGCCCAGATACCCTGCGGAGAAAACTCATTTCAGCCGCTTGTATTTGTGATCTCATTCTTTCGGTCATATCCAAACCTCGTAACCATAGATGAGGGTTGGATCATAGATCAACTGGTAAATCAAGAGCTTTGCCTTCCTCCTCAGCTCTCTCTTCACCAAGACAGATCAGTATAACGCCCGCATCACTGCAGATGCAACACCAGTCCACCTATCAATCTCGAACTCCATCTTCCCTTTTCTTGTGAACAAGACTCAGAGATACTTAAACTCCTCCACTTGAGGCAGGACATCATCCCTGACCTGGAGAAGGCATTCTACCCTTGTTTGACTAAAGAATTTCCTTTAGGGTCAAAAATATCTGGGAGCGCAATTTTCTAATGAGTACTTTGTCAGATCGTTCAACCTCCAGCAAAATGACAAGCAAATCAGAGTCCCTTTCATGAATGGCAATGAGCAAAGCGATAAATGTGTAAAACAACGTTTATGAATGGAGATGGTTTTGTAACCACTTGTTACAAATCAGTAAATACATTTTGACCTCTCGGGCTCCTGTAGAAGGAAACATTGCGTCTAATATGGCATTGCCCAGAGACTAAATCCTGGGGCATACCTGAGGCGGACGCGCCACGCAACGTCGCACTCGAGATTTAGAGAAGTCAAGTGGTCACACAGGATGCGCCACTGAGTGCTTCTTGGAAAGTCGCGCGACAGTCACAACATCACGCCGGATTTGAGAACAGAAAGTGGGAAGCGACTCTATTGTTTATACGTGATCAGACTCGCCGTCGTGTTTTGTGAGACTCAAATTCATAAAAAATGGGTAAGTACATTGTTTATTAGATAATTTTAAGAACAATAGTACTTTAAAGTAGTCAAAACTGTGGCTGGGTTTGTGCCGGCGGTTGAGTTTGTGCTGTAAAGCCGTTGATGTAAAGTACTCCACGATGTCGTAAACAACCGCGACGCCGCCGTGCCACTTGAGATAGAACCGGCACCTATCTTCAGAGCTTAGGTGCTCCCCGTGTGCACACTCTCATCAATTACCACCGTTATTTTAAAATGACAGCACAGGGGGGCGTCCGCCTCCAGTGTGCAGGCTTTAGACTTGCTACCATGTATTTTAGACCCAATTCTTTTGGTTATATGTTACAAAGCCACCAATATTTTTCAACAATTAGGCATCATTTAATTCATTTTCAACAACAAGTTGATGGATATTGTCTCTTTAAAACACTAATGACCCAAGCAAAACTCATTCATTTGTACATGTTTGAACACCAAACACCAGTACAGGAATCTCATGGCTGCCCCTAACTGTACCTTGTCATTGATAAGCAGCTCCACAGGATTGTGGACACCCTGCAGCAGAACCAGCTCATTGGGCTGCCCCGCCACAGAGTAGGAGAAGGGAGTCCCGATGCCCCCCTCCGTGGCCTTGAGCCATACGCAGGCAGTGAAGGCATACATCTCAGTGATCTCCTTTCTCACCAGGCCATACATGTAGCTGGTCCGCATGGGGAAGGAGAGGACGAAGCCATCGGGAAACGGAGGTTCTGTCATTGCTTTGGGCACACAGATCAGCGGGATCAAAGAAACTGTTCATCAACATTTCAGTTAACCATAAATTAAGAATCATGACAGAAAACTACATTAGTTGGGATGAATCAATATTCTTTTTTTTTTTCATCAGTCTGGCAGGGAGGGTCCATTTGCTTGGACTAATATATTACTATGTATGGAAGACACTTGGAAGATAATAACCCGTGATTTATTACTGTCCAATCATTTCTTGTCATTTTAATATTGCACATACTGATTCTGGCATCATAGGTTTTTGATAGATTGTGCAGCACAATAATAACCCAAATAAAGAGGATAGTTCAAGTTTGAAAAGCAAAATAAATCTAAATAATTCAGATATAATTAAATGTATTCTTAGCTATTCACCCCCTATCCGTGTTTGACATTTCACAACCCACAGCACTCATTAATCATCTTATTTTCATTTCCATTGTATCCTCTACTACTGCGATGACCTAGTTCACCCGCAGCGTTTCGTTTGACTTTCATTTCAGGCTTCTCTTTCCATGCTTTTATGTGTGTTAGCTCCATGATGATATTATCTTTCTCCAGTATCAGTTTACCCTCCCCCTGCAGACTCACTGTGTTCCAGCTCCGTGACTCGATGAGTGACGGTATCAATGCCCTTGTTGATCTTCTCATGTTGGCCCTGGGTCTCCTTCCTCATGGCCTGCCGTTCCATCTCCAGCATTTTTATCTTCCTCTCTAATTCCCCCTCCAGGTCCTCAACCCTCCACGTGGTCTTTCCTCGCCCAGGGGAAACCTTTGAAGACGGTCTAGGGCCAGGGGGACCTGGGGGAGCTGGACGACGGCCCCCTGAGGCACCCCCCGCCGTTGGGGAGGAAGCACCGCTTGCGGATGGAGCTGGAGCTTTGCTACCAGTTTGGCTGCTGCCACTGTTGCTACTGCTACCTGCGCCTGCGGATGTGTCGGTTAGGTTCAAAGCCCCAGGCCCAATTTCTGCCTGCAAAATAGAAGCAAGAATAAAATAAGTATAAATATGAATACGTCTGTAACAGTGCTGAGACAAGCAGGTGATTTTTAAAGGCTTACAGAGCAACAAAGACCAAGTTAATGAATCGAATCAGCAGCAATAAAAATATGAGTTGTTTCTTCATTTTTCTCCTGAATAAAACATTTTTTTCACAGGAAAGGTGTGGAGAGGAGATTTAAAGGATGATTTAGTCCATGGCTGCCCCTTATTCATCTGGTAATTTCATGGAAATTATCCATTTTTGAACCCTTTGAATTTTCACACCAAAAAAGGAGATAAAAAATGTTTCCTTTTGCATTTTTTATTCAATCGGGGCTATTAAGTTGTGACTAGGGATGCACACTATATCAGCATCAATATCGGTATTGGCCGATGTTAGTCATTTTTTAACATATCGGAATTGGTCTTATAAATAAAACTGGGCCGATATTAACAACCGATATTTTTTCCATTTGGTTTCCATTTGTTTTATCTGTTGAGGGTGAGGGGGCTGACGTGGATTTGTTTCATCATGTGACAGAAATTGTAATAAACTCGTCGTCGTCTTCCTGCGCTTATCCGGGTCTGGGTCGCGGGGGCAGCATCCCAACTAGGGAGCTCCAGACTGTCCTCTCCCCGGCCACCTCCACCAGCTCTTTCGGCAGGACCCCAAGGCGTTCCCGGACCAGACTGGAGATGTAACCTCTCCAAAGTGTCCTGGGTCGACCCGGGGGCCTCCTGCCGGCAGGACATGCCCAAAACACCTCCCCAGGGAAGCCTCCAGGAGGCATCCTGACCAGATGCCCAAACCACCTCAACTGACTCCTGTCGATCTGGAGGAGCAGCGGTTCTACTCCGAGTCCCTCCCGAATGTCCGAGCTCCTCACCCTATCTCTAAGGCTGAGCACGGCCACCCTACGGAGGAAACTCATTTCGGCCGCTTGTGTCCGCGATCTCGTTATTTCGGTCATTATCCAAAGCTCATGACCATAGGTGAGGATTGGGACGTAGATCGACTGGTAAATCGAGAGCCTGGCTTTCTGGCTCCACAGGAACTGCCCCCGATGACCACGCAATGTTGCACAGACGTGTCAAGCACGACAGCCCTACAACATCCATAGCCTTGAGATACCCAGGATGAATCTCATCCGCCCCCGGGGCTCCGCCGCTGTGTAGTTGTTTGACTACCTCAGCAACTTCTGCCCCCGAGATTGGACAGTCCAACCCCAGGTCTCCCGGCTCTGGTTCCTCCTCGGAATGCGCGTAGGTGGGATTGAGGAGCTCCTCAAAGTATTCCTTCCACCGTCCGACTATGGCCCCAGTTGACGCCAGCAGCTCCCCATCCCCACTGTAAACAGTGTGAGCGAGTTGCTGCCTTCCTCTCCTGAGGCGCCGGACAGTTTGCCAGAACCTCTTTGGAGCCGATCAATAGTCTTTCTCCATGGCCTCACCAAACTCCTCCCACGCCCGAGATTTTACCTAGGCAACTGCCACTGCTGCACCCCGCTTTGCTATCCGGTACCTGTCTGCTGCCTCCGGAGACCCACAGACCAGTCACGCCCTGTAGGCCTCCTTCTTCAGCCTGATAGCTCCCCGAACCTCTGGTGTCCACCAGCGGGTACGGGGGTTGCCACCACGACTGGCACCGGCCACCTTGCGACCACAGCTAGCAACAGCTGCCTCAACAATTGCAGAGTGGAACAAGGCCCACTCAGAGTCAATGTCCCCCACTGCTCACGGGACGCGGTCAAAGCTCTGCCGGAGGTGGGAGTTGAAGACCGTCTTAACAGGTTCTTCTGCCAGGCGTTCCCAGCAGACCCTCACTATGCGTTTGGGTCTGCCAGGTCTACGCGGCATCTTCCCCTGCCATCTGATCCAACTCACCACCAGGTGGTGATCAGTTGACAGCTCCGCCCCTCTCTTCACTCGGATGTCCAAAACATACGGCCACAGGTCAGATGATACGACTATAAAGTCTATCATTGACCTGCGACCTAGGCTGCCCTGGTATCAAGTGTACCGATGGGCATCCTTATGTTCGAACATGGTGTTCGTTATGGCCAAACTGCGACTTGCACAGAAGTCCAATAACGAAACACCACTCGAGTTCAGATCAGGTGGGCCGTTCCTCCCAATCACACCCCTCCAGGTCATGCTGTCATTGCCCACGTGAGCACTGAAGTCCCCCAGCAGGACAATGGAGTCCCCTGATGGAGCACTATCTAGCACTCTTCCCAGGGACTCCAAAAAGGGTGGGTACTCTGAACTGATATTTGGCCCATAAGCACAAACAACAGTCAGGACCCGTTCCCCGACCCGAAGGCGCAGAGAAGCTATCCTCTCGTCCCCCGGGGTAAACCCCAGCACACAGACAGAGAGTCTTGGGGCTAACAAAAAGCCAATTCCAGCCCTCCGCCTCTCACCCGGAGCAACTCCAGCAAAGGAGAGTGTCCAACCCCTCTCAAGGACTTGGGTTCCAGAGCCAATGCTATGTGTCGAGGTGAGTCCGACTATATCTAGCCGGTACCGCTCAACCTCTGCCACAAGCTCCTGCTCCTTCCCCGCCAGCGAGGTGACGTTCCATGTCCCAAAATCCAGTTTCGTTGTCCGGGGATTGGACCGCCAAGGCTCCCGCCTCGGTCTGCCACCCGATCCACACTGCACCGGACCCTTCATGTTCCTCCTGCGGGTGGCGGGTCCACAGTTGGATGAGCCTATGTATCCGGTTCGGGCTGGGCGAAAGTCCGGCCACCAGGCGCTCGCTCACGGGCCCCAACCCCAGGCCTGGCTCCAGGGTGGGACCCCGGTAACCCTCCGGGCCGGGTACTCCGACTCTTTGTTTGCATATTCATGAAAGATCCTATGAACCGTTCTTTGTCTCACCCTTCACCTAAGACCAATTTGTCATGGGAGACCCTACCAGGGGCACAAAGTGCCCCAGACAACATAGCTCCTAGGATCATTAGGGCACTCAAACTCCTCCACCGCGATAAGGTGAGGGAGGTGGGAGTAATCAAGGAGGAGTAATAATAACTGTAATGTAATAAACTCAAAAGTGTAAATGTGTGTGATGTGTGTACATATAACATAAATTCTGCTTTAATAATTTTCATTCTATACAAAATCTTTATTTTAGAAGCATCAATGTCAGTATATCGGTATCACTAAATATCGGTTATCGGCCACAACAATGACTTTAATATCCGTATCGGCCCAAACATTTCATATCTTTGCATCACTAGTTGAGACATAATGTCAGGTAGGAAAAATGTTTTAAAAAATTAATAATATTATAATCACAATAAATAAATTGAGGTTATAATTTGGGATGATCAGCTTTTTAATAAATATCTATACTCTCTTAATTTTCTATACCAATATATGCCCCCCTAAAATAAAGATAATTTAAGGTAATGGAAGTTACAGATCTCCCATCATGCATCCTTAAACTTTAAATATTATCCGTGCAAAATTTGATCATTATTTAAGTCAGACCAAACGTGCCAAACAAACGCCAAACCTCAGATTTGTTATATTTTAACATTTTGAGTGAGATGAGGAAAAAAAAGAAAGACTTTGATGTCTAATATGTGCACGGTATGTGGATATTGTGTCATTATGAGTAAAAACCAATACAGATAAGTTCCAATATTACTCTTTAATGCTGATATCGGCCAATAATAACTGTAGGCCAATAATATCGGACATCCTTATTTAATCATTTTTCAACGTGCCCATATTTTCTTAAGATTTCTTGGGGGTTTATTAGTTGTTGTTTTTCCAGTTAAGTTCCTTTCTTCTTCTTATTTAATAAAAACTAATTACGCTTTACCAAATGAACAAATTGATATATTCCTGCCCCTGATCAAGTTTCCTAAATGGCTACAAATGTCATTTGCATAAAAGTCAAATGGTCTTTATTGGCACCTTTCGTGTGAGATGTTTTACTTTAAAATAATATATAGATTTAAAGAATTTGGAGCATCTTAAACCGTTTCTGTATTTGCATGGTTTAGCGTTTTTATGAGGCATAAATTATAAACAGACGAAAATCTTGTCAGTTTCAGAGCAAACTGACACAATCAGGACACCTCTGAATAATACGGGCCGTGCTACTGCATGTTCCCCTAAAGGCTGATGACAGTAAACACACACAGCTGTGCCTCTTTAGTTTTTGTAATGGATGTTTTGGGCAAATCGAAATAGAAACAGAAGGTTTAATTTTCTATCTTAAGCATTTATTGTAAAAACAAAACAAACAAAAAAAAAAAAAACAAGTCATCCAAAGGAAATTGTGTTTTTTCAGGTTCAAATGTTATTCAGGGATGAGGTTTAAATATCATACCAATTTATTTCTAAGGCGCATTTAAAAGCAGCATGGGAGCTGACCAACAACAACATAACATACAGATAAAACAATCAATAAGTGCAGATGAAACAGGCAGTCAAAGCACAGAATAAAAATGTTACAAGAAATTAAAAAAGGCTCACAATCTAAAAGCCAAATCATAGAAATGTGTCTTCAAAGGTGACTTGAAGTCACCGATGAAGGATGACCATTGAATAGTGGTTGGCAGTGCGTTCCAGAGAGGGGGAGCAACAAACAAACATGAAGGACCCCTCCGCCCTGTAATTCATAGTGAGGGTGCAAAGTAGCAGGCGGTCAGCTGACCATAGCGAGCACATAGGGTTTGAGTAGTAGGGGATGGACGATATAGAAAAAAAGTATATCGATAACAGTTTTTTTATATTGATCGTTATCGATAATAATTGGAAAAAAAAATTTAATTTGTAGAAAATATATTTTACGTGCAGCCCTGGCCATTTTGTTTTTGGTATTTTTATTTTTTCTTCACCTCCTCTCGCTGAGACTTCTTGCTGCTTCATGCTCTGTTTTGGCTTGAGAATGGGAGGGCCTGGTGAAGTAGCGTGACGAGTCTGTAGTTTTGATTGGTTAGGAGTAAGTAGAGTCGAGTATGCTGCAACCTGATAGGTTATAATGAAAAAAGGAAACTTTTTTACTGAAGTTTTATTGACCCATTTTTTGTCTATCGATAAATATATTGAACTACTGAATTATCGTCCAGCCCTAGTGAGTAGGTCCCACAGATATGAAGGTGCCAGACTGTTCAATGCTTTATACATAAAGCAGGATTATACTCTAAAAGCCACAGGTAGCCAATGGAGATGCGCCAAAACCGGGGTCACGTGGCTACGTCTGTGTTTGTTATTTATCCTAATAAATAAATAATAAATGGCAGAGAATCATTCATCCATTCACATACCTGCGGAGTTTGGGGTCACCGAGCACAGGTGATCCCCGGTCTCTCTGACCACCACCAGCAGGCAAGGAGAGTAAAGTGTCTTGCTCAAGGACACACTGACTAACATGACTGTGGAAGCCTGAGTTTGAACCTCCAACCTAAGTCCCAAAAGTCTCCAAATGTAATTATGGTCTTGTTTTTATAATTATTTTCTCTCTCTCTCATCTTAATGCCTAACCTTGGGTCAGGCTAGTAAATAACTCTTGCAGTCATCAAGAGAGTGTTAGCGGACACCGTTGGCAGGTTCCCAGTCCATCACAAGGTCACACAAAGACAAACAACCAGTCACACACACACCTTAGACCAGGGGTGGGCAATCCTGGTCCTCCAGGGCCGCTATCCAGCAGGTTTTAGCTGTTTACCTGCCCCAACACACCTGATTCCTGGATGAATCACCTGTTCAGCAGCTCATCAGGCTCTGCAGCAGCCTGTTAATCACTAGTAGATTCAAACCAGGTGTGTTTAAGCAGAGAAACAAGTAAAACCTGCTAGACAGTGGCCCTCGAGGACTGGGATTGCCCACCCCTGCCTTAGACACTGCAGCCAACCAGACATGCATGTTTTTGGTCTGTGGGAGGAAACCAGAGAGCCCAGAGAAAACCCACATGTGCATGGGAAGAACAGGCTAACTCTGCACTGAAACTGCTGCCAGGATTCAAACTTCCAACCTTCATACTGCAAGAAAGCAGTGCTACCAGCTGCACCACCATGCAGCCTAAGCTGTAAATCTGTGGATATTTTTTTCCAATTCACTTTAACAGTTTAAGATATTTATCACTGTTATAAGAGGCTCAGATGTCCATTGTTCTTTTATTTTGTACATTTCTGTAATGACACTTTCTCAGTATTGATTGAAGCTTTTGCACAATAATCTGCATTGACATTTTCCTGCAAACCGGATTTTTAAGACCTGACGTTCCTTGATTCAAATTTCCTGAGCAAATGTTTGTTTTAAACCACGTAAAACGGCCATTATTCTGCATGTGTGCAGAGCATTTCTTTCTTTTTAAAAAAAATTGTCCACAGCAACGGGATTTACAAAACTTAAAACCCTTTACTGTTTTCATCTTGTGTCCATGACAACTAACCTTATCATGAATTCAATTTTAATTATTTTTTTATTGGTATAGCTTACAGTGTCCATGTGAGCTCATGAAGGGATTCTTATGCCTTGTTGTTAGGCTGATGAAAATGATGGCCTGGTTTTTACCAAAGCCTATATTATGGTTCCTCTTATTTAACTCACTGTGGTTTGTAAATTATCTCTCTATCGATAATCACTTTGGTGGTATTATTATGCAGAGGGTAGGTTGAAGAAAAAAGGTGTATCGGAAGCAGAAGTAAACAATGGTGAAGCTGTTGGATGAGACATCTGTGAGGGTGAGATCAAATATCAAGAGGAGTTGCTGAGCCAAGTCCGCATCTGGACATCCAGGATATAAATTCACACGGATGGAGACAACCTTGTTGGCACTGACTGTGCTTATTGATATCTGACAGTGATGCAGCAGGGTGTAGACACACACACACACACACACACACACACACACAGAAACACAAACCTGACCACCACTCCACCACCCTCAGCAACCCTTCTTCCTGTCCAGCCAGCTTCATGTTTTATTGATGTCCCCATCCTGCTGCTGGATGCTGAAGAGGCGGCTGACATAATGGGAGGGGGGAGCGGTAGGGTTTGAGGGCTAGTAGATTTCCCCTGAGTCTGTGGGAACGTGGGCAGGACACGAGGGGCCTTTGTAGTGTGAGTTACTTTTCTGAGTGAGGGATTATGTGCAGAAAGGAAAATAAAAAAGAATATACTGCAAACAGGTTTTTTATATACACATTTAATCCAAATCCCAGTAATAGAATTTATAAGCCCAACACTAGGAATTCTGTCAACTAAATGAACCAGAAGCTGGCCTAATTTAGACAGGAATTGGGTTGTTGTTGTTTTTTTGGTAACACTTTACAATAAGGGTCCCTTTATTAACTTAGTGCATTACTAAGCATTAATAAGCCCTTAAATAAAGTGTTAACAACTGCTTTTATGCAGTACATATTTACTAAGCATATTATTTAATGCATTATTACGCTGTTACATCTATTACTGAACCTAATGGTCCAAAATTCATTCAGTAATGATTAATTATGGTTAGGTAATTCTAGCAGCAGTCTAGATTAGAGATACAAAAGTTGTCTGATGTAAAGGCCCATTATTTACTTTTTTATATATATATCGACATCAGCCGACATACCTCTGTAGTAGAGCTGATTTAAAGTCAGGTAGCACATCCAGTCAGAAGCTGCAACCAAATTTTTGTTCAATGTATGTTGATCCTTAAAGCTCAGTAAATGCTTTAACAGGCTTTTCTTTTTGTTTACTTGTTTTGCATATTTAAGGCTTGGTCTGTTTATTGGTTTATTCCATTTTTATGTTTATTTATGTGTATTATTATATTAGGTATATTATATTATTATGGTATATATAATTAAGATTTTAAATTCAGTGTTCAAAAACATATTAGGTTCAGAAATGCCTCAACTGTTCTCATTAGTGACATTTTCGACATCTAGGTATGACCAGCTTATGACGTCAACAAATCAGTATCGGCAACAGAATCATCGATATCGGTTGATTAGTCTAGGTGTTGTAGTTTTACATTAAAGCAGGTTACATATGAGAAGAATTGGTGCATTTCTCCTGTAGGGAGAACCAAGTTCCGCTTCATTTTGCATCAGAACACCAACAAGTTTGTCTCAATTTGCTTAAATACTATCGACCTACCTCCAGTTTCTCTATGCGGTCCTTGAGGTCCATGATGGCCCTGGCCAGCTCCTCCACGGCCCGCGCCGTCTGCAGCTGCGCAGCGGCGGAGGAACTCACATCGTCCCCGGCCATGACGCGGCGGTTCCCGCTCCACACTCCGACGCTCCGCGCCGGGGCGGGCCTCTCGTCTTCCAGGCCACTCTCACACTCACTCAGCTTCCCCGTCAGCTCCCGGATGGTCCTCTTGTCCATAAGGATCTGGTCGTTCTGCCGCAGGACCATCTGCCGGAGCCCCTCCGCGGTTGTCCGTAGGTCTTCGTCTCCGGTTCCATAAAGCGGGTCATCCTGCTGCTCCTGCTCCCGCTGCTGCCTCAGATCTTTGGGCTTGCAGTCTCCCACAGGCACGGGAGTGCAGATGAGTCGGCTGAAGCTGAACTGTTTCGCCGAGCCGCCACTTGTCTCCTTCCCCACGTTCAGCTCGTTCAAAGTGGGAACTTCCAAGTCGATCCCGCCGAGTCCGTTTCCTCCGTCGTGGGAGCCAGCGCCGTGGAGGGCGCCCAGCGGTCCGGCGTGAGCCACCGATGCGGGCTCCAGGGGCTGGAGCAGCGCTTCTGATGTCAGAGTGTCGTTGTCGCTGGGAAGCGCGCCGCGTTTCCGGGGGTAGACGCTGGCGATGATGCAGATAACCGCTCCGAGGAAGGCTAGAGCGCCCGCTCCCACCAGCATCACCAGGAACTTCATCGTGTCTGGAGATCAATGCAATAAATTACATTTGATAAGATACGAGCGTAACCTGCAGCGTCAGCAGAGCATCTTTACGCCGCCGTAATAAACTCAAGTAACTAACAAATACAAGAGCTGCTATCTGGGAAGAAATGTGACACTTACGTGTCTATTCACGTTTCCAATGGCGCTGCTGTCTTCTTGCCACTCTCTGAGTGGGATATCGATGGCACCGTGCTGTCTGGACCAAAGATGCTCACTCTCTCCCCCTCTGTGTTGCCAAGCTGCTCTCTCCTCCTTGCGTTACCATGGAGACCGCTTTTGGAGGAGGGGCGTGCGTAAAGTCAGAGCAGAGGTGAGCCTTCAGCAGCTGCGTCAACAAACAGGGCCGTGATGGATGGAGCTGTGTGATTGTTTCAAGAACGATGAAACCAGAAAATGTTGTCGATCATGTCCAATTCAAAACTCCTTTGACAGAAAAGTTGTTAGGTTTTGTTGAAAATTCATCAAAAACTCAAAGCTCTTGATCATTGATTTGCTTGATCTTTGATTTGATCGCATGGGAAATCCTTTTCAAAGTCTTTTTTTTTTTTGTGGGCAGCTTCATTGTATCCAGAATACAAGTAAAGGAGTTTTCAAAAATTAACAATCACAAGAAAAAACTTCTCTTTTAACATGACAGTTTTGTGTTAAGGATAGGCTTCGGCTTAAAACCTCTGGACAAAAAAAAAATCACACTCTGATCAATAATCATGCACTCATAAGCACCTTGGAAAATTCCGTACAGCTAAGAACCTGATGCCCAAAGAGGAAGGTTTAATAACGGAATACATCCCTGATCTGTTTGAAAGTCCATGTTTCAGCTTGTGTTTAGTCACACACTCTAATATTTCATTGGACCACCTTTAGCATTGATTACGACATGCATTGTTGTTTCAATAAGCTTCTGCGATGTCACAGATTTATTGCCATCTATTGCTGTATTAATTTTTCACCAAGATCTTGCTTTGTTGATGGTAGAGTCTGACTGCTGCACAAAGCTTTCTCTAGCATGTCCAAAAGATTCTCAATGGGGTTAAGGTCTGGACTCTGTGGTGGCCAATCCATGTGTGAACATGATGTCTCATGCTCCTTCTATCACTTATTGAATTTGATGAATCCTGGCATCCTGGAATATGCCCGTGCCGTCAGGGAAGATGGAATAACCTGGTCATTCAGTATATTCAGGTAGTCAGCTGACCTCATTCTTGGAGCACATCCTGTTGCTGAACCTAGACTTGACCAACTGCAGCAAGCCCAGATCATTGCACTGCCCCCACAGGCTTGTACAGACACGCATGATGGGAGCGTCATCTTCTTACCCTGATGCACCATCACTCTGGAACAGGGTCCATCTGGACTCAGACCAGTTTTTAATAATGCATTGGACAGTTTTAGTAGCTTCTGCAACCTTCTTAGATGTTTTCTTCGTATGATGCACGCCAATGATCTGATCCTTCTCAAACAAACTAACATCTTTTCCACGACCAGCAGATGTCGTTCCACATGGTTGTTTAAGAAATGAGAAGCAACTCATTGCACCAGTTGGGGTTGAATAACTTGCTGCCAGCTGAAAGATAATCACCCATGCAGTAATTATCCAATAAGAGGCTCGTACCTATTTCCCTATAGTTAAATCCAGGTGAAGACTTTTTTTTGGCAAGGCAGTGTATGCATTCAATTTTTTCTATTGTATGTGTTTAAGAAATGTGTACACAAGATGATCCAAACATCAAAAGTATCTAAAGCATTTTGTTACAGGGATGAATACACCTCTGAAGGCAGATAGACTTCTTTATTTGAGTAGCTTTCTCAATTCAAACCGAAAATGATTGAATTTCAAACTTCATTTGACCAGGGTTACCACTCCCTGCCCTGACTGGTGGAAATGTGACACTTGTGTTTACTTGACTGGAGTTTTAGCTTTTTGAGCGTTTGTAACATTTGTGGAAAACATTTAAGCGAACATTCTGCAGTGAAACATCAAATAATGAAAACGTTTGACACAAAGCAGAGCAATATTGTGTTTTTCAACATTTGCTTTGATTGCAACTGTTCACAGAAAAGGAACGGTGCATAAAACAAAAAACTTGAGAAGAAACAGCACACAAACTGCGTGTGATGTTCAAATGGGCTCAAAACTAAGATAAAATCCACCACCCATAGAGGTTCAAACATCAGTAATGTGTGAGTAATAACTCAGAACCAACACAAGAACTTTGGTCTTGGAGGGGTCCAATTATTAATGTGATGCATGTTAAAACCACTTACAGCAACCCTATTCACCACAGCTGCATGACTAATTCTGAGCCCTGCTGTAAAAACGAGCGCCAACCCACAGAGACGTTCGGGTTCAGCGTTTTCCTTAAAAAGCTACAAAAGGTGCAGTTCACCAGATACCACAAATGTATTTGAATAAATGTGCAAACACTGAGGGATGTGAGACTCTAATCAAACTAAAATGACTATTTTGGTTCCATCTCACAGACCTGAAACAAGGCTAACACTATCTCTACAATACCGCCCATGCAAAGTCATAGAGCTGCTTGAACTATGCGTCAGAGCATCAAAACACACAGACATGATGGCCTTTGTCATGGAAAACCTTTAGAGTGATGCTGAAAACACACAAGAGGATCTGCTCCGCTATGGTGGTTCAACAGCACCTCTCTGAGGGATACTTGGGTATTACACATGGATCAAATTAGCCTAAAAACACCGCAGATAATTCAGGAATGATTAAACTGGGACCTAAGGGGTAAACGTGTGAAAGCTTTATCCTCTTTAATATAAATTTACAACTTTCAGCACCAATTAAACTCCTGAATGATTTGAACCAGCCCCTTTGAATTTCAGTTTTATTGGGAGTTTTTCTGTCAGAGCAAAACTTTTAGGCATGGACGCATTTAAATGGATCCATCGGAGTCATCAACTCAGCTGTTTGGCATGTATCCTGATGTCAATAGTTTGAAAAATTACAAGTAAACAGAAACATGTCTAGACATTTGTGACTGAAGAAACAGTGCTTGCAACCGTATTCAAGCAGAGGTGTGACCAAGTCACTGCTTTGCAAGTCACAAGTCTTTCCAGTCAAGTCTCAAGTCAAGTCCAAGTCAAAGACTACCAAGTCCATGTCGAGTCCAAAGTCAATGATGTGGAAGTCCAAGTCAAGTCCAAGTCCTTAACTTTGAATTTTCAAGTCAACTGTCCAACTTCAATTTAATGACAATGATAATAAATTCCAGAAACAAAGAATGATTTATGATTTTTGTCCATGTCGTGCCACTTTTGTGCTAAAATATAAAATCTGCATCATCAAGTCAACAGATGCAACTCGACTCAAGTCGCAAGTCATTGGCGTTCAAATCCGAGTCAAGTCGTAAGTCTTTATAGATTTTATCAAGTCAAGTCAGAAGTCATTAGAATAATGACTCAAGTCTGACTCGAGTCCAAGCCATTTGTCTCGAGTCCACACCTCTGTATTAGAGTACAAAAGTTTAGAATGATAAAAGCTAGACAGTTCACAAAGCAGGCTAGGATCTTTTATTGATTGAAGATAATCAAAATATCCTGGGATGTTTGAAAGATGCAATACAATAAATATTCTGCAGCTGTTTAATTAGCTGCATTGTGAAATTTTGAAATGCACCAACTTTTGTTTATTAATTTTGAAGTTTTCACTTATAAAAAGAGAATTTATGTGCACTAATTTTAAAATGTAAGGGCTGAAGCTAATAAAACAGCCGAAGAACTCCAAACCTTTCCAAGCACTTTTAATTAAAAGCCTTGTACAAGAAACACAAAACCCAACGTGACACTGAATACATTATCTGTACAGCAAGGGTTTGCAAAACATGCTTCAGAGGTTCACATACATTACAATGTCATTATCATTATTATCCCCCGTCCTGTCATCACTTTCAGTACAATGTAAATAATTCATATCATAAACCAGACAAAAACTGTTTGCTTGACACACACACAAAACATGATCAAACCCATTGAGGATTATTAAAAATGGCATTCAAATAAACTGCCTTACATTAACATATTTATGCATATTTCAAACAAGTATTAAAATACAGTACAGTGAGGAACAAAAACAATGCTTCAAAAGAACAATTCATAAATGAGCATCATTATTCCATAACAATAATCCTTCGTTTAATTAATTTGTGCCAGATAATCAGCACTTACAAATTACGCCACGTAACAAAGCAAGACAATTTCCAAAAAGGGTAATAATAAAAAGAAACACTAATCCAGTAAAAATATGAGCCCTATTTGGTTACAAGACAGGCCACTATGTTGAGTCGCGCTACCCCGAATGACGACAAAAAGCATTGATTTTCAGTCGAATACCATAAACATCCACCGACTGTTACCACCACCACCGCCTAAAGATAACAAAAACACAGAACACGAAAAGAAATCCATTCCAAATAATAATATATCCATTTTGAGAAGATATCATTTACTTCATGAAAATTTAAAAAAACAGCACGGATTAAAAAACTGAAGGTCTTTTTTAAAAAATACAACTTTCATTCAAATTTGATCTCATATGATGGATATACCATTGCTGGAATAAGTCTTTCCATGTACAAGCTGTTGGAGGAATAAAACAGTATAGTGAACAACTACGACCATCCAGAACTTAACAGGTGAGGATGTATGTCTTCCTCGTCTGTAAAGAGTTCCTTCTGAAACTTCGGCAAAACCAAACATCGGAAACAGCGAAACATTCTTACAGTAAAGAGATCCTTACAGTCGCCAAGCTAACGCCACGGCTAAGTTTATTCCTTGTTTTAGGCGCCAAGCAAAAGACCGGGGTGCACGGAGCAGATGTAAGGCAACACATGCGGAAGATTTCTTTTAATACATAAAACAGAGACAAGTCGAGGTCTGAACAGAAAAGGAAACACCAGAAAGAAAGAAATTCTGGGCGTAGACGAATGTTTCCTTCAACTACTTCAAAAGTTCACTTGGGTGAAAACGTTGATCACTCAGGATTTATTAGACTGCGATGGAAACGACTCGCTCTCACTAAGCTCAGACATAATGGATCGAACCACCTTGATAACAAGCAGAATTTCTAACATCTGCCCTTAAATTTACCCAAGAACTGCACCTGTGATGGCAACGGCTAGCAGACATACTTTCAAGAACTAATTAAATTGACAACGTCAAATTGTAAAACAGATATGTATTTTAGCAGCTACAGTGAGATTAAATCTAACTAAACTAGCTGTACATGTCAGAACTAGAGGTGTAAATCTCTGATATTGATATAATGGACTGCAATTATACTTGTCGATATCTCAAATTCGGTAACAAACCATTTTGATTTTTACTCAAATTAGGATCCAACTATCGATACGAAACGATCATTTTCTAGACAACTTCGATTTCTGTTTTCTCACTGCTCGTCAAGACGCTTCTATTTTCTTCCTTTAACACATCTGATGATGTGCAGTACCAGTCAGTTTGATACACTATTCTATCAATTACTGCCTTATGGACCATTGACCATATAACCAATGTATTGATGTTGACCATGTAATTAATGTATCAGTGTAGACAAGTGTACTGTTACCTGCTAGTCAGAGCTTCACGCATTCATGTCTAAAGGTCAAGATACCTTTTCTCATTTGACCGGCAGCTCCTAAACTTTCTAGACCTTTATGAGATGAGAAGTTAAATGGTGCAATTCTGGATTTTGTTTTTAATCAACTGCAGCTCAGTTCAGGATCCCAACGTACATGAAACAGTTGAAGTTGTTGTGTTTGAGAGAAGTCAAAGCTAGTAAAAATTGCAAGGCCAGAAATAAACCTAGAAATGTATTGTTTGTTTTAGCTTTTAAAGTTGTGTGCACATTCGAGGCGGAAGAGGCTTTGAAAAATTAATGAAATACACCAAACAGGTTGTTTTCGATGCAGTGCATTGGGTTTACCTTCCTGTACTGATGCAATATACTAAGAGTCCAAATGTTTTAAGTGCAAAAACACATTTCCTCATTTAACATAAACAAATTAGACTTCCACTGACACTAAGTCAGGAAACTGACCAAACACCTGAAAGGTGTTGATAGCTGCCCAATTAGCAGAGAGCAAAACTTTTTTTTTCTCATGACGAGTGTAATTGATGAGAGCCCACACCAGATGGGCGAGGACCGCTCTGCTAGGACAACTGGTATCGCAAACAGACAAAACTCAGTTTTGTTTCAAGTGAGAGAAAACAAATATTGTTTCCTGCCAAATCTGCTTCACAGAGTCAATGTTGTGCATGTGGACAAAATATGGCAATATAAATGGCAAGCGGGCCTATCAGCTGCCCCCATTTTGAATTTAAACATTTTTTTAGGAAAAATATGTTCTTTTACCATTTCGTGGCTGGGCGGTGTTTAGTTATACATTTCAATGACTGCTTCACAAATCTCAACAATAGCACCAAAGTGGCAACATTGGCTTGTTATGTTTCGTTTTTTCATCTTCAATGGCAATCGAGTTCCTAATATCTGATCTCCTATGGCTTTGCAGAAGACGGCTCCTCGGGCACTGTGACAGGAGCAGGAGAAGAAGCGTTTTCCAGACCAGCTGAAGGTGAGGAGGGCCCGGAAGCGGGAGTGGGGAACTCTTTTATGGTGACCGTGACAAGGTTGGTAGTCACGTCTGTCACAACCACATCCTTGCAGCTTGGTGCCATTTCAGGGTGCCAGTCGGGGTCTCCCTCAGCAGGTACTCTTTGGGGTTCAACGGAGGTAGGGGTTTGTTCTGCTGGAGTAACGGGGGAAAGAACAGAGGGCGACTGATGTTTAGCTTTGTGTTGGCGAGGATTTTTCTTGCCAGTATCTGAGGGTGCTGAATGGTCCATGGAACTCTGTTCTTCATCTTCTAAAGAAGAAGATGGAGATGAAGGGAGGAAGGAAGATGCTAAGACTCCAGGGTTTGCATCTGAGGATGAGACCCGAGCAGGTGAATTTTTCTGGGTTTCTGCGAGAGCTTTATTGGACTTGCTGAAAGGTGAGGCCTCAGCAGGGGGCGGAGACAGTTTAGCTGTGGTATTGGTGCAAGACTTTCCTTCAGAACCACTGGAGCTGGAAGGAGAAGGAGGTGCCTGGTACTGTGAGGAAGTGCTGTGGCTGTTCCTAGCTCCTGTGCTGGTGCATGACCCCATATGGGAGTAAAATGACATGGGACCTCCACACTGCAGCCCAAACGGCTTACCATACATTGGGAATCCCAACATCTTCAGAGGAGGCTGGAAGGGTCTGTAAGGTGCCTCTCCCTTCCTACCAATGATGCGATTGCGTGAAGGGATGTTTTGGCGTCCGGTTGTAATATTCTTTGCACCTGTGCTACCCCTGCTTGGCTTGATGACTTTCAGGTTGAGGATTATCCGACCCCTCTTGACTTCACGAGGTTTGACTCGACGGTTCAGGATGCGGACGGTCTCAGAAAATGGGGAGACGTGCATGCGGGAGGGGAAGCCACCCGAAGTAGAATAGGACGATGCCATGGGGTCTGAACGAGGAAGAGGGCGCCTGGACATCCGGTGGCAGCGGTGAATGTCTTTCTTCAACTTGTGCGTCGCTGCGAGAGAGTTGAGTTTAGGAGTGGGGCCCATATTTGAAGAGGAAGAGGGTGATGGTAAATTAGGAGCAGGGGCAGAAGAGAAAGCTGCCCTGCTAGAGGTGGACAGAGACAAACGAGGCGTGTTCTGACGGCTACTTGACGCTCGACTGCTGGTCTCTCCTTTTGGAGTTTGAGTCTGAAGGAAATAAAACATTAAAAAATCAAAATTATCCTAACACATCGTGTTTAACTAATACCAGCATGGTTTAGGTAAATGTTCTGTATGGTGGACAAACCTTTCATAGCTTTGCCAACCAACAATCTGTATCTAACAGCAGTTTTGCATGGATTTGACTGCACTGTGGCTCGTGATTTGTAAGAGAAAATGCCAGCATGAAATGGAAAGTAGGTCATTACAAACATGTTGTTGTAGCACAGCCTCATTTTGACTTGATTTAATAAAAATGGAGCACAAAGAGATATTGAAAGAGGAAGAATATGGTTTTTAAAAAGGGAGCATTGTCACAAATAAGAGATTCAGTTTCTTTGAAGGGACCGCAAAGGCAAGAAATAGTATATGGCCCAAGAGGATTCCATCAATATTTTAGGACTTTTGCAATCAGGCAGTTTTATTTTTATCTTTGCAACTCTGTCACAGTCCAATAAACACTGTTTCTGGTTCAGTAGCCGAGTCTTATGCAGAAACATAGAAGTAAAAAATGCAAAAATTTACCTTCATGGCTAGGTTTTTTGGTTTTGGACCCCGCTTTTTTGGTCCGCTCATTTCCCTTTCGCGTTCCCTTTAAAAGAGAAGGTGAAATATAAGGAATGTGGTCACAAAACATGAAAAAGACACATAAGCCAGTGGGAGTAAACATAATGAGTTAAGAGAGATGATAGCTGCGTGTGAAAGTAGAGTAAAAAGCTCATCTAGCCAGCAGAGCTTCGTTGTCGTGTCCATTTCTGTTTCTTTTTGATGTGTCCGTTTGCAGTACAAATTTTTGACGGTTTGTGTTTCCTGTAAACATCTCTAAAGCAGCAAGAGCCTTTCAAGTGGCTTGGCAGGAGACAAAAAAAGAAGTTCAGTTCAGATGAGCTTCTTAGAATCAAAGATGAAGAAGGAATGTGAAGACAAACAGAATAAGAAGTCAAACACGATTCCTGGAAGTTAAAGATATATAACTTTTAAAAAATATAGTCTGAATACATGAGATAAGCATCCGTTTGATAAGTAAAATGTCACAGTGACTTTAGCAGTGATGCACTTTCACAACACCCACACGATGCACACCATGTGGCTGCTTCATCCTGCTCTGCTTTATTCAGTGTGAAGACCAAAGGTTGCGAAATCAGGATGTCTTACGAACAGAATTGTAGAGTGACTTCTGTATGATCAGAGTTCTAACTAAAATCTCGGTGCAGTGATCTCATTTTGCTTTAGGCTATGTACGTTTTTTAGGTGAAGATTTGTTCTATCATAAAGATGAACTATCTTTTGGTGTTGATTATCTTGAAAGTACATCGATGCTACGTCTGCAGTGATGCAGGCGTTGTACCAGTTTGTCGTGGTGAAGAGAGAGCTGAGCCGGAAGGCAAAGCACTCGATTTACCGTTCTATGTTTCTACCCTCCCCTATGGTCACGAGCTTTGGGTAGTAGCCGAAAGAACGAGATCACTAATACAAGCGGTCAGAATGAGTTTTTTTCGCAGGGTGTCAGAGATAGATAGAGATAGGGCGAGAAGCTCGCCATCCTGGAGGGGCTTGGAGTAGATCTGCTGCTCCTCCACATCAAGAGGAAACAATTGAGGTGGCTCTGGAATCTGGTTGTTTCAATTAGTGATCACAAATCAAAGCTGATCACCGTGACATGTGGGGTCCCCCAAGGCTCAGTTCTTAGACCACTGCTCATCAATCTCTACATGCTCCCCCTGAGTCAGCTCTGTCACCTAGTGACTGTGGTCCCCTTGACTCACTCAATCAGTGTATGGGGGAGGTTGCTGCTGGTTCATTACACCAACCTGCTATATGAGAGGGGTACGCCTATTGAGTACCGCTGGGATAGGCCATTGTATGTAATGTTTTGGAGGGGGAGGGTCTATTTTATTGTTTTTGGTACAGTATTTTCTAACAGAGTGAAAGTCCTTTTTTGTTTTTATTTTTTTGTTTGTTTGTTTTATTTATTTATTTAGAAGTTCTGGTTCTGGAAATTCCAATGTTAAATAAAGGTATAACTGTTGCATTTTAAAGGGTGTACTTGCATTATTATGATATATTAACATTACATAAGTGGTTATTTTGGTCTCAATAATGTTGACAATAATGTTGTTTATCGTCAATAATTTGTTGGACATCGTCCAGCAAAATTTGTTATCATCCCAGGCCTATTTACAACAGAGAAGTGGGTCCTCGTCTCCTTGAAGAATAGGCTCCAAACGGTAGGCTAATATTTCTGCTCCGACTTGCTTCTCTGCTGAGCCACTGGGATCTCCAACTCTCGCGGTTGTTTGCACAGTTTACAAATAGCCTCATCAGTGTTTACCGGCTCTATTTTATTGTTTGCCTAAAACCCAAAATACTCCCAAACTACAGAAGTTTTGTTCTTTCACCAAGTCGGTTGGAACGCGACCTGCCATCTTTCTCCCCGTCTCTCTCTCTCTCTCTTCTGCACTGTCATGTGATGATGACAACACGTTTGTAAACTTTATGGAACGTCTCTAAAGGTCTACTATATTAAACTATTTAAGTAAAAATAAAAATTCCACCACACATCAATTTTACACAATAAATGACTTTCATTTAATATCTAATAATTATCTCCTGCATTTTCATGACGGTACTGACACCAATATTGTGTATTTTTAAATGGTGGCTGTGTGCGGTATTATCATAATACTGCCCAAAACTAATTGGGTTCATACTACCTTGTTTTCAGCAAAAACTCCAGTGCATTATGAAGCACATTCATATGCATGCCTGAAGGTGGCAGTAGTTCCCCAAATTGTCAGCTTCTTCGCCATAAAAATCTTCCCTGGACATGGAATAGTTAGGTGGCGGGCAATAACGGTCTTAGACCTCATCCTTTCCCTGTGATCTTCTACACAGAGCAGTAATTGAGCTTGTAAAAACAAACGAGTGTAAACACAGGTAGCATTTTTGTTGCGGACAGTGACGTGAAATCTAAAATCCTGGTTATTTACTTGTACAAGTAAATGCTGACGATGGAGAATTCACAAATCTCCACCTTGGTCAGAGTTTTTGAAAGAATTGTTTGTGTGGCATTCATCTTTACTTTGGTGTGGATGACTAATATTTTTGTTGAGTGCATTACCCAGATATGTGTGCACAGGGTCTAAAATGTGGAAGAGGTCATCAAATTTGGTAAAATGGTAAATTGCCTGTGTTTGTATAGCACCTTCTTAGGGTTCTACAACCCTCCAAGGCGCTTTGCAACACAATCATCCACCCATTCACACACTTTTACACCCTGGTGGTAAATGAGCTGCAATGTAGCCACAGCTGCCCTGGAGCACAGTGACAGAGGCGAGGCCTGGCGAACACTGGCCCCACCAGTCCCTTTGACCACCACCAGCAGGCAAGGCGGGCTAAGTGTCTTGCCCAAGGACACAACAGCAGCATTCTCTGGTTGGAGCCAGGATCCAACCTGCAGCCTTCCAATTACTGGACCACCCACTCTACCTCCTGAGCCAATGCTGTCCCTAATACCTGGACATGGATGACTCATTAAAAGTTAAACAGGTCATTTACAAGAAAGGACAGAGCTGACTCTAGTTTTTGAGGTTGTTCTAGTGTTTTCTCAAGAACTCTGTTTATTTTGTAAAAGTTTTGTTGAATAATATTTACAGACTTAAAACTAAATTGCTGGTTCTGTGCTTGCAGCTTACTGAATTATGGAAAAGTGCTGCAAACACTACTTAACACTGAACAGGACTATTGGAGGCTGTTTGAGCTCTGCTGCAACAATTGGATCATCAGAAAGTCATTTCTGCCCACTGCCGTAACCTTTCACGACTGCTAAAAACGGGTTTAGACGTGAAATAAATGTGCATTTTATTTGAATGTGATGACAGATAGTTAAACTGATTGTTTTTCTTTCAAAGTAATAACCCAACAGCACAACAGCTCTTGCTCAGGGTTTAACATAGTTCGTTTTTCTACCCGTTGCAACATTTTTTATGTTTTCAATTCACATCTCTGGTCGCTTCTGTAAAGTGCCTCGCAAAATGTGATTCAAATTAATACAATTCTCTATAAACAGAATCCAGAGCTTGATTTGACTCATTTGAAAATGAATGTATTTAGGTTCAATTAATCAGAAAAGGATCTTTAGATGTTAGTAAAGTCTTGATTAAGTTCAAATGAAATGTTTTGCAAAAGCAAATAATGTAATAATGTCATAATAATGACATTTGTGTTTATTCAGTCCAGATTGGTGTATTGCATTATGACTTTTATGTAATGTCACGAATTTTGGCCGAAAAGCTGTCAAAAACCCAACGTGTATGCAAACACATGATTTACTCACTTTTGCTCAAAGCCCAAAATCAGCCTGTCATCCAGAATATTCTCCTCAGGCTCCCAAGTGCTGTGCCTAAAGAACACAGAAAATAACACAAGCACAAATTATATTTTTCAAAATTGATTTACTTTGTTTATTTATACTTTAAATCTGCTTTTGGGGTGGTACATACTTCATTGCCCATCCCTTCCATTTCACCAGATATTCAAGTCTTCCCTGCAAGTGGAGAAAAGATGGTGGGTTTAAAAAATTAGAACATATGTGAGTTGATTGCTTTTGGAGAAAGCATCAATAAAAATCTCAATTTTGAAGGGATTTGTCTTATTCTTTACTATTTTCATATCTATGCACAAAAGGTAAATCTAACATGCTCATTTCACCCATTTTTATGTATTTACATCTCACTTTGGTAATTTCTTTGCGTGTTCTGTTTAAGTCCAGTAACAAAATTTTTTTATTAAACCCGAACAGAGATGCATTTTCAGGGAAGCAGAATTTGCTTTTAATGTAAAAACATTTTAGGAGCTTGAGGCCTGGTGGGTCTGACAGATGGGAGCCTATAGGGAGATCTGTAGACTATAGTGGACCTTCCAGGGTGTAAAAGTCTTCAGTTTTTCTGCACTGAGGAAACTTCTAAAAGTCCTAATCATCAGTGGCTGGAAGACTCCTGATCAGATCTTAACGCGAGTGGAGCAAATGTTTTGGCACTTTAAATCAGAACCCGCTGGCAGCCTTTAATGTGGGTCATTCACTTCTTCCACTGCCAGCAAACTGTGACCATATAGCTCCAGCTAAAATTAGCTGGTGAAGAAATCATTCCCCTGTGTGCTAGAACTGCCCATATCCTCTGGCCGCCTTGTTATTTTGCCGCTAGTCGCTTCTTTGTGTCGCTGCTTTTATTGCTCTGCTATTGTCTGAACATAAAGACCGAGAGCCTAGCGTTAGCTCCTAGCTAGCACAGGCTATCAAACTATAGGCATTCGTCAACCGCAAGGCCTCCATAGCGTTGTATGGGCATAGAGCCTATGCACCGTAGCGGTGCTGACCGCGGCCAACATCTGCAGTCGGTCACACCTCTGAAGGACGGCGGCAGCGGCGTCGGCTCACCTTACGGACGCGCCGTTTCAGTATAGCTTCTGCGGCGAAAATGCGATCTCCCGCCGCCGAGAGCTCCATGTTTTACTGCTCGAGCTAAGCTGCCTTTCTCTATGTGTCTGTGAAGTCGGCAAGCAGCTCCTCGGTGCGCCTCAGTCAACCACAGTCAGGCAGTGTGTGAGAAGCAACATACACACATGCAGACACGCAGCAGAAGCGGCGCCCAGGCTGTCTGCGGGTCACGTGACCGAGGTCATCTCTGGTCGCTTCTGCAAAGGGGCTGAAACCACCGCACAGCGCTCACTTTTAATTACAATTAGGGACATTATTTGATTTATGAAGACCAAGGAGCCTTGGACATTATTATTATTATTATTGTTGTTGTTATTATTGTTGTTGTTGTTGTTGCTGTTGTTACAAGAGACAGCACCATTTGGGCAGGCACACTTCAACGGAGCTTCTGAAACGGCCCATCAGCTGAGTTTCTTCATGAACTATATGTACAAGTAATACATTACATTAAAACAAATACTGGTTTGGTTAAGTTATCTGGTATTTGTTCATTTAGCAAAAATAATGAATAAAAACACATTTGGAAATTCACTTGTGAAAAATACTTTACATAAGTCCTCCAGTGCCTATCTATCTATCTATCTATCTATCTATCTATCTATCTATCTATCTATCTATCTATCTATCTATCTATCTATCTATCTATCTATCTATCTATCTATCTATCTATCTATCTATCTATCTATCTATCTATCTATCCACCCCCCCCCTCTCTCTCTCTCTCTCTCTCTCTCTCTCTCTCTATATATATATATATATATATATATATATATATATATATATATATATATATATATATATATAGCTAATGGGTAGGTTGTGAAATCCATTGAAATCATGGTGAGAAAATGCGACTCTTTAGCACCATGCAGTTCAGAGAAATTATTGCAGCTACGGTGGCCCACTCATGAGTTTGATTGTACAGAATAGTCAATTTCCAACCTGTCTCGCCTAAGCCTAACCCACACAAAGCTTAAAACAAGCTACTCAACCACTTAAAAAACCATTTATAATTATGACTGTTATCAACCTACAGTTCTGAAGGAAGCAAGCTTGTTCTGTTTGATCTTGAAGCTGTCACGATTCACACACGGAGGAGGAGTGACGTCAGCTGGTAGGTCAGGTGTTGTGAGAAATTGTGTTCCCCTGAAAGATTCTGTCCCCCAGTGTCGGAAAGTCGCCCTTCAGGCTATTTTCACAACATTTGATAAACTTTTACAGGAAAATGATGTAATGTAATGTAATAATGTTATGCTTATGATTTTTATCTATGTCGTCCTAAAAACAATTAAAAAGGTACAGTAAAACTTTCTTGTTCACTCTTTACAAGCTTATTTATCATTTTTCTGGGCAGTGACTCGATGCAATCTGCTGGGTTCCTTATATAGGAAACTTTTTTCTGATTGGCTTAATGAACTGACCTGTATTTGAAAGTTTACCATGTGAAGTATGGGGTGCCATTTGTAAAGTCAAACAGTCATAATCTAAAAGCAATATTTTTGGTTATTTAGCAAATCATAAGAGAAAAAAAATTGGGAGTTCACTTTTTTGAAGTCAAATTTTCATGATGTTATTCATACATTTATAAATGTTAAAGTTTCCAAATAAATATTTAGTTAGCAAGTTAAATATTTAATTTGTAGTTAAATATTTCTTTTGCAAACTAAATGTTTAGGTATGATCTAAATATTTAGTTTGTAAAATAAATATTTTATTCACTAATTAAATATTTAATTTACTAATTAAATATTTATTTTGGAAATAAATATTTAATTTGTAAATTAAATGTTTATTTTCCGAAATAAATATTTAGATCCCAGCTAAATATTTATTTTGGAGCTAAACATTTAGCAAAATCAGTATTTGGGAAATACATATTTAAGTCTGACCCAAAAATATAAAATATAGTGTGGAGTTAAATAACATTGTGGAAAAAAAAATATTTAGCTGGTACTTAAACATTTAGCTAATATGCAAATTCGTTTGCCAATAAGCAGAAGTTGGTTACCAAAATAAAAACTGGATCTCTCTAACTTCTTTATAAACTCTTGCTCCGAACCAGAACTTGTTTTATCCCCGGTTCTATTCTTCTGAACATGTCCGACGTGTTGGCTGAAGATCACTTGATCACTGCTGTAATCATTCATTTTATTCCAGGTTGAAAATTGTTACAGCTGCTTTAATTTTGTTACAGGTTGTTACTTTTTTTTCAGCCTTTTATGAAGGTCATTACTTCCTTTGTGGTCTTCTGTGTGTTAGAGGTTGATTCTTTGCAGCTGCGACCATTGCCTGCTATCACAGACTAGTTGTTGTTGTTTATATTGTTTTATATTGTTTCCAAGTTAGTTAGGATGAACTTCGTTTGAACAGGGGGAATTGTTGGATAAAAGCAGTATTAGATGCATGGAAAATGATTTTGTCTGGGTATCATCTGGTGTTTTTAATTCAAACGAAGGTTCATTCCTTGTTCATATTTTGTTATTTTTCTGTGGCTCCGGCAGGGAAGTTCGACCTTGTAAGTCTGAAGTTCTGTCATCACAAAAAGCTCCCTAGTGAAGTCCAGACGGAGCGTTTCTCTGTTATACCAAGAACCTGGGAAAGTTTGCTTTCTGTGAGGGGGGGGGGGGGGGGGGGGGGGTGTAACTTTAGTGTGCGTAAATGTGTGTGCATTTTACCATTTTGTGTGACCTTAATAAATGCTTTCTGAGGGTTCTGTCTGATGAGAGCGAATAGACTACCGACTCGTGTGTATCATTTCATCTCTACTTTGCAGTCTAAATTGTTTGTTGTTAATAAAGATTGGTATGGGTTAATCGATCAGCTTATTAATATAACCCCTGCGTGTTGAACTTTCCCTAAGGTAACCCTGGATTTTATGTCTTTTGATTTAATGGTTTATTATTCAAACTAACAAGTACAGCAACTATGTAATTATTCTTTTCAATTTCTTAGAATTAGCAGACTCCATGCTTCCAGGGTACACTGCTGCCCTCTGCTGGTTCTTACAGGTTACAGTCATAGTGCAAACGCATAACGTGGAGCTCGAATGTCCCTAAACAGCTACTGTATTTTAAGATGGTGGATGACCATGGAGCATCGACCATAGTTTATTACGTTGCCCGTCTGGTGACATTAAGCGGGAAAAAAGTAACTCGAGGCCATGAGATACTTAATGCGTGGGAACGAATTGTTAACTCGTGGCCACGAAATATTAATGCGTGGCCACCATCGACATATATACTGGACAATTCATTTCCATAGGCTCCAATAACACGTTTTTGAGGGGGAATGGGAGGTGGCCACCACCGCCATTTTGACCGTGCCTCAGGTTCCGTCAAGCCCAGACAATTCCACAAAAAGAAAGAGAGGTGGAGCTGAGGGTGGGGCTGTAAGGCTGGGATCAACTGACGACACCCGGTCAAACTAGCTGCAAGCTAACCTGAAGCCAACCCAAAGCTAATGCAGAGGTGGGAGCTAAGCTTTTTGCACTTTTTAAAACACTGCCCAGCAAACATTCGGACGTTTAATGACAGTTGAACGGTCACAACTGTAAAATAATATCACAGCAATTAGGAAAGATTACCATGACATCTACTCTATTTTCCTTGCCCGAACTCGAACCTGGATCTTCCAGGGAGAGAGCCACCTGCTCTCCCAGCTGAGCTATGCCAGCAACTACCGAATATCAGACTTTTTTATATAGATAGGTAGAGGGTAAAGTGCGGGGTAAACTAACCAATCAGAGGACAGAGAAGATCTGCCACAGGCCGCGCCTCCAGAGTGCCAAAACCCCTTACAACCGAGCGAGCAGGAGTCAGAAACCGAGCGCGCAGAGAGGCTGCCGAGCGCGCAGAGAGGCTGCCGCGCCGCACGTTTTCCTCTGCCGTGTGCTCGTTGACAACGCGCGCACGCAGGTTTGTCACCTGTGCACATCCTTGTGCGCTCACAGACACAGTTTGCTCCCTCTCAGTGCACAAATGACCTCTCGCCATGTATATTTTCGCTCGCGAGTCCCTTTCACACGCGCGCTGCCATGTATATTTTCGCTCGCGAGTCCCGTTCACACGCGCGCTGTGGACCCAATCCGCGTGCACGGGTTGTGGCACGGGTCTGGCGCCATAGAAAACAGGTCTCCCGAGAGCTCCACAAGCCGATAGTCGGAACCCAGCTCCACCAACATGTTATATTTCAACCCATTTTCTAAAGTGCAGCATTATGTTAAAAGCACTGGGTTTTACCCTATAACATTTAAATTTCATGGTTAAACAGTACATGGTAAAATCTAAGCTCAGCTCGGCAGTGACCTAAAATACATAAATATAATTTTACTTTCCAAAAAAAATGAAGTGGAGACTCCTTGGTTGCTCTATTAGTGCAATTAATACCACAGCCAGTCATTTTGACCAATAATTGCACAAATAATATCCAAAAAAGAATGCACAAACGCTACAACTAATGGTCTAAGTTGAGAGACTGAAAATGGCGGAAGTTTTCAGGCGAGACCGAGGCTCAGACTGAGGCCTTTCCCCGGTGCTAGCTTTGCGTCACGTGGGTCTGATGCTCATTAATTATACAGAATTTTAGGCTTTTAATACACTTAAACAGAAGAGTGAGAAAAAAATTCATCCCCCTCAGAGTTGTCATGAGTGTAAACTAGATCATTTAAACCAAAAACATGTTTTGGTACCAGGCTGTAAACATGTTTATTTCTGCTGTGAAATTGGTAATTTTAACATGGGAGTCAATGAGGATTTGCTCGCTTCTGACGCCAGCCCCCAGCGGATGAGGGTGGAACTGCAATTTATTTCACTTCCGCATTGGCCTCAATTTCTGTCCCGCATTGTGGGGGCTTGGTAGCCACGAGTAATTTTTCTTCCCTCAATGTCACCAGACAGCACCGTAGTTTATGTATTTAAAAATGTATAATTTCAAGTTGAAAGGAATATTTAGAATTGAAGTTGGTCGGAAATATTAGTGAAAAGGGACAAGTTTGTGAACTAGAAATACAGGATTTCATAGTAAACAGCAGTGGCAGCTCCAGAAATTTTTTTCTGCAGGTGCTATGAAGGAGCTAGTCTTTTTATTGAGGGTGCTATGAAGGAAGTGGTCATGCGTACCTATTGTTCTCTAAAACACCTTCAACACTAGCAGATACACATGCGTGCACAAAACCTCAACAACACCTGAAACAATCATTAATATACATCACAAACATATGAACAATTGCTGACTTTTCCATGAAATCATGAACACATACAGCCACACAGAAAACCATCTATGGTGTTGCAAGGTTAGCTAACGTTAGTGTTAGCATTTCCAGCGGCAAAACCCTCGACTGCTGCGGTGGTTGAGGGTTGACTCTCTTCATCCAGATCCAAAGATTCATTCATTTCTGACTGAACCTGTGGAAATTTGGGCAACAAAAACCGATCCATTTTATCACTAGCTCTACCTTTCACTCGTTCGCAGGTGGAAAATGAGGTCAAAGGTTAACATAAATTTCCTGTTTTGGTTTAAGTTTTTACTATCTATATGATAATTTACCGGTCATTTTTGTTTTGTATGTTAAATATTATCACATCCACACGTTAAATTAAAATTAAATTGTAAAAAAAAAATCTAATATTTACTTGGGGGTGCTATGGGGGTGCAATGACTAATCCAGGGGTCGCTATAGCGCCCCCTAGCGTCCCCCTGGCGCCGCCACTGGTTAACAGGTAATATCACACACTGGGGCTTTAAAACGATCTTTTTAAGACTCATATTATGAATTATAAGAATAGGTATTTAAATGGCTGGACATGAGGTAGGTACTGACCATTTCCAAATTGGAAATTCCAACCCAGACCCTGCGGTAAAGTGACGTTTTCTGTATGCAATTTACATGGAAACTCCCCACCCCCCACCCCGGGGGGAAAAAATGTCCCACAGCATCTTTTTTTTTCCTGTTACGCCCCGCCTTCTCCACAGAGTGTGTCTGAAACGAGTGCTGTGATTGGACGAACACACGTCAATCATGATTAGCATCAGGCTTGGTTGAGGTGGTGGCTGCTGGTTGATGCAGCGGTCAGAAGTCATACAGCAGCTAGCAGGTAAACCAACCGATTCTATTCAATTTAACGCGATTAGTTCCAGTTGACAGCGATCTGATTAGAACATCTTATGTTTCTAGAAATATTTCACATCGATAAATCGAAAACATTTAAAGAGGAGAGTTCTGTACGCTAATTTGTTGTAGGTTTTTAGCTTTTGTATCATTTGTGGACTTTCTGAAATTTGTGAACAGCGAGAATGAGTGCTCTTGTTCATCACCGTACCTAAACATGAAACTAAATTAACAGGTCTTGGTTGACAGCTAACAATTAACTGGGCGAGTTACGTTACTATTACAGCTTTGATAATAATTGCCTGCAAGTGCAGCTCGTTAGTACTCTTACTAAAATAGTAATTTATACCAACAAGAGTCATTACAGTTAAATAAATGTTAGAAAGTACTTGTTTCTCCTTGACTGTGACATCCTGCACTGGAGATGAAATAAATCATTCATTAATGCTGACAACAATCCCACAGGAAGTGGTAGAGGAGGTGGAGAAGTCAAAGATGCAGATCTAGACTTTATTTTGTGTGTAGATGGGCTGACGTCATCAACAGTAATGTATATTTTATTATCTCTGTGAGTTATCAGAAAACGATGCAGTTCCTGGGTCGGCTGTTGGACACCGTCTCCTCTGTGTCGACTCTCTTCTCAAACCCATATCGTGTCAGAGATGTCCCGCAGTCTGATTATGGTGGAGGAGGAGGCAAAATCATCTTAAAACAGGAAGGCCGCGTGGTCCTGTACAAAAACACACAGTGTCAGTCATGGGACTGTTTGCTACTGTTGCCCGAGACACCGGCGATGGCTCTGAGGTCAGTATTGATCTTATTGTGTGGTCAGTCTAAAACCATCAGGCATGTGGGGGTTGAAGGTTCACATCAGATGTAGATTTGGTGAGGTCTGATTGTATTTAGATCACCGCTGACTTGTGATGTTTTCATAAAAACCTGCTCAACTAAATCCATGATTGAATCAGTGTTGACTCATTCAGGCGGAGACTGATGAACCAGTTTTGAAAAAGCCGTTGTGATGTTTTTATCAAAACTGAATTCAAACAAGCCGAACCCGTTAAATAATCTGAATTGTCCAGATAATAATCTGGTCTGTGTTGTTTTTAAATGGGGTCTATAAATAAAGTTGGAGTTCAGTGTTAAGGTTTCCAAGAACTCGTGGTGTGGTACTTACAGTACCACACACTGTGCAGTAGTCATACTTGTTTATCTGATTTTCAAAGCAACATTCCTACAGGAGAGATAATCAGAAGTAGGGCTGCACGATATTAGGAAAACCTGCGATATTCGATAATATTGCGAGATCGATATTACTCACGATAAATGAACAAATACATGCACTGCAAGTATGCAGGGTTGATGTCGTCTGGCGTGTGACGTCTGCTCTGGGCTCAAATCAAACAAAAACTAGTGCATGAATTCCATTACAACATAACATTTTTACTGCAAACATATGCAGCTGCACCTGCTACTGTATTAGCAGCAAAACAACAAACTGCATGCATGCAGTTTCTCAGTGATTTTAAAACATCATCTCCACCATAAAGCTTTCTGATGCTCCAAATACAGAAAAACATCCCTTACCAGGGTTTTTGAATAAATAAAATCTGAAAATTACTTTAAATGTTAAATAATAGTTAACATCACTTAAATGCAACAGCAAATTCTCTCATTGCTACTGAACATTTTCTCCACTTATGTGGTTATGATATAAGGCTGTTGCTGCTATTGGAAAGTGAACTGTGCTGGGCCAAACTAGGAGAATATTAAGATTTTCTGAGGGAAAGAGAAAAACAATTGTCTACCTTTCAGAAGAGGAACTGGCAAAAAACTACATGGAAAATATGTGAAAACGTTTGTTTTTAACCCCAAATTGAACAAGTTTACCTAGATCTTAAAAAGCAGCTCAGATGATGAAACTGCAACTATGATTCTGATAACAAGCTAACAAATTGAACTAGCTCCTCTAAGACAACCTTCTAGCAGAGCTTCTGACTGACAGTTTATGTGCAGCAGCAAATCAACTATCCTGATTAACAAGGTTATAAAAGCTCATAAATGAAAAATCACTTTGATGTGTGGGGGAACTTTTCCAGGCCCTCTTTAGCAGGGTGGGACTGGGAGGAGAGTGCTGTAGCCTTTTAGCTGGAAGCTAACCGGAGCCTGGGGCTAACACTAGCGACATAAAGGTGGGTTGGTTCACCGGCACGTGTCAGAGTCAGCCCGGTAAAAATGATTACTGACACCGAGCAGAGCCACGTTCACGTTTGAAAGCAGCACTGATTCTAGAAACATCAGCACAAAGTGCGTTCGTTGCTCTGAGCCAGCATGATGAACAAGGGAACGGCGCCGCAAACTCTGTTCGCGGGCCCACTGCCACATTATATAACCTTACAGTTTCTCGCGAGAGTAGGCCCTATCGATGTGATTGGGCTACTTATTGTACAGATCCAGAGTCAGTTTTTGTAGTAGACACAATAGCATAAACCTGTAAGCACTGAGGTGAAATCTGACTTCAGAACAGTTTAAAATTATGTAATAGGCATGGGAAAGTCACAGCAAAAGATAGTGTTACTAGATGCAATGTGAAATTATCGTACATTTGAGGATTTTTGAAACTATTGATCGTACATCGTACAGAGCCCAAAATTATGGTACAAATACGATAATTATCGTACATCTGACAACACTGGTTCGTGTGTTGCTTTCCAAAAGGGTCTACGTAGGGGGCGGGCGTATTACGTGAACGGAACCATCTGATTGGCCGCATATCAGAAGGACTACATTTGATTGGTCAAATAATACTTCTGCGTAAAAAACAGAGCTGGTTTACAAAAAGTTGATGTGTGACACGGATGGAAATGTTTGAACCAAACATTTATTGCTGTTTTTGCCGTGTTTTGCGATGGGCCTATCGCACGTCCTGTTATCGCGATGACGATAATTTTTCGATATATTGTGCAGCCCTAATCAGAAGTTTCACTTCTGAAAGTATCACCCACAGTTACATGTTACAAATGCTAATACAACATTACTGTCTGTAGGCTGTTTCAGGTGGTGTCAGAGGAAGATGCCATGGAGTGGTTCCAGCAGTATGGCCTCAAACTTAAACCTTTCTATGAGACTCTCCCTCTGAAGGTCGAGATGGTGCAAACGATTGTTGACTGCATCCGGAGCCACCCGGACTGGAGTTCCGCTCACATTGCTGTGGAGACCGGCCTGAGAGACTGTCTCAAACATAACCTTGTCCAAAGGTGAAACCGATACAAGCAGGTTCATTTCTATGATGTCTATTAAGGTTGAATCAGAGAGCAGGTTCACATGGAGAGGATGATACTGGTATAAATGAATAAAGTATCATAGAGGTTTTATCATGCAAAACCCTTTATAATATTGTTTTAATCAAATTCATGATGTCTCTGTAATTCTGATAACAATGAGAATTTCACGGAAGAAGCCAAAACTATCAGTTAGGTAAAGGAAATGTCTCTTTGTGTTTTCTACCGTACACCATTACCTGTTTAAGAGGAAATTCCCATCCTTAATAATAGAATAGAATAGACTTAATTGATCCCACAGTGGGGAAATTCACTTGTTACAGCACCACAAACGCTTAAGAAAGTAACCTGAAGAGAAATACTAAAAGTACATGTGTACACACAGAGGCAGTGAGCTAGGATTGTAACCTTTGACCGATATTTGCACCTTTCGATAATATTAAAATTATTTAGACTGAGGGAGTTAGACATCCTTAATTTGCAGTTTTTAGTCCATTAGTCACAAACCAATTTACTCCAGTTCAATTCCAAAATGGTCATTCTAACTCAAAATCATCCCACTAGTTTTGAAGTCAGCCTTTGTTTTTTTCTCTTTCGTTGGGAAAAGTTTTGTAAAGTCTGTAATAATCCAGCTGAACAAAGTTTTGGAGGCCTCCATGATGGTTTTCAGTCAGGCTTTAAGACACAGCGCTGAGACTGCACTGATTAAGGTATTAAATGATATTCTGGTCTATAAATTCTCCGGCACAATATCTGTCCTAATGATGCTCACAACATCTTTTGATACTGTGGACCACAACATCCTTCTTGATAGGCTCCTAAACTGGGTGCGACTATCAGACACGGTTCATCGTTGCTTCAGATTACATCACAAAGACAGGGGTTATGTTGTTTCTGTTGGTGATCACAAAACAGATCACGATGACATGTGGGGTCCCCCAAGGTTAAATTCTTGGATCACTGCACTTTAATATCTACATGCTCCTCCTGGGTCAGATCATACACAATAACATTAGCTATCATAGTCATAGTGCAGATGACACCCAGATCTACCGAGCTCTATCACCTAGTGACTCTGGTGCCCTAGACTCAGTGTTTGGTGCAAATTAATGACAGGATGCAGTCAAACTTTCTTCAGTTAAACAAAGACAAGACTGAAGTTATTGTCTTCAGAAAAAAGGATAGGATGGAGGTTATTGCTCAACTTGGCTCCAGAGAAATACAAATACCCAGTTCAGAAGTCTTGGTGTTTTTGTATTGGATTCATCCCTGAGCTCCACTGGTCACAAAGGCTATAACTAGATCAGCGTTTTATTATCTTCATCAAATAGAATGACAGAGGTCTCATATCCACACAAGATCTAGAGAAACTCATTCATGGGTTTCATCTCCAGCAGGGCTATTGCAATGGTCTTTTGGCTGGTCTTCCCAAAAATACCTTGTTCAGAATGCTGCTGCTAGACTCTTAACAAGAACCAAAAGAACAAAGCACATCACTCATGTTCTTAAATCTCTACATTGGTTACCAGTAAACTACAGAATTGATTTCAAAATACTTTTACTGGTTCATAAATCACTCAGTGGCATGGGGCCAGAATACATGCCGGATCTCCTTCCTGTGCATATGCCCAGCAGGGCTCTGAGATCCTTAGTAAGCGGTCAGTTGGTAGAACCCCGTGTCAGAACCAAACGGGGTGAAGCTGCTTTTCGCTACTATGCCGCGCACAGATGGAATCCGCTTCCTTTTTATCTCAAATCTGCTTCAACCTTAGGAACTTTTATATTGAAATTAAAAACTTTCAGTTCTGCTGCTAAATCCAAGATCTGGATGACTAAAATCTTCAAAATAGTCAAACCAGGAAAGAGTTTTGTGTTTGTTTTTGCTTATTTACATCACGATACATCAAACTAGACAAACAACCCAGCTTTTATACTAATATATTCATATAACTGGAACTTTAGGACTGCCCCTAAACAATGTCTTATATCTTGATTTTTTGATGAAGCTGTTCATTGAACAAAACCAAAAAAACACTCTTATTTAAATTATTATTATTTTTTTGATTAAAGGTTATACATATTTCTGTGTTCAGTCAGATTAATTGTCAGGATGCAACAGGCCAGACACCTCTTCACCTGGCATGTGAGAAAAGTGACTTGGCGAGTTTGAAGGCGCTCCTGGAGGAGAGCCAGGCTCGCACTGACATCAAAGACCACAACGGGGACACACCCATGCACTGTGCCTCCAAGCAGGACTCACCTGTCTTCATCCAGGTGAGACTCTTAACACCAGGCTGCAGCCATGTTGCTGTTTGTTTTCTGAGATTAAATCCAAGTTATTACTGTCCACCTGGAGAAAATGCTAATAAAATATATGACTTTGAATTGAATTAAGTTGTTGACAAATTCTTTTCAAAGTAATCTTGAGTGATTTCTAGCCTCAAAGACACAAAATACTTGTTTACCTTCATCAGAAGAACACAAACTGTTTCATCTTGTGAGATGTTGATCTCAGACAAAACAGTTTAATTTTTTTTATTTTTGTTTCTACATAGCAGCCATCAGCAGCCCCTTGTTGTATCTATGAAAACAAAAACCTGCAGCAGGTTGTCACATCACACCTGCCATCTTATCTCTGCACAAACATGTGCTGCTCAAGTTGCCCAAAGACGATGATTCTGAAATTACATTGCATTACTTTGGGCAGTTCCCCCCACCACTATCTTGGTCTCGTCTCGTTACTCCCGGAAAATACTGTGGCGCTGAGAGTGAGACTGAGGGTGGGGACAAATGATTGGCACCCATCAAACTCTGAGCTGATAAAGAAAGAAAACAATCTTTTATATGGCGCCTCTCACGATAAAAATCACGAGATGCTTCAAAAGAAAACAATAAATTAAAAAATATATATTTTTTAATGATTAAAAATAATAAAAATGAGAAAAATATGTTTTGAAAAATGTATGGAGAGAGAAAATAAATAGGAGGTAATCAGTGGATCCTGGGAAAGGCGGAATTGGTTGAAAGAGCTGAATAAGGAGAGAGTAATGATAAAGGTCATGCAAAAGCCAGCTTGAACAGGTGAGTTCTCAGCTCCTTTTTGAAGGAGACCACCGAGTCCACTGATCTCAGGGGGAGAGAGGTGTAGCTACCGGCTAACTGAGCTTACAGAGGTTGGCTGGCTCCGACGGTTCTGTGGGATTTGACATGAGAGATCTTCCACTCTCGTCTGAGATAGACGCTGATCAGTGACGTCACTCACTGCCAAGCAGCTGCAGTAGGCTGATGTCTGTGCAAAGTCCTGAAAGAGCTGAATTTGAATGGAGACACAACAGCTGAGAGGACCAAGCCAAATTTCCCTCTTACACAAATTACCCTGAAGTTCCGACAATGGAAACACTTCTAATGGGAACTTGCTTCTTTCTGGAGCCAGCCCCTAGTGGATGAGGGAGGAAATACATTTTTGTCACTTCCTTGTTGGCGTCACCTCTGGCAGGTGGAGTTTGCCCCTTGGTTTGAATGCACACACAGGCCTGGAATATTTTTGTGGAAAAATAGGAAGAGGCGTGTGAAGCACAGTGTTGGATTCTTATTAACATGATCTTCCATTTCTGCTCAATTTTTCATGCTTTGCTATCACCCTCTTCTCCTATAGGCCTTGTGTTCACAGTTGTGTTCGGGGGTGAATACGCTAAATAACGGCGGGGAAACTCCGCTCCATGTATCCTGTCGTCAGGGACGCGTGGAGTCCATCAAAGCCTTGCTGGAGGGTGGGGCGAAGTGTGACGTTGATGGAAATGCTGGTTATCCTATCCACACGGCTGTGAAGTACAGCCAGAAGGGGTGAGTGGGAGGAAGAGTGAGAACACTCACTATTGTTATCACTAAACACAGGTACAGCTGAAATTGTGTCTGAAGTTCTTTTAAGAATAAGAGATTATGTGTTACTTTAAAGAGGGGTCATTATTTATTAATTCCGTTAGTGTGAACAGCTGGGTGTGAACTCCATATGCCAGTAAAATTATTTTAATTTAAAAAAAAAATCCTACGAAGATTAAAGTTTGCAAAAAAAAAAATCTAAAAGAACCGTAAGGCTCGTAAACCACTGTAAAGTAAATGAATAATTTCTATTAAAGTTAGAAACTTCAACGTAAGGGAAATGACAAGTGCATAAAGTAAGAATGACACCTTGTGGTGAAATATGGGTACTGCAGTTCATGCATCAAAACAAACAAGTCCTCCCTGAGAAACTGTTGCCAGTTACGTATAATACGCTCATCATATTTCAATATAGATGTGTTACGAGTCTTTTACGGTTTTAGAATAGAATAGCATAGACTTTATTGATCCCACAGTGGGGAAATTCACATCTTTAATTGTGTATATATTGATTAAATCAAATATACTGTACAAGAGAGTTAGTACCTGCTAGTCACTGAAGCTGTAACTACTAAGCAGCTAACCAACCATAGATAACTGCTTTGGGTCTAAAGAAACCATTTAGATAATCCTGATAGCTACAATTAGTCAATTAGTTTATTTACATTTAAACTGGAAATTTGTCCCTGAAATAACTGCTGCTGGCTCCTGATCCAACATCTTTTTGAAAACACTATGCTGTATTCTGATAAATTTTTGACTGAGGGAAGGCAACAAGGCACCTCCCATGTATCCTTGGTCAGTTAGCTAAACAGCAAATGTAGGATCTTGGTCATTCCTGATTATGCATCTCCTAAGCAACTGGGGTGGGATCAAGGCGAGGTACCTTGACATTGAGAAACACCCAGTAATTGGATAAGTAGATAAAAACATTTCACCGTTAACCGTGTTAACTCAGCGTTAGCCTCGAGCTATCTTTGCCCAAAATAAAACAAAAAGGATGCTATGACTAAGAGGTACAAGAAATAACTTCTGGGTTGCTCTTGTTACTGGCTTAGGTTTTTTTAAAGAACACTGCAGCCTTTTGTCCACTTGTGTGGAATTACAATTTTCTGTGTGGTGTTTGGGTTGAAGACTTGACCACCAGGCAGTCTCACATATGATTGGCTCTGCAACCAGGAAGTATGGAGGCAGGACAGATTTTAAAGAATGACTAAGGGTGTTTCTCAATGTCAAGGCGCTTGGCCTTGCTTACGAGGCCACTGTCCTTCCTTGGTCAAAGGAAACGGTTAAATGGAACAGACTTGCATCACGTGACACGAGAGATAATGTTATATTTTATACGTATTAGTTTCAATATAAATATACAACGAGCCTTTCACTTTTTTAATTGTGTATATATTTGTTAAATTGAATATATAAAAGTGAGTTACTACCCGCTAGCCAACGAAGCTGCAAGTACTAAGCAACTAACCAAACAGAGTTAACTTCTTTGGATCTAAAAAAAACTATTTTAAATTAGTTGACTTACTTTTAAACTTGAAATTTGCCCCCGAAGTAGCTGCCGGTTTCTGATCCGCCATCCTTTTGAAAATACTGCAGTGTATTCTGGGTAATTTTTGACCAAGGCCAGGCTACAAGACACCTCCCGTGTACCCTTGCTCAGCTAGCTAAACGGCTAACAAACGGAGAACACACGCCTCAGTAGAACATGAACATTGGAACACGGCGGTTCCTGATGACGTATCTCCTAGGCAACCGGGTCGGAGCAAAGACATCAAGGCAAGGTTCCTTGACATTGAGAAACATCCTATGTCCCGCTTTTGCTATTTTAAAAGGAGAAAAATTGACAACCCTCCCAGCTAGTTGAGAAGGAAAGCTATTTTTATGTAATGTAATACTCTCAACATGCTTGAGACATTAAACCGGTGTGAATATTTCACTGTAAAATTCTTACATATTGCTCCTTTAAGATCTTTAATATTAGGAACTTTAATTGCCCAAAAATCAATATTATGTTGAAAGATTCTTCAGCCGCAAAACGTATGTTTCTCAACCTACTCAGGATAAGCCAAAAAAAAAAAAAAAAACACAAATCTTTGATCATTTTATCTTTAATGTTTTGTGTTCAAAAAACATTATTGAATAATTTCTAAAAATACTAACTGGTTTGCAGCAACACACAAACAGCTGTTAAAACATCAGAATGTTTTTTAATTAATAACACAGATAATAACGATTAACTTCAGTAAATTATACGAATGAATATAATGAATGGTATAACAGTTATCATTTGTGTGTGTGTGTGTGTGTGTGTGTGTGTGTGTGTGTGTGTGTGTGTGTGTGTGTGTGTGTGTGTGTGTGTGTGTGTGTGTGTGTGTGTGTGTGTGTGTGTGTGTGTGTGTGTGTGTGTGTGTGTGTGTGTGTGTGTGTGTTTCAGTTGTGTAGAGGAGATTCTCAGAGCAGATCCTAGCCAGCTCCAAGCTGAAGACTCCATGCATGGAGGGACACCACTGCACTGGTCTAAGACAGCCGAGGTTAAACACACGACATGACATTTTTAGCTGTTAGACGTAAACGTTGAGCTCTCCAAAGAAGAATGATTAGATGTTAACTAGGGATGTGTACTGGTGAAATTCTGGCGTTACGATACGCGTCACCATACAGGGGAGATGTTACAATATATCACGATCTATTGCGATACATTCAGTCAGACGATATTAGGGATTTTTTTATACTGAATTTATTGTAAGACAATGCAATAAACACTCCGAACTGATACTTAACATGTTTAAAGTTATGTATCTGAACCATAATAGAGGGATTTACATTTCATGTTGGTGCATCCCATTTGGTTAGAAGAAGAAGAAGAAGAAAGAAGAAAATATCATTTCTATAGCGCCTCTCAAGATAAAAATCACGAGGCGCTTCACAAAAACAAAAACAAAAAATATAAAAAATTGTAAAAATATAAAAAAGCACTTAGAAAATGTTTAAAAATATATTAAAATGAGCAAAAATAAGCAATTACGGTTTAAAAGATAAAATTTTAAGAAAGAGAGAGAGTGAATAGGAAAGAGGGAAATCAGTGGATCCTGAGGAAGGTGGAATAGGTGGGGAGAGCAGAATAAAGAGAGAGGGGTGAAGAAGGTCATACAAAAGCCAGCTTGAACAAGTGAGTCTTCAGCTGCTTTTTGAAGGAGACCACTGAGTCCACTGATCTCAGGCTCAGGGAGAGAGAGTTCCAGAGTCTGGGGGCCACAGCAGCAAATGATCTGTCACCTTTGGTCTTTAGCCTGGTGCTGCACAACCAGTAGGCTTTGATCACTGGACCTCAGGGACCTGCTGGGGGTGTAGGGACTAAAAAGATCACCAATGTAAGATGGTGTTTGTCCATGTAAGACCCTATAGACCAGAACCAGGATCTTGAAATGAACCCTGGAGTTGACTGGTAGCCAGTGAAGCTGGAGGAGAAGCGGGGTGATGTGGGTGTATTTGGAGGACTTGGTCAGAAGCCGAGCACAGGCGTTCTGAACCACCTGTAGACGGTTCAGGGAGGTTCTGCTCAGACACGTGAAAAGAGAGTTACAGTAGTCTAAGCGTGAGGAGATGAAGGTGTAGATAACTGTCTCAAGTTCAGAGCGAGACAGAATGGGACTCAGCTTAGCAATGTTCCTGAGATGGAAGAAGGAAGAGCGAACAAGAGAACTGACATGAGAATCCAGGGTGGGAGCTGGGTCAAAGGTCATGCCAAGATTCCTGACGGAAGGTTTGGTGTGGGAAGCAAGCTGACCAAGAGAGTCTCTGACTTTGGGAACCAGCTTGTCTGGGGCACAGATGTGGATCTCAGTCTTATCTTCATTCAGCTGTAGAAAGCTCCCAGCCATCCCGGTTTTGATAGTGTCTAAGCAGGTGTGTAACAGCTGCAGCTTAGACAACTCATGGGGCTTAAAGGAGATGTACAGTTGGATGTCATCTGCATAAAGATGGTAGGAGATTCCTTTGAAGGAGCTCAGGATGTGCTGAAGAGGAAGCAGATAGAGGAGGAAGAGCAGAGGCCCCAGCACAGAACCTTGTGGGACACCATGGGTAAGAGAGGTGGTGGAGGACCTAAACTTGGAGACGGCCACAGAAAAGGAGCGCTCAGAGAGATAAGAGGAGAACCACTCCAGAGCAGTTCCTGATAGGCCTACCCAGTCTCTCAGCCTCTCCAGTAGCAGGTGATGGTCAACAGTGTCAAAGGCTGCAGTCAGGTCCAGCAGGACCAGAACAGAACAGTCCCCTGCATCACTGTGAGTCAGAAGGTCATTATAGACTCTAAGAAGAACTGTTTCAGTAGAATGAGCTCTACGAAAACCTGACTGGAAGCTATCATAGATGTTATGTTCATCAAGAGCAGCTGTGAGTTGTTTAGCCACAACCTTTTCCAAGATCTTGGAGATGAACAGAAGTTTAGAGATGGGTCTGAAGCTGCTATGGAGAGAGGGGTCAAGACTCAGTTTTTTAAGAAGCGGATGGATTACAGCGTTCTTAAAGTAAGCAGGGACCTGACCAGAAACCAGAGAAGCATTAATTATAGAGAGCACGCTGGGACCGATGGACAGAAAAGCACTTTTAAACAAAGATGAGGGTAAGATGTCGAGGGGGCATGCAGAGGTCTTCATAGAGTTAACTAGTTTGGTTAACTCAGGCAAAGAAACAGGAGCAAAGCTATCTAGGATGATGGGCCTGGTTGGAGTCGGGAGAGGCAGCGATAAGGCTGAAGGAGAGATGCTAGATCTAACCTTATTGACTTTGTCCACAAAGAATGACAGAAAGTTCTCACAGTCTGCAACAGAGTGGAAGGGGGCTGTAGGAGTGGCAGGGGAGACGATGCTGCTGATGGTGTTAAACAGCACCTTGGGGTTCCCTTTTCTCTGGAACACCAGGTTGGAGAAATAGGAAATCCTAGTGTCTCTGACTGCAGAGTTAAAGCATGACAGAAGATCCTTTAGGTGCAGCAGATGGACGTGGAGATGGGTTTTCTTCCACAAGTGCTCAATTTTTCTGCATTGGCGCTTCAGGCTGCGAAGGCTGTCATTAAACCAGGGAGTAGTGTTCACTGCAGGAACTGATCTGGTTCTGACAGGACAGATGTTGTCCAGAATGGAGAGGCAGTGCTCGTTAAACTGAGAAGTTAAGGAATCTGGGTCGTTATCAGAAGAACAGGGTGGATCAAAAGCAGCAGAAAAATTGCTAGCTGTGCTCTCATTAAGAAAACGAGAACTAACCATACGGCGAGCAGGAGGTGGGGATGCAGAAACTGACAAGTTAAAGAAAATGCAATGGTGATCTGAAATATAAACGTCCTCAGGACAAACACTGTCAGCATTTAGACCCAGGCTAAAAACAAGGTCTAGAGTGGGCCCCCTGGTTTGAGTGGGGCCAGAAACATGCTGGGTAAAGCTGAAGGAGTCCATAAGGCTGGAGAAATTCATGGCAAAGTGATCAGAGGGATCATCAACGTGGATGTTAAAATCACCAACAATCACCAGTCTGGACAGCTTCACAGTGGAGGATAGAAAGTCACTAAACTCCTGAAGGAAAGAACCGTTTGGACCAGGTTGACGATAAACCACAGCACAGTAGAACGGGTCCTTACGCCCAACTTTAATCAGCTGCAGTTCAAAGGAAGCAAAGTGACCAGAGGTTGTAGAGCAACATGAAAGATGGTCTCTGAAAACAACTGCTAGGCCTCCACCACGACCAGAACCCCGGGGCTGGCTAAGAAAAGAATAACCACTCGGGCAGAGTTCAATCAGACCACAATAATCAGATGTTTGCTGCCAAACTTCAGTAAGAAACAGAAAATCCAGGTTTTTAGTGAGGATTAGATCATTGAGCAGGAAGGTCTTATTGTTAACAGAGTGGGTATTTAATAGAGCCATGCTGAGTGAGGTGAAGGAATCAGAAACTACAGAAACAGCTGGAGTTAGTGGACGTAAATTAGCAGGGTTAGATCCACGGTGTTTATAAAAACCACTTATGGAAGGAACAGGAGGAGAAACCGCTGAGGAATGAGGATAACCCGACCTTAAAAAACTTGGACGGATGAACCGCGTTGCAACGCGGCCTGGCAGGAATGCGGAAGTGGCGCTCAGGTCACCAAACAAAGGACAAGAAGCTAGAAGATCGCTCCGATGTTTACTAGATAAACCACGCTTTAAGAGAAGTCTTATTCTCACCTGGATTCCTGCTCGTTTACCTCTTTTCCTCCGACGTTTTCCCGAGACCGGACAAACATAGCTGGAGGTGGGCAGTTCGGGACCGTAGGTTGGCTCCGGGCCAGTGCGCCACTCAGGTAAACAAACAGGATGGAACGTCCTTGGTGCGTCTTGGGCGATCGTGAACGAACGGAAGGACAAAATAGTCTGGCAATCATAGGAGATGGTAGCAGGGACACTACTGAAGAGGATCGCAGACAGGAGCAAGGTGGAAAAGAGGAGGTTAGTGGAGAAAAGTTTGAAAAAGTGGCCGGTGACTGCAGCTAAGCCAAGCACAGGCGCCATCTTGTTGCCAACCGGAAATGTTGATTTAAACTCTAAACTGTGTAAATCTGCAAAGTTGGACTGATAAAAAAGAGTTAACGCCAACTTAATATCTATATATTTTTTGTTGTTTCTGTGGCAGATGTGTCGGTTGCTGCTGAATCATGGCTCTGATGTGAACTATCTGAGTAGGACAGGAGAGAGCGCCCTCCACATTCTAACTGAAAGGGGGCGTTTCGAGGCAGCCATGGTGTTGCTCACCCACGGGGCACATGCTAACCTGAAGGGTCGGGATGGAAACACAGCTTTGCACTTGGCCATGAAGGTGTGTGTGAGAATAAACTCACAGCGATACTCCAGATGTCCTCGAATAAGATTTCATTTTCACAACTTGTTGGCAAAAATGAAATTACCTTTCAATAATTGCAAGCAGTAAAAGAAATAGTTAATTTTTAGGTTTTAAATTTACAGGCAATTCCCATCCAAGGAATTAATTTAACCTCTGTTCTGCAGGCGGATAACATAGAGATGATCAAAGCTCTGATTGTGTTTGGAGCTGATGTTGAGATCCATAACGATCTTGGAGAAACACCTGGACTCATTGCTGCACGCACAAGCAAAGGTACGATTTGGTTAGTGAAACAATAAAACAAAAAATGAATGTGCCTGAATAAAAAAAATAAACACAATAAATATTGGATGTTGTGGAGCGTAATTAAAAAAGCATGTGCTCCAGTGGGGGTGTCAGAGAGAGACCACTGCAAATGCATTGATTGAATGAGTGTTCAACACCTTTAAAGGGAGACTAGGCAGTTTTGTCTTGCTTTTAGCACCCCCTAGTGGAAAAAGGAAAGTGAAACTTATCTCCATGCTAACAGCTGATAAGTCTCCTTAGCCTTCATTAGTGTCTACAGGAGCGGCTCATCACTAAATCAAACAAATAAGCTGTGTTCATGATCTAAAACACACAAGAAAATCCCTGGAAGCAGACTCCAGTGCTGGCATGTCAGGTCCATGTCCAAGTCCAACCGGAGGCGGCCCACCACTCTGAAGTTGCAAGTCCGGTATTCTGGCAACAGAGGCCAGTAGAGGGGGCCGGGTGACATTTCATTAACCCTGTAAAGGGTCATTTTAGTACACACTAGCTCAAGAAAATTATTTAAACTTATGAAAAAGTTGCAAAGTATCCCTTTAAAGTGACAGAGCCCTGAAACGGCTCATTCTGGAAGGTACTGAAAATGTCTAGAATGAAACAGCTGAATTGGGAGTTTTTTTAATAGACAGGCTTATTATAACTTACATAAAAAAAACTTCATCATACATGTCATGCATTAAATATGAATGTAATTTTAAAATTCTCTCACTAGTAAAAGGGGTTTGCTCTTTTTTATTTCTTTCTAAAACATGTTGATTGCTCTCTGCTCGCTTTCTCTTCTTGCTGCCTTCTAGGCATCTGATCTAAACATGTCTCCTCTCTGGTCTGTTTGAGGCATGTGTGTGTTTGTGTTTGTGTGTGTGTGCATGCCTAACACGCTTGTGTTTGTATTAACATAAAAGGTCCTAATAGAAAGATACTGCTGGACATGCTGCGTAGTGTAGGAGTCCATCGCTGCCTGCCCCCCTCCCCTGGCAGTCCTCCTCCTCTTCCAATCTCCAACAAGATCAAGCCTCAAGGCATAGGTAACACCATCCTCCTCCTTGAGCTGTGCCTCCCTGTTGCTGCATCATTTTATTTTTTTCTCCAAACAGCAGTTTTGTGCATTGCATTTTGAGCATTTTGGACTTAAAGCTATTTTATGCCTTCATGCTAAAATGATGAAATTGTCTTAAACTGTTCTGTTTGAATGTTTTAAGGTTTTATTAAATAAAGGGCAACATTTAACATTATAATAATGTTAAGTGTCTTTTTTTCCAGTAGGTAAAACTCGGATAATATTTTCCTTCCTCTTCCTTTCATGTATAAATTTGATGACATGTTTACATGTGAACACCTTGCAGGGTTTGAGCATGTTATGTTTGTTGGAGCTGCAATTCGGGCCATGGATAGAGGGTCATGTGCACTCGATGGTGCCAAAAAGGATAAACAGAGGTAAGTATCAGCATGTTGTTAAAAGGAGCTCTGCTTAAATAAAGATTGGAGCTAGGATTGTGTAATACTACGTAGAAGGTAAAGTGCCTTGTTTAGGGATTGTGGATATTACCTTTGTTGATCTCTCAAGAGGAAGGTCACATCAGATGTCTGCCTTTATTTGTTAAATGTTGTACATTCTGTCCCCGTCAGGATGGACCGGCTCCTGTGTCTAGATGGTGGTGGTATCAAAGGTCTAGTGCTGATCCAGATGCTGATTGCTCTGGAGAGAGAAGCAGGAAGACCCATCAGAGAGCTCTTTGACTGGATTGCTGGCACGAGCACAGGGGGCATCCTTGCCCTTGCTATAATTCATGGTGTGTCTTTTTTTTTTTTACTTTCTATATTGTAATGCGCTATCAGAGCTGTAATAGTTTTTTTTATGTCCCTGGGCAGGTAAGAATATGGAGTACTTGCGCTGCCTGTACTTCCGGATGAAGGAGCAGGTATTTAAAGGGTCCAGACCCTACGAATCGGCACCGCTGGAGGAATTCCTGAAGACGGAATTTGGAGAAAACACCAAGATGACAGATGTTCAGTATCCCAGGTAACCGCACATGTCAGGGTGTAACATTAGACCTAGTACCTACAATAAAAATACTCGTTTCCCTCTCCAACTTTTGCCTTCTTTACTCAGGGTCATGGTCACCAGCGTTTTAGCTGACAGACATCCAGGTGAGCTGCATATCTTCAGGAACTATGACCTCCCAGATCCAAGAGAGCCTCCATATGCCTCCACTGCCACATTCCAGCCTCTAATCACACCACAAGGTACAAAAATACCCAGTTAAGTGGATGGCCTACTGCACTAGTAGTGTCATTTGTGCACCACTAGATGGCACCAAAGTGCTCGACTTTTCTCCCATGTGATGGCTAACCCTACTATGTTCTCAAATCTCTGGTGAACAGAGCAAACAGGGATGCCCTGAGTGAACCTAAACAGACTGATGAAGATGTCCTGTTGCTCTGTGCAGTTTGAGTGTCAGCCATGTTGTTGCAGGATGGGAGGATGAGGATGTGTTGATAGTAGGATGCACTGAGGAGCCACCCAGAAAGCGTAGGAAGGTGGCAGATGAAGGTGTGTGTGTGTGTGTGTTTGTGTGTGTGTGCGTGTGTGTGTGTGTGTGTGTGTGTGTGTGTGTGTGTGCGTGTGTGCGTGTGTGCGTGCGTGCGTGCGTGGGGCCAGGTGAAAGTCATAAAGTCAGTTTTTGCCTTAAAACACCCTGAACATTTTACAGTCTTTAATGTTTTCTTATGATGCATCCAGTTTAGTACCAGACGCCTCTAAGATAATTATATTTTTAACCTTTTTTTAAATCTGTAAACAAATATTTTAACAATAAAACTTTATTGTTCACTGGGATAAAATCTAACCCTATGAATGCAAATGAAAAATAATAACTGTAGAGCTTTGTGTTTCCATCAGAACAGCTCGTGTGGAGAGCGGCTCGCTGCAGTGGTGCCGCTCCCACCTATTTCCGACCAATGGGGCGTTTTCTGGATGGTGGGCTGCTGGCTAACAACCCCACACTGGACGCCATTACAGAAATCCATCAACACAACAAGACTCTGAATGCCAAGGTGGGCATTTCTTCTCACAGTATTCAGCTGCGAGCACGACAGTATCTTTAAAACAAGTTTTCTTGTTTTTCTCAGGGCCTCCAGCAGGATGTGAAGAAGCTGGGTGTAGTTGTGTCTTTAGGGACAGGTTAGCCATTCGTGTCTTTAACAAAACTAATGGTTTATCTGAAGGATCGGTATTTAGATACTGGTGATGTGTCTCCAGGTAAACCGCCCCAGGAAGTGGTTACTTCTGTGGATGTTTTCCGGCCCACCAATCCTCTGCAGCTGGCCAAGACTTTTGTTGGGGTGAAGGAGCTGGGCAAGATGCTGGTGGACTGTGTGAGTTCCCCAGTTTAATATCAGGAAATTCTCAAGTCGAGAGTTGTTGTTCTTCCTTTATTTTATGGTCCTCATGATTAAATCTAAACATTCTAACAAATATTTGTCTTTCTGGGTCTGATGTCTTTTTGAACAGTGTACAGACTCTGATGGCTGTACAGTGGACCGAGCCAGGGCCTGGTGTGAAATGGTCGACACCATCTATCACAGGTTGCTCACTGGTTCCCTCTTATCTCTTTTCTTCATTCTTTCTATCATATTTAGGTCTAAGTGTTACTTTAATTGGGCTGTAGAATTTAAAACCACATTTACCTTGTTGTTGAATATAGGCAGCTTGGGGTGTCTAATGTAGACAAAACGTCTGCGCTGTCTCCAACCTGCTTTCCTATGTAAATTAGCAATACTGTAAGTTTGTAATGGTTGCTGGGAGGAGTGGTTCACTCATGGAAAAGTTAGTTTAACACATGATAAGCTTAGACACGGCAGCTTACATTAGCATGTCTCAACCCTCTTCAACGTTAGCAATGCATCAGTCACGGTAATGCTAACCGTAGACCAATGCTAGCCCAAGCTACTGCTAATATCAGCCTCAGTTACTGCTAATGAGGTTTCATATACTATAGAGCAGTGGTTCTCAATAGGCGGCCCGCGAGCTGGACCCGGACCATCAGTACACACACACACACACACACACACGCGCATGCTGGAGCGGCCAACATCATAGGAACTTTTTAAACGTTTTAGTAACCCTGCTGTAGACGCTCAAAGGACATTTTCCAGTTATAAATAAACCTTTTCTACTGACACTTTAAACCATTAAACAATGTGAAATATCTGCTGTTGTGGTTAATTTTAGAAGTGATTTCTTCCTTCATGATGCTCCCAACTGTTTACTATAAAAAAAACTGTATTGCATTTCAGCTATGTTGGAAGCTAAAATCTAAAAGATTCAGGAGCTAAAGTATGAATTTAAAAATAACTTTTCTGCTCCATGTGATCTAGAAAACAGCTTTTTTTTTAGTATTTGTAAATACTGTAAAACTGTGTGTGTGTGTGTGTGTGTGTGTGTGTCTGTGTGTGTGTGTGTGTGTGTGTGTGTGTGTGTGTGTGTGTGTGTGTGTGTGTGTGTGTGTGTGTGTGTGTGTGTGTGTGTGTGTGTGTGTGTGTGTGTGTGTACAGACTGAGTCCACAGCTGTCTCAAGAGGTGATGCTGGATGAGGTGAGCGACGCGGTCCTCGTCAACATGCTGTGGGAAACTCAGATGTACCTGTTTCAGAAGAGGGACATCCTCCAGTCTCTGGCACAGCTTTTGCTACAATAACAGAGAGAGGACATCACAAGCAGAGGCTACCAGAAATCAGGGGCGCTAAGAACACCAAGTTACTGACTAATGTGAAAAATGACTTATTTTTTCAGCTGAAGTATTTCAAAGATGTATGAAATATAAATAACCAGAAAGTAATAATATATTATTGGTAGAAGAGTTATGTAGCATTATGGGACCTTACCACTGCTGTTAATCAGGTTTAATGTTTTTATACAAACCAAAGAAGAATTGATAGTCCTTCCCTCCTTGTGTGAATCAACAAGCCCACCCTCTCAATGTTGCTGCTAAACCTGTTATTTTTAACTATAAGCATCTTCTAAACCAATCAAGTGATTATTTTGTTTATGTAATATGATCAAAGGGGCCACTAGTTATTATAAAAACCTTTTGAAAAAAGTGATGATGGTACTGATTCTGATGTTTTCTTACCACTTTCCACAGTCATCAGGCTTTTATATCGGTCATTCACACCAACCTTTGAGGCACTGTTTATCTTTTGACTAATAACTTTCACACTTGAGTCGTTCAAATGTTGTTTTGAGCTCACATTTTAACTAGAAGTGAAGTGAAAACTGCAGCAAGTTGTCAGCTATCTGAAAACGTGCGCTATAATAAACAGGAAGCAACTAATTGCTTGTTTTTCTATAATTTACAGGAGTGTAAAAAATGAGGTAATAAATCATATTACTGTTGAACTTGTGTATGAGTGATTGAATACCTTTGTACTTAATTCAGGAGAAACTAGACACACACAAAGCACGTTATGGATGAACCATTTCCAGGGATTAAAATATTTGACTTTGATAATAAGATAAACCAGTCATGCTTTACATGACAGAAGTCTACTCCCAGTCCCTCTTACAACAGCTTTGACACGTCAAACCCTCTAATCTTCAGTGCCACCTTAAAGTGGTGTGGGTCAAGGCTTCTGTGAAAGCTGCCTCTTCTCTCATATGGTCAGCATTAAAGGTGCATCATGTAAGAATTAGTTAGAATGGCACCATGTGGTCAGATTTGGGTACTGCAGCCCATTTTCCAAACTCATTTTGTGACTCAAGGCTGTTATCAGCTACAGATTCGCGCCAGAAGAATAGATGACAAGACGAGTCGGACACGGTAAGTTGAAAAGTAGATAAATACACCTCATTGTAAAATTAAGTTGTTGGTTATTGGAAAAAATAGCTTGAGACATTTTTAGAGCCAACCATTTGTTTCTAATTCACCGTTAGCAATGGAGTAAAACAGCATGACCGCCCGGGGTGATGCTTCGTCCAGAGTCACTGGGGGAAACAACGAGATTTTGGGTATTGTTTTATATTTTAATGATGGACTCATTTGATCTGCAATAATACAAGTCTTAAACGTTACGAGTCTCCTCTGCACGGTCAGTGTCTCCCTCCTCTATGCACGCTTGCCGGTCCGAATATTGCTGAGACCCAAACGGCGAGCGGTGGGAGATCAGAAGTGCCATACACTCTGGCGGTGGCAATTGGACTGACTCTGATGGAATGGGCGGGGCTGACTCTGGTGGAGCCCCACCTTCTGGTGCAGCTCCGCCTTTGTGGTTCTGCAGCGAGCACCACTTGTTTTTTTTTTTTTTGCCTCCAACTTCAGATTGGACCGTTTTTTTTTTTACATTCGCCACAGATATCTCTGAAGAACTCACAGCAATCACGGCTTCAGCAACGCTGTGCCACTCCAAGGGTTTTTCTCTCCTTTTTTTGCAAAAGCACTTCCTTTCATTTTTCCGCCTCACCCACAAGTACCTCAATTTCTGCTTCGGTGAAATTTTGCTTCCTTGATCCGCGGTCAACATCGTTAATGGTGGAATGCTGCAATGAGCCAGCTTATGTATATGCATGAGATCCACAAGGCACTTTGCATTGACCATTTATGGCAGAAAGTGGGCGTGTTGAGGCCGGAATGTGATTCAGAAACACCTGAGAACAGTCCTAGATAGTTTGTGATTTATAAAGCGGAGATGACGTGAAGCTGTGCATACTCCATGTTTTATAGGTCACAAAACTACTTGGCGTAAGTACATTTATTTTTGCTGAGCTTAAAGCTTCTTTCTGGAGTATTTGTCTTATCTAATGGCACCATCTAGTGGCTGAAAAGCGTATCACACAAAAAAGCTGTTCCTTTGTTTTTTTAAGATGGCGACTTCACGTTTCTGTTTATAAATGTTTATGTTTATTTATTTGGCAGATGCTTTTATCCAAAGCGACTTACAATTTATAACCTATAGGGCATGTTGTGATGTGCTTCTGTAGCCGACAAACAGAGCTAAAACACGTTTTACAAGTATTATTCTCATGTCATGTTGTGTTCTCATATATTTATATTTTAGAGACTTTCTTGTCCGTGAAAAGTTCATCAACTCTACATCAGCCGAGGCATTCCTTAAATTTGAAGCGTCTAAGTGGCAGTCTAATGTTATTGGTTTGTTCTGGTCGGCGCTCAGTTTTCTATTGCCATGCAGGGGGCATGCTTAGCAAAAAAAAAAAAAAGAAAAAAAAGACGTATTGCTTATATTATATCACAGGACATGATAAGATAATCACTTTTACAGATTTCTGACAAGTCACACATTATTTCTGAAAGAGGAAAGCTCCGGAAAGCAGCTTTAAGTACGATTTTAGTAAGGATTCTACGCAAATTTTCTTAAATGAGACCCCAGGTTTTTAGACCTGAAAAAGGATTGAACATTTCATTTTTAGTTTCCTGCAGCAAAGTTAAGCTTCTTTTCTTTTACAGGGATGGTGCGTTTTGTGTGAAAGTGTGAAAAACACATCTCCACCCAGCAGTTTTCATGGCCGAGGCTATATAAAAACATGTTAGTTTAAAATTATCAATGCAAACATAAAGGAATGCAATGAGGGTTTTAGAAATGAAAAACTTTACCACAGATGACACAGGACATTTATTTGTCTATTTTATTTATTACAAACTAAAAAAATTACAATTCGCTAACTAAAAGGGCTGTAGAGGTGGTTAACTATGTCCAAAAAGGTAATTTAAGAATAAATGAGAAACTTTGTCGAACCACCAAACAAGACCTGAACATGGACGTAATTTTGGGGGGGGGGGGGACAGGGGGGACATGTCCCCCCCACATTTTCCAAGGTCAAGTTTTGACCCCTGCACTTTTTACCATCCAAAAACAATATTACACTATATTAAATTGACACTGGTTGAGCTCTAGGACCAAGCAGAAAACAACCGTTTGTGTTGAAGCCGGTTTCCCATTAGAACATACTGTAAAGATACCCCCCCACCCCCGTGTCCCCCCCCCTCCCCCCCCCCCCCCCCCCCCCCCCACACACACACTTCTAAAGTGAAAATTATGTCCTGAACCTCTCATTTATCTTCTTGGGAATTGGAATATTTATCACCGGACATTTTTTTTCTTTCTCATTAAAAGGCACACTTGGCAGTTTTGCTTGCTTTTAGCACCCCCTAGTGTCTGTTATTAATTCTCTGTGGTCAAACTGAAAGTGAAATCCATCTCCTCGCTTTACGTTTGTCTTTTTATCACCTTAATCTAACAGCTTAAATCTCCCCAGCCTTCATTAGCTTCTAGATGAGCGATTCATCACTAAATTAAACAAATCAGCTGCATTCATTATCTAAAACATCAAGTTTGGTTTCACCTAATTCAGATTATTTTGGTTTCACACGTCTAAGCACACAAAATAAAAAGCCCCCCTCCCCATAAGTGGGTATTTGATTCAAATGATGGTAAAGATATTTGGTTTTGTGACTCACAGTAAACTAGAACCCTACTGTGTGCTTCCCTTCTGCAAGCTTATGTGGTTCATATAAATTCAAAACTAACTGAAATGCCAAATTCTCTACAAAATGATGTCTTATGTTTTCAAAGCCGTATGGATTTAATATTATACACTGTGTAGTGCCTGGTCATTGTGGCTGAATATCAAAAATGTTTTTTTAATGTTTGTAATTGCTTTTTATCTGAAGTCTCTTAAACATGCTGAACAAAGTTTATAATAAATCACCCACACAGAAAATCCCTCATTAGTTGGATCATTTGTTTACTCTAAAGCCGTTTTTGTTCTAAATTGAACTTCAGCGTAGTGAATTTCTTCTTCTTCCTGGTGCTGGAGTTGTTCCCTGTCTTTGAGACCGTTTGTTTTCCTTCCCATCACCTGGTTGTAAATAAGCCCCCCCTCTGCTGGTTGAGCCGGTGTCTCGTCATGCATGGAGCCAGAGTCAAACTGAAGAAAACAAAACTAATTTAGTCATTTTTAATATTTTAACTCTGCAAAAGTACCAGATATTTGTGAATGACTTTCATACCTGCTCTTGGGTGTTCACCATTGCATTTCCAGACCTTTGCCTAAAAATCATGTTTTTTCTGTTTAAGAATGAAAGAAAATATAAAATAAAGTCATCGTCGTCGTCTTCCTCCGCTTATCCGGGTCCGGGTCGCGGGGACAGCATCCCAACTAGGGAGCTCCAGACCGTCCTCTCCCCGGCCACCTCCACCAGCTCCTCCGGCAGGACCCCAAGGCGTTCCCGGACCAGATTGGAGATGTAACCTCTCCAACGTGTCCTGGGTCGACCCGGGGGCCTTCTGCCGGCAGGACATGCCCGAAACACCTCCCCGGGGAGGCGTCCAGGAGGCATCCTGACCAGATGCCCAAACAACCTCAACTGGCTCCTTTCGATCCGGAGGAGCAGCGGTTCTACTCCGAGTCCCTCCCGAATGTCCGAGCTCCTCACCCTATCTCTAAGGCTGAGCTCGGCCACCCTACGGAGGAGACTCATTTCGGCCGCTTGTATCCGCAATCTCGTTCTTTCGGTCATTACCCAAAGCTCATGACCATAGGTGAGGATTGGGACGTAGATCGACCGGTAAATCGAGAGCCTGGCTTTCTGGCTCAGCTCCCTCTTCCCCACGACAGATCGGCTCAGCGTCCGATAAAGTCAATTATCTAATTCAGGTTCACAGTCAGGTTACTGATCAGGAACAGATTTGCGTTACCTTAGCAGGAAGAAAATGACAATTAAAACAACCAACAGAACAGCAGAAACTCCTCCAGCTACGAGTCTCCATGGTTTTCTGTAGACAGTCAGAGTCTTCTGAGCTGAGATGGTTTCCTCTGCTCCAGCAGCACAGGAGTAGCTTCCTGCATCCTGACTGCTAACTGCATCTAGAACCAGCTGTTTGTTTTGTGGTTCTGTTTGCTTCAGAGGCCGACTGTTCAAGAACCAAATGTAGTTTGTGTTTTCAGGGAGAGGACCGCTGCTTCTGCAGGTTAATGTGACTCTCTGACCATCAGTCACCTCTGCTGCAGGAACAACCTCCACCCTGACCCCTGCAGGAAGAACACGTTGGTCAGGAGATGTTCAAGAGACATTTATGATGTAGTTCTCACAGATCCATGTTAGAAGCAGATGTTTACCTGTAACAATCAGAGTAACTCCAGGAGAAGCAGACTGGATCTGCTCATCAGCTGTTGTCATGGTGAACCTGCTCTGCTGTGTCCTCCATCTTCAGGTTGTTTAATCTAACCATGTGTTGGTTCTTCATGTCATCAAACTCCACATTTCCTCCAGTTGTAACCAGTGTTCATCTTCTCCTTTAGCTTCGTCTTTTATTGTATACCAAAGTTTAGACTTTGGCCGCTGGTGTTCAGGATGTGAGTATTTACTGGAGATGTTCACTGATGAACCTTTAACGGCACACACTCCCCTCCTGACATAATTTATGCTCCAGCAGCTGTTTCTGTCAACACCTGGAATGGGATAAATAGACATTTTGAAAGTGTCAGCACATTGAAACAGATGTTCCAGATGTTTTCAGACCATGAACTGGTTCATACTCACAGACTTCATTAGATCGAAGATTATCAGGATCTTTTACAGAACAATAGAAATGGTCTGAACTGGAAACAGCAATCTGTAGTTTGTTTTTAGATCTGCCTACTATTCTGTTTTTGTACCACTTGATGTTGTTCAGGTCAGTCACAGAACAGCTGGAGCTACAGGTCAGACTGACTATTAAAACTTTCTTCTCATCTTTAAGTTCTGTTGGGGGAAAAAAGAACATTTTTAGTTTTGTATTCAAATTTCATATGTTAGATACAAAAAGGCTCAACAATAAAACTGTTTAAAAACCAGAAAATCAGCTGATTTGAGTTAAATCATCACCTGTGGGAAGAGTGATGGAGCAGGTCTGCTTCACTGAAGTTTGATGGTTAGAACACGTTTCCTCCAGCGTAGGTCACTCTGATGCAGGTCGATGAGACTGAATCTGAACAGGACCAGAACATTTCTGCTTTAACCCGTTTAGCCCCACTGGCAACTATTGTTGCCAAAGTGTATCACTGCCATTTTTGACTCACAATAAAAAATTACAATGTTACTAATCCAACATTTTCCACTTATTTGCTAGTCAACAACTTAGACGAAAGTTTTGTTTAAATAAATTTTGCTTCCAAGTGCTTCCTATCGTATGACATCATCTGCTTCCTTCTCCTTCCCGCTGAAGACATGGTGACTGCAAATCATCCTGGAAACAGGTAATTTTTAGACATTTCTGATGAATTGCCCCAAAATATATTTGTAATAATTTACTCATTCAAGTCTCTAGAGTAACCCTCCATCCAAAAGTTATACCAAAGATAAATATTTTTTTCTTAAGAAGCTTATTTCTGTGAGTGGCAACAATAGTTGCCAGTGGGCACAAAGCATGTCGCTAACTAAAGGAAAACTCTGCAGGATCGCTCCTAGTTGACTTATTTAAAATATTAGAATGATGTACAGAGAGGTATCTGCGAATATTCAGATCCAAGTATCGGTATCGCATCGGTTTGGAAAAAAAGTGGTATCGTTGCATCCCTAGTAAATCTGTAAGGCTTGTCACCAGCATTCAGACATCAATTCTGTTTGCTTCACAGCCAGACAGGTCACGGAAAAAGAAAAAAGAAAAAAAGAATGACATTTTAGTTTGGTTTATTATGTAGTTCTCATTGGTCCATGTTAGAAGCAGATGTTAACCTGTGACTAGAGTAACTCCAGCTGTGCACACCTGAAAGGTTAAGAGAAAAAAAACTAATGATTTCTAAAATAATCCAGACATAGCAATCTGTCAAAATGACTGACAGCCTTCAGATTTTTCTGTCACCGCTAAAAAAAAGGTAAAATATAAAAAAGTCAGGTTAACGCAACCACTGAAACACACATACAAATTATTATTTTTGAAAAGGTACACATTTTTGTGTTAAACAGGAAAAGTATTCATGTGTTCAGATTTCACAATGAACATATAAACGACTGAAATAATTAAAAATTAAACCAAATACAACAAAAGCTAAATCTCTTCCATATGCTTTGACAGAAGCATAGTATATTCAGGAGATGACAGAGGAAGAGGAGGAGAAGAGGGAACTACATTTATGAAGTATATATATATATATATATATATATATATATATATATATATATATATATATATATATATGTGTGTGTGTGTGTGTGTGTGTGTGTGTTTGTGTGTGTGTGTGTGTGTGTACAAAGAAACTAATTATATATAAACTTTATTGAATATTACAAAGAAACAAATTTTATATAAAATTGGATAACAACATGCCAAGGGGTGCGAGACTGATGGATTTCAATTGGCCAAACAAGGGTAACGAGCTCCCCCTGGTGTTGTGCTGTGGAATAACATCATTAAGCTGTTAGCCTCTGAGGGGTGAGAGAAGGTGGTGGAGAGAGAGGGGGAAGGAGTAAGAATGGCGGCCGTGCAGTGCACCAGATGCACGGCAGAAAGGAAAGGGTTTCGGCGGGAACTTGATACTTGGCGGCACCGCTTGATACACTGCGTTGGTATGAACCATTTGCAGCTTCACATTTCATTTGAATAAAACAGCTAACTAGACAGGTTTGATCGGAGAGCAGAGATCGCTGTCCCGAGCTAGCTAGCTAGTAGCTAGCTGGTAGCCCACAGCGCCGTAGGAGGTTATCTAGCTACTAGCCGGCGACTCCCGTTTCTTTGTCCCCTCTGGGCAAACTATCGCTTCATCGGTGTTCGCTTATTACACGTTTCTTTGTTGCTCAGACTTTGTTGGTCTGTCCCTAATCTGTATCACGTTATTTCTAAGGTGTTATTTCGACAATAACTGAATGTTTATTGACAGGGCTCTTTTTTGGTCATGCTAAAACTATGCTATGCTAAGGTAAAATAAATATTTAGGTGAGGGGACTGTTGATGTTGACAATGCTAATGTCTGTATTTCGATAATAACAGTAATTGTAGCGTTCTCTGTTGACGCTTTTGTGCAAAATTTGTTGTTCAACATTATTCTACAGAAAAAACAGGCACGTTTAAATATGTCTTGCTCAATTTAAGTGAACTGTAAGTGAAGATGGATCATACCAATATTTATAATTAAAATGCCTTCAGTCCACTCATCTAGGCATTCATGACTAGATTATTTCGGTATAGAGTGATATGTGTTGCCTTTTTGAAGATTGCAGTAAACTAATATATGTTTCTATATACAGTTGTAGTAAACTGGAGCATGGATGAAGCAGTATATAAGTATAAATACTGACATGTCATTTTATCTTGCAGGGTTAGAAAGTATCCTAGAGGGAATCTATGGCCCGCTGCTGTTGAGAGACCTCCATTTATTTAATGGTGAGATATTGATTGCCTTCATTTATTACATAGTGGTCATTTAGTTTTATAGATTTAGTCCAGTCTTACATTATCCAGTCTCTAAGTCCCTGTTACCTTTTTATAAAGCTTTTACCTAACATCTTAATTCTCACCAGGGAAAGTGTCATTTTAGATAATTGTCTCACTAATAGGGATGGGTACCTTTGACATTTGAATCGATCCGGTACTAATTCCCGGTACCTACGAGTCGATACCGGTACTTAACGGTACCAATTTTCGATACTTTTGAGTGTTTATTATTTTAATTCTCTTTTATAATTAAATATATATTTTTCTCAATATATAACCATATTTGATAAATATCACGATAAATAACATACAAGTTTGTATTTTAACATCGTCCTTGTAGTTTTATAAGCTGATAATTAAACTGAAGCAAACATCTTTACTGTGAACTAAATTTACTGTGTATCTTCATTCCTTTTGCCGTCCTTTTTCATTTGATTTTTCCTACTGGGAAGTTAGAATTTCCGAGGAGAAAGCGAACGCACCATTAGCTGATAACAACGGTGGCAATGGAAGCTAACATATCAAGCTAATGTTATCTTTAACAGTTTATTTAGCTGCTGGAGCAGATTAAAACGATGATGCCTCACACTTAGATCGTTGTCACTGGTTTTACCTTCACCCAATCACCCGTCGCATTTAGTAAAGTAAAGCCAAACTTTAGAGCGCGTTCATGTTCTTCTAGTCGGAAATTCGGAGTTCCGAGGAGAAAGCGAACGCACCATTAGCGAAACGGAAGCTAACAAATCAAGGTAACGTTGTCTTAAACATTTTATTTACCTACTGGAGCAGATTAAGATGAGGATGTCTCACTTAGATCGTTGTCTGTCGCTAGTTTCATCACCCAGTTACCCACCACATTTAGTGAAGTGGACCCAAGCTTTAGCGTGCGTTCTTTCTACCATGCTTGCTCTGTTTACAACGGGCTCGCAGGGACCGGCGACATAACGCTCTTGCGCATGCGCAACTGTCTTGGCAGTACCGAAACGAGGCACCGTTTGAAATGACGTGAATCGGTGTTCGGTCGGTACTATGGAATTCGGTCGGTACCTTAAAAAGTACCGAATTCGGTACTCATCCCTACTCACTAACATGTTTGGTAGAGAGATGGAGTCTTTAGCAGTTTTCATGATGCAATTGCATCTCATTGTTACAGATGATTTAGTATTTTCTGTTCAAGGCATGCACTGGAATGGAATGCATATCAATATTTAAATCTGGATTTATAAACAACTCTTCTTCGTGGCTATTTTAAGTTGATCAGCTGTCCTTTTGGTGGAATTCATTCAAGCTGAATTAAGTTGGGGTAAAAGCAGTTGATTTGTCTTAACACCAGACCTCTTGACTTGCTGATGCATGAAAAGCAAATGTGTTTTAAAGAATCAGTTAAGAATTGACTGGAAACCAGCGAAGAACAGCAGAAAATGGCACAAAACCAAATCTGTTTACCATGATTGTGAAGAAGAAGAAGAAGAAAATATCATTTCTATAGCGCCTCTCAAGGTAAAAATCACGAGGCGCTTCACAAAAACAAAAAATGTAAAAATATAAAAAAGAATTTAGAAAATGGTTAAAAATATATTTAAAATGAGCAAAAAATAGACAATTGTGATTAAAAAATGTTAAGAAAGAGAGAGAGTGACTAGGGAAGAGGGAAATCAGTGGATCCTGAGGAAGGTGGAATAGGTGGGGAGAGCAGAATAAAGAGAGTGGTGAAGAAGGTCATACAAAAGCCAGCTTGAACAGCTGACCAAGAGAGTCTCTGACTTTAGGAACCAGCTTGTCTGGGGCACAGATGTGGATCTCAGTCTTATCTTCATTCAGCTGTAGAAAGCTCCCAGCCATCCCGGTTTTGATAGAGTCTAAGCAGGTGTGTAACATCTGCAGCTTAGACATCTCATGGGCTTAAAGGAGATGTACAGTTGGATGTCATCTGCATAAAGATGGTAGGAGATTCCTTTGAAGGAGCTCAGGATGTGCTGAAGAGGAAGCAGATAGAGGAGGAAGAGCAGAGGCCCCAGCACAGAACCTTGTGGGACACCATGGGTAAGAGAGGTGGTGGAGGACCTAAACTTGGAGACGGCCACAGAAAAGGAGTGCTCAGAGAGATAAGAGGAGAACCACTCCAGAGCAGTTCCTGATAGGCCTACCCAGTCTCTCAGCCTCTCCAGTAGCAGGTGATGGTCAACAGTGTCAAAGGCTGCAGTCAGGTCCAGCAGGACCAGAACAGAACAGTCCCCTGCATCACTGTGAGTCAGAAGGTCATTAGAGACCCTAAGAAGAGCTGTTTCAGTAGAATGAGCTCTACGAAAACCTGACTGTAAGCTATCATAGATGTTATGTTCATCAAGAGCAGCTGTGAGTTGTTTAGCCACAACCTTTTCCAAGATCTTGGAGATGAACAGAAGTTTAGAGATGGGTCTGAAGCTGCTATGGAGAGAGGGGTCAAGACTCAGTTTTTTAAGAAGCGGGTGGATTACAGCGTTCTTAAAGTAAGCAGGACCTGACCAGAAACCAGAGAAGCATTAATTATAGAGAGCACGCTGGGACCGATGGACAGAAAAGCACTTTTAAACAAAGACGAGGGTAAGATGTCGAGGGGGCATACAGAGGTCTTCATAGAGTTAACTAGTTTGGTTAACTCAGGCAAAGAAACAGGAGCAAAGCTATCTAGGATGATGGGCCTGGTTGGAGTCGGGAGAGGCAGCGATAAGGCTGAAGGAGAGATGCTAGATCTAACCTTATTGACTTTGTCCACAAAGAAAAGACAGAAAGTTCTCACAGTCTGCAACAGAGTGGAAGGGGGCTGTAGGAGAGGCAGGAGAGACGATGCTGCTGATGGTGTTAAACAGCACCTTGGGGTTCCCTTTGCTCTGGGACACCAGGTTGGAAAAATAGGAAATCCTAGTGTCTCTGACTGCAGAGTTAAAGGATGACAGAATATCCTTTAGGTGCAGCAGATGGACGTGGAGATGGGTTTTCTTCCACAAGCGCTCAATTTTTCTGCATTGGCGCTTCAGGCTGCAAAGGCAGTCTGTAAACCAGGGAGTAGGGTTCACTGCAGGAACTGATCTGGTTCTGACAGGACAGATGTTGTCCAGATTGGAGAGACACTGCTCGTTAAACTGAGAAGTTAAGGAATCTGGGTCGTTATCAGAAGAACAGGGTGGATCAAAAGCAGCAGAAAAATTGTTAGCTGTGCTCTCATTAAGAAAACGAGAACTAACCACACAGCGAGCAGGAGGTGGGGACGCAGAAACTGACAAGTTAAAGAAAATGCAATAGTGATCTGAAATATAAACTTCCTCAGGACTAACACTGTCAGCATTTAGACCCAGGCTAAAAACAAGGTCCAGAGTGTGCCCCCTGGTGTGTGTGGGGCCAGAAACATGCTGGGTAAAGCTGAAGGAGTCCATAAGACTGGAGAAATTCATGGCAAAGTGATCAGAGGGATCATCAATGTGGATGTTAAAATCACCAACAATCACCAGTCTGGACAGCTTCACAGTGGAGGATAGAAAGTCACTAAACTCCTGAAGGAAAGAACCGTTTGGACCAGGTGGACGATAAACCACAGCACAGTAGAACGGTCCTTACGCCAGACTTTAATCAGCTGCAGTTCAAAGGAGCAAAGTGATCAGAGGTTGTAGAGTTACATGGAACATGGTCTCTGAAAACAGCAGCTAGGCCTCCACCACGACCAGAACCCCGGGGCTGGCTAAGAAAAGAATAACCACTCGGGCAGTGTTCAATCGTGTTTCTGTGTCTGTCTGCTTTCTGGTTTTGACAGGTTAAAGGGAGTAATCTGATCATTTTTGTTAAGATTTAGGGTCACTGGGCCTCATATTAATAAGTCATAGTAATTGTTTAGTTTTGTGCAAAATACTACACATTTTCACCTGAAGGTCCTTGTCACTGGGCCATCATTGTGCTGCAAAAACAGTCAATTCCATATGTAAACTCAGGCACGACAAGGATATGATCAACTCCAAACTACCAACATTTTCAATCTTCAACTCTAGAACTGGTAAAATGAATGTTTCTACATCTTGTTATCTAACCCTTACTACCTAAATGCTTCCACCACTAAAGAAAATACTCCACTGCAGTGTTGTTTTTGGCGAGCATCTTAGTCTTAGTCTTAGTCTTGACGACAAAATGCATTTTGATCTTGGTCAGTTTTAGCCTACTAAAATTCTAAAAGGTTTTAGTCGACAAAGATTTTTGTTTTAAATTTTACTCAACATTAAACAAAGTACTATTCTCAAATTAATTTATAGGTCAGACATGTATTCTGAGCTACTGGAGTGAGTTTCATACCAACAAGATTTATTTTATGGCTATGGGACAAAATCTCAGCTGCCCCAAATTTTGTAAAACAATAATCCCCAGACTGGTATCTTTTTTATTTTTTATTTTTACCTTATTGTTAATCACTAATGATGTATGTAATTTATTGATGTAGATATTTGCATCATTTTGTAGATTTCCACTAAAGAAAGTTATGATTTTCTTTCCTTAACAGAATGGACTTTAAGGAATTATACAGAGTATTCTACACAATATTTATACAGAAATAAAGAAATATGTTTGTTTAATTTATTATTGGAGTTATTAGACCTCCATCTTGAATGCATATTGTGAAGTCCACCTACTTAAATGCAGTCATGTTTTTCCACAGACTGCAGTGTTGTGAACTTTCACAGAATTAATATAAGTAACCCAGTTCTGCTCTTGAGCATCAGCAGAGATGCTCATAAACATTTAGATGGGCTTAAACTGTTATGCTGTTGGGTTAAAAAGCAGGAATGTGACCCGTTATTAGGAACCAGTGAGCAGAGACAATAATCCTGACACATTGACGTTAAAAACCTTAAACCTGTTCAGATCAAACCTGTTAAAAACTGTTGTTGTTTTTTTTTCTTCATTTATCTGCCCAAAAGCATGACAATTTCAGGAAGCACACTGATAAGAAACGTGTTAATACTACGGAAATGTTTTAAAGTAGCAACGTCGTCGCTCATAGTAGCGTCAATGAGCGGCTAAGCGCTGTGCTTTCCCGCAGCAGGGAAGCACTGAGCCGAACTGAAGTTGGCGTTCAACCACATCAGAAATCCACGCAAATAGAGTGGTTAGTGCTTTCTGATCTGAGTGGGGAGCCAGCTTCACTCAAAACTGCTGGGGCTCAGTGAGCAAAGTTTTCGTCTAGTCTCGGCTCGTTAACGAAAAGTCCTGTTCGGCTCGTCCTGTTTTAGTCACCAAAGAGCTATTTTTAGCTCGCCAGCGTCTCGTTTCTGTTATGAAAAAAAGGGGCGTCAACGAAATCAATTCGTCATCGTTTTCGTTAACAAAAACAACATTGCTCCACCGAGTTGGATGTGCTCTTGGTGTTTACGTATCCATTTAATTTCACCAGTGACGGCACGTTAGTTGTTCCTGCTGTCACTAGTTAAGTTGATGCAGAAGCTTATTCTTTATAAATTTACATGTTTGTAAATCACCATTTGCATTGGATTTTAGAAAACGGCAACATTTGCGAGTATCCTGTAGAATATGAAGGAAGTTCGACTGTAACTTGAACAGATAATGTTGTAGAGATCTGGCAGTCGTGAGTAATTTCTCAGACAAAATACAGTTTTAGAGATAGATTTATATGCCCCTTATCTAGTCATTTGCTTGTTTCCCCAACAGCTGGTTTACAGTCCTCTGTACCTCAAGTCATTTTAATTTAAAGTATCACATCAGATCCTAACTTCTCCCTCTGGTGTTTAATAATTAATTAACTTTTTAAAACGTGCAGATCCATCAAAAGAGATGGCTTATATATCTTTAGTTAGAATACCTAACAGACGAGTAAGGCAAGTAAGCAAGGCCGCTTTATTTTTATAGCACATTTCATACACAGAGGCAATTCAGTGTGCTTCCCTGTAGTGAGAATAGCGCAAACTTTAAATTAATGTGACAGCACCATTAAAATACACAAATTAAATTCAGATTTAAGAATCAGATACAAGACGAAGTTAAACAGTGAGCAATTACAGTGCAAAAAGTGCAGCATAAGAAACATTCATTCAAAGGCTGATGAACACATGAAAGTTTTAATTTTGATTTAAAAGTTACTAGAGTCAGGGCAGACTTGAAGTCATAGGGAAGCTGATTCCATCTGTGGGCAGCAAATTAGCTAAAAGCAGCTGGCAACCAGTGTAGAGATTTAAGAGCAGGAGTGATGTGCTCGGTTCTCTTGGTTCTTGTTAAGACTCTAGCAGCAGCATTCTGAATAAGCTGCAGTTGCTGATATTTTATATGCTTTTACTTTGTAATTTTCACTACATTGGTTTTATTTGTTTAATTTTATTGCTGTACAGCACCTTGGTGGCATGCTTGTGCCTGTAAGGTGCTTTATTAATAAAGGTTGACTTGAGGTTTTGGGAAGACCAGACAGAAGACCATTGCAATAATCCAGCCTGCTGTAATGACCATTTTAATCTCGTCGTGTGTACAGAACAGAACTTTGATGTTATTGTAGGGCCGCTCAATTAATCGAATTTTAATCCCAATTACGGTCTGAGTTTTGAACGATTATAAAAACAAAACAAGCCGATTATTTGCTCCTCCCACTTGCGCTGCCCTGAGTTGCAAATGAAGCGCTCCTCCCACAGTGTTGCCAACTTTGCGACTTTGACGCTATTTCTAACAGCTTTTCAGACCCCCTTCTTGACTTTTGAAATCGTAAAAGTACCTAGCGAACACCTCAGAAACATCTCTGGTAGCCCTTAGCTACTTTCTGGATAACTGTCGACATTTCCTGCAGGTTAGCTAAACACTCCGCCTGCGCTCCGGACGTTCTTCAGAACATTAGGAAAGGGAATGATGTAGTGATGTGTCAGTCGCTAAAGAAACGGCTCTCAGAGCCGGCTCCATGTTGGAGTAACCAGAGTGAGTGACACACACCGTAACTGTGGGCTCCTGAGCCGCTAAAAACAGCTAAATGTGCGCGTGCTAAACACGTACAGCTTGCCCATGATTGCTGTGAAACCGGGTTGGGGGTGCAGCTGTGGTTGGGACAATTATTACATTAACTGATGGACTTGTAAATAAATAGTTTATAAATAAGGTAAAAATAAGGTCCTCACGCTGATAAATAACTAATCTCTCTGAGGACATGGTGCTAGTGTACTCTCCTACAGCACCTTGACATGACTAAATAAATGTAATACAACATTTTATGAACATCAATTTATTAGCATTTATTTGTTATGAATGCCACTGTATAATTCTTGCTGTCAGTATTTGCAAGATATTGGTATTTGGGTCTGTACTGGTTAGACTTAAATGAGTTAAACCAAGGTCTGTAGCCCTTAGGTCATAAACTATGAACTATAAGTATATTGGTCTTTTTATACTGGGAATCAGGAGTTATTTTAGTGATCATCTTGTTTCTTATTTAATTTTGTCCTGATTGTGCCCTGAGCAGTTTTATGACTGAATAAAAACAAATAAAATCAACATAAATTGAAAAATCGTCTTAAATAATCGAGATCTCAATTTCAGTCACCATAATTGTGATTATTATTTTTGCCATAATCGAGCAGCCCTATGTTATAGTAAAACTAAAACAAAGCTAAAACATAAAAATATGTTAGAAGTGATTGCTCAGGATGTGGAAATAGATTTTGTCAGTCATTCACAATGTAGTGGGGATCCATCCACACCGTGGGATCAGTTTTGTACTCAGTCTGGATGAGGCGTACGGGTGAGCCAGCATAGCAATACTGATTGCTAACTGAATGTATGGAGAAATAGGTGTTATGATGTAGTTTAACTATTGTTTGTATTTATCATACTTTAGCTCATGAGAGAGCTCCTGCTGTGGACCCTTTGATCATCGATTACCTGAATTATTGATTTCCTTTGTTTCAGACTGTGAACCTGAAGAGGTGGACGACTGGTCCCCAGAATCAAGCCGCTCCTTTTGTTCGTTCTGTAATCTTTCACTGGACAAACTTACTGTAAGGATGAACGAGTTCTTAAGAGCTAACTGTAATTTTTTGTAAAAGACATTTTTGGAGAAACTGATTTTTAAATAATTTTTTCATGTAGGATCAAGCACCTGCCGCCACGTCGCCTCTCTCCTCCCCCTCCGATTACTCTCCATGTCAGACCTCAACCATCTCTGAGAGCAACCAGTCAGCGCACAAATTCCTTCAAGCTGTCTTTCACAAGAAAGGTCAGACAGTTGAGAGATCCTTTCTGCTTTAACCATGAGATGATTTCAGAAACTGGTTACAGTGTAGATGGTGAACATTTTTGCCTATTTGCCTTGAAGACATGAAGAGTTGAAGCTTACAACTCGGTGGTAGATGAAGGTATTCTCAAGGCAACACTAAACCTTAATGCTACGTGAATGCAACAACATAACTTCAAAGATGAGTCATGTTCCTTGTGTTTAGGACAAGGTTAATTTAAACTCTTATTTTTGTGTCTTGTGGGTGTTTAATTAAGGAGCTGGGACACTTAAACATGGCTGAGGGAGAGAAAAATGCTGTTTACCCAAACAACAGTAAAATTAATTATTTGAAGTTGGACTGTTTCGTCCATATAAATGTTTACTCACAACCTGCTGACGTGTGTTTGTAGGCCATTGGCTCATCAGTTAAATCCAATTCCCTTCAAGGTTTAGCTGAGCGACATCTTAATAAAAACTAGAGTCATTGATGAAGATTATGTAATTTAATCTGCACCTACCTTCTTTCTGGTTTTCAGATGTGACCCTGGACTGTGATTCGAACATCCCTCTGGTTGCTCAGGAGCTGATGAAGAAGATGATACGTCAATTTGCTGTGGAGTATGCGTCCAAGTGCCTACTCCGCACCGGCACAAATGGTACAAACGGTGTCACAAGCCCCTCATCGCCAGTTTCTGAGACATCCGATGGCCCTTTGGACCTCACAGTGAGCCGAGCGGTGGAGGAGATACAATCTGAACCAGGTAGGAAAAGCTAGCAATTCAAAACCTTCACAGAGGTGCTTCAAGTTTACAGATTTTTTTTTCTAACAGCAGCAAAGACAGGCCTTAAAGGCATAATAAGTAAGAATTGTACATTGAAGGAAAGTCACAAAATGGTCTATGATATAATAAAGATTTTTCATATATTATCCATCCATCCATTGTCTGGTGCCTATCTCCAGCAGTCTATGGGTTATCAGGCGGGGTACACCCTGGACAGAGAGCCAGTCCATCGCAGGGCAACACAGAGACACACACGACAAACAATCACACACACACACACTTAAGGACAATTTAGACAGACCAATCAACCTTTGGACTGTGGGAGGAAGCCGGAGTACCCGGAGAGAATCCACGCATGAACAGGGAGAACATGCAAACTCCATGCAGAAAGATCCCAGGCCGGGAAGCGAACCCAGGACCTTCTCGCTGCAAGGCAACAGCTCTAACCACTGCGCAGCCCTATGTTAATTATATTATATTATGTTTCAGTTATTCATTGTTTAGTAAATCTGCATGCATTTCAAAAATTCTGTTTCTGTCAATATGCGGTGCTATGTGTACATTAATGAGGGGGAAAATTTTTTTAATTGGTTTTAGCCAATAGCTGCAATATAATGGATGAAAAGTTGACAGGGGCCTGAATGCTTTCTGTACCCACTGTATTTGAGCAAGGGTGCAAAGTCTTCAATGCAACGCTGCACTGGCATTTGTAATTCGACACTGGCTGGAAAACAGTTGTGGAAAGTATGTTGGCCAGTAAAAGGAGCAGCCCAGGAGTTATTGTACCCCTAAGAAGCCATGGCATCCTTTTGTTTTACTCTATCGGGAAAAGAAAGCTAGAGGCTAATGTTGAGCTAGCAATGCTAATGCGGTGAATTAAAGAAAAAACCTCAAGCTACTTTTTCAATTACCAGTAACTCAAGATTATTGTGGAATGTTTTAATTACTAATCAATTTACTGTGAATGACTCATCATCTGGAATCTCCTGGCGCTGATCCGTAACTGGCAACAGTTGCTCAGAGTGGACTCATTTGTTTTGATACATGGACTGCAGTATCCAAATTTGACCACTGGATGTCATTCTTACTTGATGCACCTTTAAAGTAAGTGAGTATCAGTGTCTATATTCTAACTGTAGTTTTGTTTTTTGTAACAGATGGCGTACTGGATCTCTCAAACCGTAACTCTTCAAGCTCCTCAACTTTATCATCCTCCAGTCAGAAAGCTACAGGGTAAGAGTTTTTTTTATTATTTAACTTGTAGGCTTTCAGATCAGCCAAATTGCAGATGGGAAATAAAAGTACCATTACTTTGTGAGTTTAAAATAAATTAATGGTTTGATTTGTTTGGCAAAGATTTCTCGGGACTGAAACCTTATGTTAGGAGTTTTATTTACAAATTATCACTGCTGACAAAGATACTCTGACTAGCATCAGCACAGCTGTTTTTACTGGTACTGCTGGATTTAACCAGCTGGTATCTCTTCTGGGGAATGAAACTCCTACTGCTGTTTTTCTTGCTTTAGTAACCGTATGAAACTTCATGGAGCTATTTTTTGTCTGATGCTTTGGTTATATGGGGTTGACTCTTTTATCTCTTGAGCGGTAACGTCACAGCAAAGGTTGAATTCAATTTACCAACAGCTCAGGACTGTACGATGAGGACAACATTGTACTATCTCACCTTTTTACTGATCTCTTTATGATGAGCTTGATTATTCAGCCGTGTTGTATGTGAGCTTCAAAGTAACTCCAGCCATTCACAGACTGTCCCACCTGGACGTGAAGAGGCTTTGCCACACACAGTGAGTGAGTGAATGAGTGAGTGTGCGCGTGTGTGTGTGAGAGGGAGAGAGACAGATTGTAGCAGTGTGTGTTTGAAGGTCTGAGAACATACAGACATGAAACTAACAGAGGCAGTGATGTTACCAACACAAGGCATAAAGGAGTGGACCCCTCAGTCTTCACCCCTCCCCTATGCCAAAATAAAAACCACCATCACCTCCATCCTGACCCTGCTCTTTGGTCCTCCCATTCCTAGGAGGCAGCACAGGCAGAAGGAGTACATTGAGAGGAGCTTGGAGCTGTCAGAGTGGTTACTGTCCAAGGCTTTGAAGGATATTCGTTCAGGGAGACTTCAAGAGCAACGGGCTGCGTTGCTCTATGGGATACCGCTGCAAACCTTGCGGCAAGGTTTGGATGGCCTGGCTGAAGGAAGGCTGGGGGTGCTGCATCAGTTTACACGGGGAAGCAGAGATACCAGGGATGAAGTGACCTCTTACAGCGTGACATCGTTGACATTAGGCGGCAAAGCTCGTCTCGTTCTGCAGAAGGTGGCGGCGTGGGCGGAGCAAGCAGAAATTGGTGAAGGTGCCAAGGAGAATGGAGACTTGAGTTTCCCATCTTCTGGTCTTGCCTTCAGTCCACCAAGTGACCAACAGAAGACCCTCCCTCACTGTATCCCCCAGCTCAGGGATGCTCTCCAGCGCCCACCAAGCCCAGCCTCCAGTTTGGGATCATCCACAATTCTGCGCATTCCTCAGGTTCGTTTCATGACTGACCACAACAAGTTAATTTCAGCTAAAAATTGCAAAATGGCCGAAAATCCTCATCACCGTTACTCGTTAAATAAGAGTACTGCCAGTTTATCCACAGCAACTGCCAGACCTTTATCCTTCTTGAAACTCAGACCTCCATTCTTGGCACACGGCTGTTCAGGCGGTACCAACCAGTTACCTCATCACCTGGGACCACGCGGATCCTCGCTGGATGGATCAGAAGAAGGGCTTGGTTGTCGGGATAAAGACAAGCAACCTAGGAAAAAACGTGGGCGATATCGCCAGTACGACCATGAACTGATGGAGGAAGCAATCACTATGGTGATGGCTGGTCGCATGAGTGTTTCCAAGGCTCAAGGGGTGTATGGGGTTCCTCATAGCACACTGGAATACAAAGTCAAAGAACGCACGGGAACACTAAAGAACCCTCCCAAAAAAAGGTCTACTACCTTTTACTCATCGAGTTCCAACTCTGGATCTGGTACCATGACCAGTTCGACTAACTCAGGAAGTCTTGCCTCAGCTGCAGATGTGAAGAGGTCCTAGACCACAGAATGCCTCAAAGTCCTCAACACTTGAAAACGTCACCTCCTAAAAAGATGAATATTTTCTGGAGAATTTGTGAACTTCAACCCATGCCTTTATGGAAAACACAAATAATATTCAGGTTTTTAATTGTGTGTAATGTGATAGTCACACTTTGAGCTGTATTTTTCTAGTGAGGTCCTTGGCTGTGCTTAAAGCATTTTTTCAGTGATGCTCAGTATGTTTTTGTTCACCGTTGCTTCTAAACTCAGCAAACCCTTTATTGCTTTTAGCATTGATGCTAAAACAAGCATGTGGCTCGCCTTATTTTATCAGTTTACTTTGTCTACAAATTTCAAACACTTGAAAAGAAACAGATTCAGACTAGGACCTTGTATAAGACTGAAAACGTTTAACATTTCAAATTTGTCATTTGTACATTATTAGTCGTTTTTGCAAATTTATTTATATATATTATATATCTCATAATTTCCTCTTGTGAAAGCAAATTATGACATGGTTTTATTTTTATTTTCAGAGTTATTTTGTCTGTAAAAATGTTAAAACGCAGTCGTTGTCGACCTGTGTTAGACTGGTCTCCATACTGCTTTTATCCTTAAGATTTCTTTTAATGGCGCACCTGGCTATATATGGTTGGAAGGAATGCCGAGGAACAACTATGAAATACAGTCCTAGACCTCTTAAAATCTATAAAACAAAGTGTGACTCTAATTTTAATAATTTTTGTATAATAAGTTATTCAGGTTTGAATCGGTTCTTGAAACTCCACGATAATGGAGTATTAATGATTGTTATTTGCAGCTTTCTATCTCTAGGTTTTACCTGGGCTATTGAAGTGACTTAGAGCCATTATAACAAATTAAGAACTTGTTTCTATCTAAACCTCTTTAAACGGACAATTTGTATAGTAACAAGTGCTGTGGTGGCTACATCTTAACATTTTTGTTGAAGAGATTGGTTTGAAGCCATCTTGTATTTGTATTGTTTCCCTCTTGTTTTGTGCAAGCTAGTCAGAACAATGTATTGCGTGTAGTTGTAATGCAAATGTGCAGCATGTTTCAAAATGTGCACTGATACGCTTGAGAACTGTCTGTTGTTGTGTATGTGTACTGCTTGTTCTTTATTGCATATTTATTACGAACTCTGCTACTGTAGCTGTATTACTGCTAACCTCATACACGACTGCTGCTTAACTTCACTGGACTGTTCCCTTGACAAACTGTCGTGTAGCTTTGTCAAAACCTCATCTATAGAGTCAAAGATGCAGTAACATGCATGAGCCTAAAAGACAGATTAGCGCTTGTTGCATGTTGGGGGTTCATTGTTGTTGATGGTTGATCGTGTCAGTTTCTGAAGGCTGCAGTGGTTTAAGGTTTCTGTGAAAACTAGTCGTGTTTTCGTGTGATCGTTACGCTATTTAGTGCAAGGCTTGCCGACTGCTTCTTTTGCGTTTTTTGAAAGTACTAGATGTTGCGTCTACACTCATGTCTGCCTCTCGGATGGGCCTCTTTATTTATAGTGCTATTACCAAAGCAGCATTTCAGGGTTAGCCACATAAAGCTGCTTCTGCTGGTTTTGCTGCTATGCCAGCCCATCTAGTTCTCGTGCTCTTACACTCTCTAACCTCATTGTCACATATACCTCTGAACTTTATTTGCCCAGTGTCTGGTCACACACCAAGTTCTCATTCTTAGTAAACAATCTGCTCATGTAAGAGCTCTTAAGATTTTTGTTTGTCAAGGATCAGCACCCAAGTGTAAATTAATAGCCATCAGCAACACTTAAACTCCTAAACTATTAGTATAAAATAAGCCATTTATTGGAGGATTTAGATTTTTTTTTATTTTTTAATGTTTCCCTCAGTGGTCTTTGATAATTTGAGGGTGATTTTTAAGCTGTTGTATTTTCAGCTTTCTTCAGTCACAGGATTATGTGACTTTTCAATCTCTTTGTAACTGTGGGAGCTCTACGGACACACCTGAATGTCTCTGTTTATACAGGTGCATGGTTCCTGTGTCTCAGGCAGCAGCTTAGTGCATTGATATTTCTACTCTGGGAGATATTGCCATGTGTCTCATACGCCCTTTTCACACATCACATTCTTAACACGAATGGTTTATTAATCTTTTAAAATGACGACATTCCCTCAGTTATTACTTTTCCACGAGTGTTTTATGCGAAACACATTGGAAGTGAAAGAGTGAAATCTAATAGTTTATAATCATCTATCATAGTCTCGGTCTTTTTACAACTTGATGCCATAATAAATCATAATGACTTGTCAGTTGTTCAATGAAAGCAGAGATTGCTCATTCTACCAGGTAAAAGCCATCGAGATTAGCATCTCTTACTCGGACAGGAAGTGGATCTGAGCAGTTTAAAATACTGATTTATGGTGGCACATAAGATCAAGCCAAAGATTTGCTATCTTAGCTTGAAAATCTAGACAGACCTTAGAAGTAGCAGATGTTTTTGTCTGCAGGTCATTCTAGTCGCTCTCCATTGTAGCTTCAGCGGGTCCACCATTGGCCTGAGCAATTTTAGGTCAGACCAATCACAGCTCTCTGTTTGTAGCGAGACATAGGGTGGGGTTAGCACCAGGGCTGCGACAGGGAAAAACTACAAAGATGGCGTCAGCTCAGGAAGGACATTCATTTGAAATAGTTTTGGCATCAACTTTAGACTATTTAGACTTAGGTTATTCTTTGAGACATGAGCAGATGGAGGTACTTGAGTCCCTTATTTCAAAAAGAGGATGTATTTGCTTCTAGTTTAACGGTGTATGGTAGACTGCCCCACTGACTGAGTTCTGTAGCGAGAAAGACGGTTTGAAAGCCAACCTTCGAATCCGCCCCCACAACTGAGCTCTGTCCATGGGTCTTGGCTGGACGTATGCTGACATTCATCGCATGGCTTGCAGGCTATAGTTTTCTTGTTTTTCATCTGAAAACTGCCTGCACTACTGCTAAATTTCAGGCAAAATCCTGGCTGGAGCTCTTTAATTCACGTAAAACTGCTAACAGAAACGACAGTTACCTTACTGCTGGTCTTATTAACCGGCCAAATTTGACCTAATCATGTTTCTGTCACAAAGAGCTACCAGATTTTATTTATTTATTTATTTATTTTGCTGATTGAACGATAAGTGCATGTGTGAAAAGGGCTAACAGGTTCAGTTGTAAATATGCCAAATACCCCTTGGGATATAGCACCAGATTACTGTTTAATTGAATAAGCTTAGTTACAATATGTTCTGGTAACATACCTAGGCTTTCAGTTCCTGATTTTGTTTTCTCGTTGTTTATTTTTTAGTAGGCAGACTGAACTGCGGGCAAATCAGTTGAGCAGCTTAATATAAATCTTATATTTATGCATAAATCGATTATTGCACTATGATTTCCTTTTTAAATGTAGATCTCCATTTTGTGTTGTTAATGCATACCTATTTATTGACTGTGAAACAGGACCATAATTTTAGTTTCATCCTAGTGATTTATTTATTATTTATTGGAGCACTTTGATTCAATGTGATGTGTATTTGCTACAATTGCATGAATGCTTTATTATTGTTTATTTAATTTTAGTCCAGAAATGACACTTCTGACTGTTGTGCTTACGTTTCTATGAAATTATTTAAACAATATTTGTAACTCAAACATGATACTTCAGAATGTAAAGTTACATTCAAGCAAGTTTAAAATATCCAATGTTACACACTTTGGTTGTTTTTAATGCTGTAAACTGACTTTATTGCAAACTACTATAATTTATTGGCTGTTGAATATTAAGGGGTGTTTTTTGAACTGTTACTTTGTTGGCAAACTGTCGCCGTACAATGTGGCAGTGCCTTCGAGCGTTTCTGCAATCATACCTCCTGCTTTCAGCAGAATGTCATTTGTTTTCAGCAGCTTGTCAATAAACAGTTCCCTGATTTCATCAGTTGCCTGGTCTGTTTTGACTTTGCTGACAAAGATGTTTTCTGAACGTGTGTCGAGAAGAATAGAGTAGGAGCGCACTGGTTAGTGCACGATTTTAACCAATGGAAGTGGAAAAAATTAGCACTGACCACTGGGCTCCATCGCCATTCTTCTCTACACAGTTTCACGTCCCTCAGCTGGGTAGCACCTCTCCTCGGAGTGCCTTTACTTTAGTAATACGTTTCCTGAATGGTCTTGCACAATAGTACTTTGAACAGTTGTGCTTTTAACTGTTGCCATTTTCAAGAAGCTGCTGATTGATGCTGGCATTTCAAGAAAATCGTAAAAGTAGGTGGCCTTCTTTATCAAAGAAAACTTTAGTGTTTGGTTCAAGTTTCTCTCTGATCTCCAGAGTTTCTTTGCTTAAGTCAGCTTGATTTTGTATTCTACAGCTTTTGGAAATTAATGTGATTAAAAAAATGTACTTGTAAAAATAGTTGAGTCCAAAACATTAGTATGGTAAGAATTGTTCATGGTAAGGTAGGAATGTGCCACTTTATTGTGTTTAGCTCTAAGAATTAGTAATGATTTCACACACAGTTTTCATTAATAGGTGCTATCAAGCCAGCCTGAAGGATCTGTACCTTGGAAATGGCAACAAACAACTGTTCTTGTCAAAAGTTACTCAGTTTTACTTCATTACAATTTTATTTACAAACTGAACATGTGTTGAAACAAAATAGTGAACCCTAACTTGTCTTTTGTATGATTTAAGCTCCTGGTAAATACACTTTTACAGTCAGACAGGCGGGTTCTTAAATGTCTGAACATTGTTACGTTTATTTCTTAAAAAGATTTCATATTTTCCTCCTGCAACATTTTTGAATGAGTCCATTGTGTGGAATTGGAATTGTTACACATCAATACACCACTGAAATGCCATTTTGAGGGTTAAAACAAAGGTGAATATGGTAGTTTTTAGCTGTCCTTGTGCAGACATGAACTTTAAAACATATACCATTATAAACCTTTGTTGTCCAGTAATTTTGCCCTCTACATTCTAGTCCATTTTTATTGCTGTTTTGCAGAAAAAACAAGAAAGTTTTCAGTGTTTGATTTCAGCTGTATGTGGATTTCTCTGGGTCCTCTGTATTTTTCAGTGACAGTATACAATGGATGGTGAATTTCCATAATTCTTTTAATTGTTTTTATTTTGTGTGTTTCTTAATCGAAGTTTTGTCCTACCTTGCCATACACTTTCAGTTATCTGGGAGGGAATATTGAGTAATGTTTTCAGTTTTTATATTGGATTATGAATGCAGTAAAGGTGGTTAGGTGCAGTTAGTTCTCTATGTATTTTAGTTTATAAGACTGGTGAAACTGAGAGGAAGTGGGTATAATTGAAACATCAGGATTACTAGAAGCTAATATGTCTAAGACATTGTTAAAATTATATTGTTACTGGAGTTGTTTATCCTCTCTTTTTAGCAATTGGCTAAGTTTTGAGTAAACTCCTTAATCCCAATTTTGCATTTTTATCTTTAGTTTCAGGCTGCCATTGGTTACAGAAGAACAAGGAGGAGTAGGACAGCGAGGGACTAAGACTTCTGCATTGGATGCTGTTCTACATTCTCTTTGTCCAGCACACCGATCTTTACTCTACCAAATTCTGAAACTTGCCCAACAGGAAAACTTGCTTTTGTTTCTCAATCGTAAGCCTGTTGATTCGACAGAATCCCTCTGCAGTCACTGTAGTGCAAACTCACAGGAACACATTACATGCCATTCAGTCCTTTTTGTTGAATGTAAGGCCCATAACCGCAGTATCTGCTGCCCTTCAGCTGACTGTAATCATCGAAGCCATTGCAATCTCAGTTATCATCCGGTGGACTCAAATTCTAGCTGTAGCATCCAGCAACGACCTTTCAAAGACTCTAACATTGATGATCAACGAGGCCCAAATTGCGGCTGTGTGGAGAGTTGCAGGTTGGACACTTGTTCTCCTCTATGCTCCAAGAGGCTACACTGCAATGCCTGCCAGAATCTGGCAGCAGGATGCATAAATAACACAGTGAGTTCATTTAAATCCTCTCCTATGTTCTCACAGACTTCACTATGTCCTTCCTCTTCTAGATTGTGCTCTGTGTGTTATGAGAAAACCAGCTCTGGCTCCTGTTGTTCGCAACATGCATATTCAACACAAGTCGGAAATATTGGAGATGAGGATCATTTTACCACACAGAACAGGGGGCTGAGTCCTTCTCCTCCTCGTCTTTCTCCTATACCGTCAGATATCGGCAAGAAACCCAATGAAAAGCCACCGTCTCTGTTTCACCACAGACATGGAGAGGAAACTGACCTAGGAAATAAAAATAGACTTGTGAGTTCAAATCACGCGACAGCAGGTGTGGATACAGAAAATAAGCTCCCGTGTAAGATGCCAGACACCAAAATGGAACAGAACACAAATGGGACTTTACTGCAAGACGTTATGAGTCGTTTCAGTCAGAAATTGGATAACATCACACCTGTGGAAAATGACCCTACTCTGGTTTCAACCGCTATCTATGTTTCTGAGAAGGAACAACAATTTCCCTCCACCAGTCAGAACCTGCCGTTTCATGCCGACTCCCATTTGACTGAAATCATCACTACAGTGCTCCACACAGGCAACGCTAGTGACTACAATCTTAGTGAGCTGTTTACACGCCATGATGACAGAGAGCCTAAGTCACCTAATACCCGTGCCCGGTGTCGCCAAAAAATTCAGATTGCTATAGCAACCCCCACTGACAATGCTTCTGCCAGAAGGCATACCTTGGAAATAAAACGGAAGCTTGCCATGCTCGATCCATCCTACAAAAGGAGAAAGGTGCCTCAAGCGAAGAAAGCAAGACTGAAAGATGGAGGGAGTTCTATAACTGCATCAGGAACTTCAACAGATCCAAATATAACTAAAGAGATGTCTAAAAAAGAGGCACAAGTAGTCTTAGAACCTGCAGAGGATATGATCACGGAAGTAATATTAAGTACGCTCTCCGCAGAAAGTCAAAGGGAAGGTGATCAGGAAAAGGTAGAGGCGGTTGTAGTTACAGAAGAGTTACTTGTAAATGGGGAGCAGGGGGGACTATCGCATAAGCATAACAATGTTGCTAATGTTCAGCACACATCTGAGCAGCAAAAAACAACTAGAAAGCGAGGTCCAAAAGGAGACTATGTTGAACTAGAAATGGCTGCCTGTTCTGCCAAGACAGCCCCAGGTCCCTGTAAAGAGGGTTGTACGGGTAACAGTGTGTCAACTAATGGGAGTCATGGAGCATCCCCATTAGGTCAAAACTCTGGCACAGAAAACATACCAGAAAAGGCGTCCCTTAGTACTGTTAAAGATGGCTGTAGATATCAGTCTAACCAGTCCATTGAAAAAAGGAGATCAATGAGAAATATAGTCCCTCCGCAGCGGTTTAACTCCTATGTCACGTGGCATGCACCAATACTTAATGTCTTCAATAAAGATGGAGACACTGATGACACTCAATCTGAATGTGAACCTGCAGGAAAACTTGCCTTTCAAATAACACAAAGAGAACCATCTAACACAGAACCTAAAGATCAGACACATTCCTTTGTTCCAACTATGGTTACGAAAGACGAGAGTTCTGATGAGCACCGTAAAAAAATAGGTACAAATGGTAGTGACAGTGGTACACATAGAAGGTTACGATCAACAACAACAAAACTACAGGAGTCAGAATTTTCCCAAAGCCCATTAAATAATGGCACCAAAATTCAACCTGCCTATCCTGCTAGCTTTCCAGCCCCCCAAGGTGAATACATTAGTCCAATCAAGCTGATGTTTGTATCACAAGTGAAGGACAAAGAAGGAGTTAAATATAGTCTAAAGTCCGCAAGGTCTGGGTTTAGTACAGCAGAAGTATCTTTTGACCCCTGTGAAGAGTCTTCATGGTCGGGAATGCCTCAGAAACATAAAAACCGGAGAAAAGAGGGTGCAGTATCACTAGTAAAGCCAGTTCTAACATCTTTAAAATATGTTGGCTCATCTACATTGCCTTCTTCATCGCCTCCAAAATCTGCATCCTTATCCACAAAACCTCTAAAGTCTACATCTTCAAAGTCAGCAACTTCACATTCTAAGTCTGCATCTCCATTGGCATCTTCATCAAGAAAGTCTGCATGTTCACCTGCAAAGTCCACATCTCCATCACCAAAATCCGCATCTTCATCGAAAAAGTCCATATCTTCACCTTCAGAGTCTGCATCTCCACTGGCATCTTCATCAAGAAAGTCCACTTGGTCACCTGCAAAGTGCACATCTCCATCACCAAAATCCGCATCTTCATCAAAGTCCATTTCTTCACCTGCAAAGTCAGCATCTTCACCGAGGTCGGTCTCTTTGTCACCTAAAAATAGCTCAAGAAGATCAAGCATCAGTACTCCAACAAAGCGCTTATCTGAACCCGAAAGCCATCGATCACCTGGTGACTTGCCATGTGAAACAACCCCTCCAAAAAGACGCCCAGGTCGACCTAAGAAGTTGGGACCTCAGCCAGAGCAAAAAGTGAAGAGGCCCATTGGTCGTCCACCTAAACAGAAAACTGAAGGAGCTGTAGGAGAGTCCAAGTCACTGAATGGAAATGGGATTCCTGAACAAAATGACGACAGTATTGTCAAGAATCTCAAAATAACAGTTTTGTATGGCCGTTCCAGGAAAAACAAAAGAGTGGTGTCAGAAGGGTGCAACCTGATTTCTACCAATTTTGGTGGTGATTGCCATGCAGTGGAAGTCAGAAGGAACTTGGCCACTTTATTACATAGTTCTAGTCAAATTAAAACAGCCTTAGAAGAATTAAATTTTGTTGGCCCTGCTAAAGAGTTTGCGTCTCAGTCTGGCAGCAACATCAAATGTCAGAAGAAGGCTAAAGCTGCACCCATGAGAAAACCAGGAAGACCTGCAAAAGTTAAAATCTCTGGGATCTCAGTCACTGTTAAAACAGCATCACCTTGGCAACGCAAAATTATGATGAATAAAGATACTACTCCACACTCGTCTGAAACGCAGCTTTCTAAGAAATCACTTCTACCAGATTTCAAATCTGCTGGAGAGCCTTGTACCATCAGCTATCAGACAACAACCAGAAGTAATCAAACTAAGGAGGTAATGGAAACGACGACTAACAATAGAAGTGAACTACCTAGTCAGCCAATTGCAGTGCGACACTCAATAAGGGACAGAAAACCCTCAGTACACTTTCTCCATGCTGTTGCCACCTCCAGTTCTAGATCATATAGTTGCAGTAGCGCTTTGCTACGGCGCTCCAAAAAGCTTCTGCTGAATAAGGTGAGCAGTGAACGGAAACAGGAACAACTAGGTAGTGTTGGGATTTTAGGGGAGAAAAGACAGCTTTGTGGACAAAAAAAAGAAAGTGTCGCTCAAGATTTGAGCCGAGTAGCAAAGGTATCGTTAGATTCAATATTTCACCCAAAAGAAACTGTACGTTGGTGGATATCATCAGCTGAAGAGGAGACTGTGAACCAGGAGCTTGCCAGGAGAATCCGAGTCATCTCTGACACCTGGGTCTCAGACATGGCCAACAACCAAGGCAAAGAAACTTCCTTTAGCAAGAAAATCGATACTAAAGGGAACAACTCTCTAACCAGAAAAGCAAAACAATCATCTGCTGTCCAAACATTGTTTGAATGTTCGCCTAATAAACCAAGGTCTTGTAGCATGCAGCAGATATGCTCCTGGTTCATGCAGACCACGGAGACACAATCTCTGGCTATTGTCAAAAAGGCGAGCTCCCGTAATCCCTACGAAGTTATGCACTTCTCTCGTTCTGCCATTAAACAAAGCATTGGCTACAGTCCTCAGGCAGAGCGACTTCGCAAACACATGAAGAAGTTTGCCAAGACTGTGCCAAAAAGTCCTCTGCAGCATCGGCAGGCTCAGATGCGGCTGAGGAAGAAAAATGCTTGTAAGGTTAGGCGACACCTTTTTGTTTCTAGATTTTCAGTGAGAAGGCGCAATCACCGAGTCATGTGGTGGAGGTGCACCTTGTCGGGTAGATTTTGGGCCACCCTGATTAGAGCAAGAACACGATTCCTAACCAGGAAACAAAGGGAGAGTCGGCAAAAGAAGCAGAAACACAAGATCAACAACAGAGGACACAAAGGTTACTCAAATTGGCCTTTAGCAACTGGATTAAAATCAAACCGTAAAGCATTGCACAGATCAGCAAAGGCTCCGTTTTCAAACTGTGTTAGTAACTTTCCCAGCACTCCTGGCAACCAAACTCAGGAGCACGGGGATGAACAGAAAGAGCAGAACCTCTGTTCCAAAGCTTGGAGTCCTGAGACCCTGAAGGAATGCCGCGTGTTTCTCAGGAAGATTAACTCTCCAAGCAACAAGTTGACTGGGGAATGGGACTCCTGTACTGTGACACTGGATGATGGGTTGCGTTCTACATGCCTCTTTGCTGGAGAAAAGAGGGAACTGGAAGGAGTTGTTAAAGCTGTGAAAAGAAAAAGAAGTATGAACAAAAAGACTGCTGCAAGAGTGCCGTCAAGTCCTGGACCTAAATCAGCCCACAACCAGAATGTGGCTGAAGTGGAGAGGCAGAGGCGTAAACACAAACACCCTGGAGTTGTGTCCCCTGAGTTACCACAACAACCACCAGCAAAAATGTTGAGACAATCGCGAATGAGGGGCCTGAGTGGGCCGAGGTGGCGCGACTTTGTGTTTGGTACGTACCGTGGCTCACTCACTTAATTCTGGATAACATTTTAAAATGCTTAAAACATGTATATTTTTATTTTTTCCTGCAGATAACTGAATCAAATGACCTCCTCTCCATTGGTAAGGGACTGTGGTTTAATGTGGGGCCTTTGGATATTAAGCTTACCACACAGGCGGACCGTCCCACAGCGGTCCAGTCTAACACTCAGCAGTTATGTAGCAGTCTAATTTAAGAGCTTGATGTTGCACTATTTTTACCCATGTTCTTTGTTTTAGTCATCTTGCCTTTCTTTGTCTTTCTATGAATAGAGAAACAATTCATTACGTCAAGGAGTTTTGTTAAAATTTCCACATTAGAAGGAAAGATGAAGCATTAATACTTTTTCCATCTCTCCCAGAAAACACCTCCTTCAGCACGTCTGAAAAAGAAAACTATCTGTAAATTTGACTATTTGAGATCCCTCCTGCTCCACACCTAACGTAGATTTTATATTTATCTCATTTTAGCACTCTTTATTTCGTAATTTATTTATATTAAAGTTAATGTTAGGAACTCTGAAATTGTTTTTAGGCCTTCGCCCAAACGGACCCCTTTAGTTTTCGTTCATTGCTACCAAGCTGCCAAAAACACATTTTAATGAAGGAATCAAGTATATCTCTGCCACCTTAACTCAAATTTATCACCCTAGTTTTGCCAGTGTGTCTTAACGGCAGTGATTTTACAGCTTTTTTGGTTTGGATTTAAATATAAACATTTATCAATTCTTAAAGCCAAATTCCATGTTTTTATCCAGCACCCCAAATGAGAGGGTTGTAATGTAAAGTGACAAAGTATTGTGTTGTAGAGGATAGATTTTGTTGTTCGTTTGAGGGAATCTGTTAGGTTTTCCATGTGAATGTTTCATTCTCGCACACAGAATTAACGTTGCCGCTTTCAGATGCTTCTTGCACTATTCCATGTGAGATTATTACCCCACTACAGATTACCCCTCCAGTATTTGCACATCCCATGTCCCACTACTTCTCCTGGTGCAATACAAACTCTGATGATTTACCATTACGTAGACATTATTTTATTGACTGACAAATGGATGTACCAGTGGCCTTGGATGTTGCTTTGCCTGTTTCCATCCCTATGCTGGGATTTTAATCCATTAAGACCCAAGCGCACTGAAGCAACACTTCTCAAAGAAACATAAATAATCCCAACTTAATCATAGCATTAGTATTGTTTTTTATTCCATTAGCATTATTTACATCACACACAGGTGGGCGACATGTTGCAGTTTTTATTTTATATATACATATATAAGTTGCAGCAAAATACCTACCTCCACCAGGAATCCGCTAAGCTTACTGCTGATCATCAGCTTATCTGCCATGGACCAGGCCAGAGGTAATCCAATAAACACTAATCTTTCATCGGTAGGTTTTCATTTTGTTTGTACAAGCAGATTCAATTCATGATTCTTTAGGTCAAACTAGTGTTTGTTACATATTCATGTTCGGAGATGGAAAGTTCAAACTTGTGTTAAACATCCATCAACCCAGTTTGTTGAAGAACTTTATGCTCTGTTGGATAGTTTTTTTTTAATGGTGTTTTTATACTGTCCATTACAGAACCAACAAACCCATGTCTGTACCTGGATCAATAAAATCTTTTCAAATAACTTGAGTGTTTGCTTTCAACTATTAAATAAGGATTTTGAATAATTAACATGGAAAAATGACTGTTGGTCTTGTGCTTCTTTGTGTAGTGGTCACATTTAATAATAACCTTCTCAGTGGTCTAGTGGTGTCCGCTCTGAAACTGGGAGATCATGATTCAAGTCTGTCGGGTCGTATCAAAAACTTAAAAAATGGGACCCAATGCCTCCCTGCTTGACATTCAGGCATTGGATTGGGGGGTTAAACAACCAAATAGTGGCTTCAGGAGGGTCAAGGTGTTTTATTTGTATTATTTTCAGTTTTTTCTATATAAACAAATTTAAAATCTACCTACTGAATAAGTCTTTTTTGAGAGTACCAGGATCAGTGTTACTCATCTTCCTTTCCTAGAAGTAAAAAACCAGTCAGGAAGGTCCGACAGCTGGAGATGGTCCAGACAGGAAAGGAGCTTTTAGGACCATAACAATAACGTGACCAAGTACATCTGAACAATTAAATCAAGTTTATTTTAATTGATATGAACACATTTTGTACATACATCTCACTTTACTGCTTTAAAGACGCTTGGTATTAAAAACGGAACAAAACAAACATGACAGTTAATGAGTAAACAAGTTCTGAAAAAAGTTTTTTTTTTTTTTTTTACATATGAAACTTTCTGACCAGACATTTATGACACATTGGCCTCCTGATTGATAAGAGGGTTGAGGTCTAGTTTAGTTTTCTCCAAAGCTGCAGTCTTGGCTCTCCGTGATGGACGAACCACAGAAACGGTCTCTGGAACGTTTTCTCCATCACTGCAGCCAAAACAGAAGTATCAATATATTAATAAAACATCTAAATCTAATTATTTGTAGTGAAACACTCCTGAGCTCACCTCTCCTCTGACGACTCGGCCTTCCTGCTCGGTTTTCTGCCTCCCTTGGCAGTGGAGGCTTTTCTTTGACCTGTGCAGACAAACACTCCGGTTACCTCCCAGTGCCGAGTCATTTCCACTCAGCCATCTGAGAGAGCTCGAAAAGTTAATCTGCTCTTAATAACCGAATGTATAGAACCTGCTTTACCTCTTTTGGCTCTTTTGACAGACTTTGATAGATCATCTGCTGCAGCTTCTGAAAAACACGGTACACAACTCTTACATTGACAAACACCAACTATGGAGAAGCCAGGAGTAGTTTTGTACCATCAGCATTGACATCCAGTGGTTGTGGTGGACTCGCACTGAGGAGCTCAGTCTGTTCTTTGGAGTCCGTCAGCTGTTGCAGCATCTTCTCCAGAGCTCGAAGGCAAATGTGATCCTTCACCACCTGGTAGACAGACAAAAGAGCCATTAAAGCAGATATGAATCCTTTTTCGGTAACACTGGTTTGTCTTTGAAGTAGTTCAGCTTATTGTTTTAAGTAGGACACCAACAGAGCTACTAAATGCTTGTGTCCTTGTGCATCGTACCTGCACCAGCTGCTGCAGCAGCGACTGCAGGTCCTCCTTGACGGCATCGTCCCTGCTGAACTCCAGGTTGCTAAGAGCCTTGGCATAGAGACGAACTTCAGGGGCTGTGGGGTCTTTGAGCATTTCCCCACACATACGCACTGCCAGGAAGTCGTGCACACTTGTCTCCTGAGGATACAACCAGTGACAAAAACGTTATTCATCATTATTTACTTAAGCAGGGTTCATACACTTTTTTAGCTATGGTTTTCCATAACTTTTCTATGACTTTTCCATAACCATTCACTGAATTTCCAAGACCAAAAATGAACACATTTCAGCCGGACCATCGTAGTCGGTGCCTCTAAATCAAACCCACAGTCTAACATGAATGTCCATTTGTTTCGACTGCAAATGTTTGTTGACTTTCATCGAATAAAACAACATATGCCGTTTGTTGAGACATGTCCTTCAGTATCAGCTTCTTAAAATACGGGGCTAGTCCATATGTGCACACATCGCTGCAGTTTTTGCAAATCTAGCAATCTGACAGTCAGGAAACATTGCCTGGAAAAGAGGAGCTACGTCTTCTGATGATTTGTAAGAGTAGTGAGAGTTCATTACTTTTAATGCCCACAATACTTCAGCTTTGAGTACTTCTGTTGTTGTAGATGCATCCATGACTGTCTGCCTTGCCGTGGAAATCGCAGCCGCTGCATCAACAACCGCCTGTGTCGGTGCGGAGGAAACTGCACTAACACCATCTTTGCCTGTTTTAAAAAACTCGCCGACTGATGGGCTTCTGCAGCGTTCGACAGCTGCAGTGTGTTTTTCCCTTTCATGTGGCTTACCAGCCCCGCCTCTCCCATGCCGCTTATATCGAAGGACTTGGAGCAAAGTCTGCATTTTGCGCGTTTCTTGTCAGGGTCTTTCAGTAACCACAGTTGATACTTCTCCATGAAAAGCCAATCGTTAAAACTGCCCCGGCATTTCGTAGCATTTTAAAATCCACGTGGGATAACAAGTTGAGACACCGACAAACAGTGAACCAATGAACACTCGGCCTACTTTACGGTAACGTAAACTCATCATCATAGGCCATCAGGTGAACCCCATTTTCGTTTCATCTCCTTCCGTGCTCTTGTGGCCACTTGACATTTGCTTCATAAAAGTACATTCATACGTTTTTCAAAAGTAAACTCCTCCTTTTGGTAAAGCCGTTTGATTACGATCGTTGTTTTAATTTGGGACTAGTTTGTTTTGAGAGTAATGATACATTGGTAAAGTGGCGCACACGCGCTCGTTTTATCCGCACGCATTTAGTAAACAGAAATCGAACGTGGCGGTGCACACCGAGTCGGACAGTAGCAGCGAGAGCGTCACGTTGCACTTCTGTGGCAATGTAAATTTTAATCATAGTACGCCATTGTATTTTTTAGATTTTACACATCCAAAATATTATCCAAACAATATTTCAATGACTTTTCCAAAACTTTACAGAGGATATTATTTTTCATGAACTTTTCAAGGACCTAGAAATTGCATTTTCCATTTCTATAACTTTTCCAGGTTTTTCATGACCGTACGAACCCTGCTTCAGCTGTAAGCTCAATAATGTCACTCCAGCAAAAGAACAAAATGGCTGCATTCTTACCTCTATGTTGGTAGAAGGTTTAATGAGTGCACTTGGGCGGGTCAACTCAACAAGAAGTTCGACAACGTTGTTGACGTCCACCTCAGCCAGAGGAGAGGTGGCTGGAGCTTCCAGTAGAGTCCGAATGGTCGGCAGGAAGCTCTCCTCCACAACCTCCTGGTGAGATCTGAAACAGGCAGACGAAATGTCAAAGCACATAAACATTAACATGATCCGGGCAAGTGCCGTCACTAAAGCTAGAGCTGTTCTAACAAAACATGGCAGACCTGCTCTCACGCGCGTAGAGCTGAAAGAAGACACCGAGGCAGTGCCGCAGGTGTGTGTCATCCTCTGTGATGGGATTGTACCACAGCAGCACCAGACGTGAAAGCATCTTGGCACTGGAAATACGGCCCGTGTACATTAGCTTGGCCAGGCCCTCTGTTGTCTCCGTCCGCAGGTCAGACACCTAAAGATGTTTCACACGAAGATGTTTACCGTTTTCTCAACCCGTTCTGACAGTTGAAGCAGACAAAGTGTTGTCTCTGGACAGAACAAGTGTAAGCCCACCACCACACCCCCAAGGGACCAAGAGGAAAAGCCACGGTGGTAGAGCAGTTTCCCATCTGGGCCAGCTCGTCTGGGCTGGGTGGCGTCGGTCCTGCTCCAGCACCGGTAGGGTTTCTTCACACACACTTCTCAGGAATGGGGAAATCTCCGAGCACATGGGCAGGCCAAAGGATGCGTGAAAACGTTTGTGGTGCCTCCCTTAAACAAAGGCAGCCATGTGCGTCTGTGTGCTCCTCACAGCAGTGAGAAAGAGACAGAGAGCTGCCGTAGCTTCAGTCAGAGGCGACGTTTACGCCTCAGCATCCAGAATGATAATGAATTGTGCATGTGGGAAGCTCCTGCTGGTTAATTTTATCCGCCTAACGGTAGGCGTGTATTTGAGCCGGCCAATCAGTCGTAGCGGGCGTGTTGGCCCGGACCACCAGAGGATAATAGGCTGAAAAACCGCCTGGTAGGCCACCCAGGGATGAACTCAATATATGCAATGTGGATGTGAAGCCCCTAGTAGACAGTTCCAGATATCTCAATTTAACCTGAGGCTGGACTGAGACCCCACACCCCCTCCCCGTGTATCAAAATTCCTTTTTTTTTTAATACAGTTCAGAAACACAAACATGATCAGCCTCACCTCACTGTCCAGGAACTCTGAAAGCATCACCAGAATACTCTGGGCGGTATCTTCTGGGACATCTCCCTTGTCCTCAGCCGCTGCGTCGTCCTCCTGCCTCTCAGGTGATTGGTTGGGTTGGGCTGTCGGACTGGAAGCAGTTTCTGAGAGCAGCTGGAAGCCAAACAGCAGCAGCAGGTCGATGATGGACCGCAGAGCGCTGATGCGGATCTTTACCTCATCCAGCTGGGCAATCTGGACAAACAACCACAGAGTTTACCACCGACACTACAAGCCTCTAGCCACAACTACCGCATCACCCATGATGTACCGTGTGTTAACAGGTGAAACAAGTATAATAGCATAATCCAGGCCAATAACTTCTGTACACACACACGCGAGCATTAGTGTATGATATGGCTGGTTGTGTGAACCCACCTGCAGCAGAAGAACCATGTGGGTTTTGGCCAGCTCCTTACTGTGAAGAGTACATGTTCCCAAGCACACCACAGCCATGTTGCGGACGGCAGGATAAGGATTAGCTATGCTCGGCAGAATCTAACAAAAAGAGAGACACTTTAAGTTTAGTTTTGATTCAATTTAAACACGTTGTTGATTTGGTATTAATGTCTAAAGTCTGATCCAAATTAAAACACCAATGTAAATAAAGGATGAGAAACATTTGTCAACACAGACGTTGTTGAAGTTGAATTTTTAATGAAGTTTTCAAGCTAAAAACACTTTTCTAGCTGATGTTTTTCAGCTTTCTGCTGCTTCGTAGGTAAGGATGTTCCGATTCAACGTTTTCACTTCCGATACGATACCGATATTGCCGCCTTCAGCATTGACCGATACAGATATCAATCCGATACGATATCAGTACAATCATACATACTTTTACTTATTTTGTAGGGATGCAACGATACCACTTTTTTCCTAACCGATACGATACAGATACTTGGATCTGAGTACTCGCCGATACCGATACAGATACTTCTACCGCACAAAAAAATGCAATGAATTGGAATACAGGTTTTATTTTCTTCTGTTTTCAATAGGAAAAGACTGTGAGGTAGATAAAAAGTAATATAAGTGATCACAAAACTAAAATATTAGGTGAACAGAAATGACAACTTACAGTGAAGTCACTTTCAAGCAACTGCATTGGTATCAGTTACTGGTATCTGTTAACTTTTACCGATGCCGATACTGGTATCAGTATCTGTATCGGCACCGATACCTAGGGATGGGTACCTTTGACATTTGAATCGATCCGGTACTAATTACCGGTACCTACGAATCGATACCGGTACTTAACGGTACCAATTTTCGATACTTTTGAGTGTTTATTATTTTAATTTTCTTTTATAATTAAATATATATTTTTCTCAATATATAACAATATTTGATAAATATCACGATAAATAGCATTCAACTGTATTTTAACATCGTCCTTGTAGTTTTATAAGCTGATAATTAAACTGAAGCAAACATCTTTACAGTGAACTAAATTTACTGTGTATCTTCATTCCTTTTGCCGTCCTTTTTCATTTGATTTTTCCTACTGGAAAGTTAGAATTTCCGAGGAGAAAGCGAACACACCATTAGCTGATAATAATGGTGGCAATGGAAGCTAACATATCAAGCTAACGATATCTTAAACAGTTTATTTAGCTGCTGGAGCAGATTAAAACGATGCCTCACACTTTAGATCGTCACTGGTTTCGTCTTCACCCGTCACATTTAGTAAAGTGAAGCCAAATTTTAGAGCGCGTTCATGTTGTTCTAGTCGGAAATTCGGAGTTCCGAGGAGAAAGCGAACGCACCATTAGCGAAACGGAAGCTAACATATCAAGCTAATTATATTTACCTACCGGAGCAGATTAAGATGATGATGTCTCACTTAGATCGTTGTCACTGGTTTCATCATCCAGTTACCCATCACATTTAGTGAAGTGGACCCAAGCTTTAGCCTGCGTTCTCTCTACCGTTCTGCTCTGTTTACAACTGGTTAACAGCAAGCGACGACAAAACGCACTTGCGCATGCGCAGCTGTCTTGGCAAGTTCTCGTTATGATGGACGGGTACCGAAACAAGGCACCGTTTGAAACGACGTGAATCGGTGCTCGGTCGGTACTATGGAATTCGGTCGGTACCTTAAAAAGTACCGAATTCGGTACCCATCCCTACGATACCAATACCAGTATTGTATCGGTGCATCCCTGTTATTTTGTAGTGTGGAATGTATGAAAGGCTTGATCAAGTGATCTTACTCAATCGGAGAACAAGAGCAGATAACAGTAAGTATGAAAAAAATTACAATATATATACAGGTGCTGGCCAGTAAATTAGAATATCATCAAAAGGTTGAAAATATTTCAGTAATTCCATTCAAAACGTGAAACTTGTACATTATATTCATGCAATGCACACAGACCAATGTATTTCCGATGTTTATTACGTTTAATTTTGATATTTATAGGTGACAACCAATGAAAACATCAAATCTGGTATCTCAGAAAATTAGAATATTCTAAAGGCCAATGAAAAAATGTTTGTTTCTCTAATGTTGGCCAACTGAAAAGAATGAACATGAAAAGAATGTGCATGTATAGCACTCAATACTTAGTCGGGGCTCCTTTTGCCTCAATAACTGCAGTAATGCGGCGTGGCATGGACTCGATCAGTCTGTGGCACTGCTCAGGTGTTATGAGAGCCCAGGTTGCTCTGATAGTCGTCTTCAGCTCCTCTGCATTGTTGGGTCTAGCGTATTGCATCCTCCGCTTCACAATACCCCATAGATTTTCTATGGGGTTAAGGTCAGGCGAGTTTGCTGGCCAATCAAGGACAGGGATACCATGGTCCTTGAACCAGGTGCTGGTGGTTTTGGCACTGTGTGCAGGTGCCAAGTCCTGTTGAAAGGTGAAGTCTGCATCCCCATAAAGTTGGTCAGCAGCAGGAAGCATGAAGTGCTCTAAAACTTCCTGGTAGACGGCTGCATTGACCCTGGACCTCAGGAAACAGAGTGGGCCAACACCGGCAGATGACATGGCACCCCACACCATCACTGACGGTGGAAACTTTACACTGGACCTCATGCAACGTGGATTCTGTGCTTCTCCGCTCTTCCTCCAGACTCTGGGTCCTTGATTTCCAAAGGAAATGCAGAACTTGCTTTCATCAGAAAACATAACTTTGGACCACTCAGCATCAGTCCAGTCCTTTTTGTCCTTGGCCCAGGCGAGACGCTTCTTGCGCTGTTTCTTGTTCAAGAGTGGCTTGACACACGGAATGCGACACCTGAATCCCATGTCTTTCATGAGTCTCCTCGTGGTGGTTCTTGAAGCGCTGACTCCAGCTGCAGTCCACTCTTTGTGGATCTCCCCCACATTTTTGAATGGGTTTGTCGTCACAATTCTCTGCAGGGTGCGGTTATCCCTAGAGCTTGTACACTTTTTTCTACCACATTTTTTCCGTCCCTTCGCCTGTCTGTTAATGTGCTTGGACACAGAGCTCTGCGAACAGCCAGCTTCTTTAGCAATCACCTTTTGTGTCTTGCCCTCCTTGTGCAAGGTGTCAATGATTGTCTTTTGGACAGCTGTTAAGTCAGAAGTCTTCCCCATGATTGTGGTGCCTTCAAAACAAGACTGAGGGACCTTTTAAAGGCCTTTGCAGGTGTTTTGAGTAAATCAGCTGATTAGAGTGGCAGCAGGTGTCTTCTATATTCAGCCTTTTCAGAATATTCTAATTTTTTGAGATACCAAATTTGGAGTTTTCATTAGTTGTCACTTATGAATATCAAATTTAAATGTAATGAACATTGGAAATACATTGGTCTGTGTGCATTGCATGAATATAATGTACAAGTTTCACGTTTTGAATGGAATTACTGAAATATTTTCAACCTTTTGATGATATTCTAATTTACTGGCCAGCACCTGTATATATATATATATATATTTTTTTTTAACCATTGGTTGTAAAATGTGAACCTTAGCTTTTATCTGAGATTTTTGAAGCAGTCCAATATAATCTGATACAGTGTTTTTGGGCCGATATCAAATTACTTCCGTTATCGATATCGGAACGTGACATCCCTAGTTGTAGGCATCGATATCAGATCTTGTTCCGAGTTTAGAGGAGCCTGTGATGGTTAAAGCAGGGTTAGACTTTAGCATCAGTGAACATTTGCTGGAAAGGTCTGTTATCAAAGGAGAGGTCAAACCAATGCCCATCATCGATTTGAGGTCGTTTTGGATGACTTCAGTGATTATTGCCATTTTCCTCTTTGCCTCCATCTGACCACTTTTATGTTTTTATTTTATGTCTGCAGTGATTGCTCTGCGGCTCAACACCTCACTGCTGCAACAACTTGGTGCTGCTCAAAAGCAACAAAACTATTTTTTGTGCCTCTACCTCACTCACCTTGATTTCAATCACAGTGAAACCAAATTTCCTAGACCACTCTGTTGCCATGGCAGTGAAATGCCACCGATCATCCGGTTTATTTATATGCAGAGTATTAAGTGCTTTGCACTCGCCGTTTATGGCAGAAAGTTCGTGTGTTGAGGTAGGGGTGTGATTTTAAAGTGATTTATAGAGCAGAAACTGCGTGCAGCTGTGTGTAAGCAGTGTTTTATAGGTCGGAAAATGATTTTGCTATATGCATAGATACAGAATTTTTGTAAGGATTCTATACAGTCTTAATAATGAGGCCCCCGCTCATAACTCAGATGTGAACTTGTGGCCATTTTAAATGTGAGTTACTTCTTTTTCTCTAGACGTCCTACATAAAGCGTTAACAAAATTAGCAAAAATTCAACTTTTATACCAGCGAGGACATCAAGGCACTGATGGTTGGACCGATCGGAGTCTTGATGTTCATCTTCTTCAGCAACTCCGCACACATGGTCAGACACCTCAGAAGAGTCTCTGGGTCATTCTGGAAAAAACAATTAATGACAAGAATTCATTTAGCCGCTAGGAGCAAATTATATTACAAAAGCGGAGCTTCCCGTGTCGCCATGTACCTTCTCGGTTCGGACCTCCTTGATGACCGGCTGGTTGCTCTCAGAGATTTCCTGCAGGATTTGGTTCCTGCTGTCCTCAAGTTTGGTGATGGATTCTTTCAGTTCTGCTGCTTGACTGAAGTCCTGGGCAGCGATGCAGTTCTCTAAAGCTTCTTTAGCCTCCATGATGCGGACCTTCACCTCCGCTAACTGGATAGAAATCAAAAAAGGTGAAATAGAGACAAAAGAAGAGTTGGTCTTTTATTGGATAATGCTGGACCAGATTAAACGCTGAGACAGGAATCTGTGACTACAGCAGCCGAGACCCTGGAGACTCGCTTGTGGGTTTTGGACTCACATGGATTTAAACACCTGTGCAAAAGACCAACTTGTTTAGTAGTTACAGCCTCCCAAATCACTGCAGCTGTCTATGAAATCCAAAACTTATAATCTACAAGTTAAAAACCTCCTCTCAACTAGTTGGAATGTGCGCCATCTACAAATATAAAGCATTAGGCTGGAGGAAGAGCAAAATCACTGAAATTTTGTAGATAGAAGGAAATATAACTAATGGAGAGATTAGAAGGAGCAAAATGAAGTCTCAGCTAAAAATAAAGTAAAATAAATAAGATATTGTATCCAGATCTCTTTCTGGATGCTTGAGGAGATCACGTTGTCCAGCGTTACCCACCTGGACCTGCTGTCGGCGGCTCTTGTTCTCATCCACTGGCTGGCTGACCTCCGTGATGGGCTCCATCACATCTGAAATTATCTCTGCCACCTGTTGACAACATGTGCCTCTGTGAAAAACTGGGAGTTGTGTGTTTTCTGACATTTCTACCCTATTAGCAGAGTCCATGAAAATGGAAGTTAAAGGAGAAACTAACAGTTTGGACCCGTCTTTGGTCATCGAGGATGATGAGGAGGAGTTTCTCAGTGAGCAGGCAGACCAGGGATGAGGGCGTCTGAGGGAGAGTCAACATCTCCTGCAGAACAGCCAGAACTCGCTTCCTGAAAACACAAAACATTTGATCCAGATCAACACGACGTTCATACCATCACTTTTTTTTCCCCTCTGCATCTCTCTCCATCTCACCTGCCACCTTCCTCGTTGGTGTCGAGACTTTCGATGAGATGAATGAGCTGCTGCGAGATGAATTCTTTGGTCATGCCCATCTCCAGCTGGGTATAGTCGGCCCTCTGCTCCTCAGACATATCAGTAACCGTTTTCAGGTAGCTAGAATAGAGTAAAGAGTCAGAACGGCCCAGTCCACCAAGATAAACCACATATTTATGTTAGGTGCACACAGGTTTTAGAATGCTGCAGGTAAGAACATAAAACCATAAATGCAATGGTAGGCAGCAAGACACAAACACTTTTCGTCTGTCCACAAGCCAACAGGCAGCAACTCGGCTTCTGTAAAGCTTTTTTTTTTTTTTTTGCTTGGCAGCAGTTAAACTGTTAAATGTAAAGTGCCAGGTTACTCAAAGCAGTTATATAATAAGGGTTTACTCTCCACACAGTTACATACAGAAAAAGTTCTTCTGAAAACTCTGGAGCTGCTTTCAGATGCCTAAAAAGCAACAAGATGCCGTTACGGAAACCCTGGTAAACAGGTTATTACAAAATAACAAATAATAAATGTGAAGAGTGGTAAAAATGTGTGGGGGATGACTTGTGTTAGCAATGCTAAGCTAGCAAACTTGATACAGTTAACTGAGAGTTTAGCCTGTTAGCCCAACAAGCTACAAATGATGGTTTATGCTAGTTAGGCCCGAATGTGTCCACAGGGTTTCTGCAGAAATCAGCTAAACAAATTTAATGCTTTTTAATGCCATTTTTAACCTTTTTAATGCCATAAACAAACACACGTGAGAATCCACAGATATATATGTACATAAAAAAATCCTCTGAGAACTCAATGTATTATAATGTACCCTGAGATAAACAAAAAAAAAAAAACGTATGCCTGGAACATAGCACATACATAGTTGCATGGAATGTTACATGTTATTGAACATGCTACAGCATTTTTTTCACACACAACAGGATTATTGCATGTGCCTTAGCTCACTAGTTTCTGATTCCAGCTGACTCAACATCTGTCAGTTCACTGCATTTGTCCCTGTATCTCTTCCTTAGAGTATTAGATTTTGTTATCATTTGAGCCATGAGCGTGCTCGGTTTGTTTTCTGCCTGTTCAGCTAGTTGATCAGCATCTTTCTGAAGGCTGACACACACCACCCTTAATATCTCCTTTTTCTTTTTCAGCTGTTCTAGCTCATCTTCCAATGCTTTTCTCTTAAGTCCACGCCTGGCACCCTCTCTCTTTAACATACTCTCTTTAAGTTTTGGCCATACTTCAATAGCTCTCTCTCCAACAGGAAGATTTTCCACCCATTTGTGTCCACAGAATGGGAGTGGAAAAAGAGATGAGCCTGTAAGTTTTGTAAAATCTTCTCTTCTTGCAGGGACGTTGTGAAAAAGAAAGTGCATTGCTCTTAACAGTTTCTCAATATTCCATGTGGAGAAGCCAGTCTTGAATGAATTGTGCAGAGTGTGCAGTCCACAGCTTCCAACATTAATTAATTGGCGGCCTCCATGTAGTTCAGCATGCTCTTGCTGGAAATCATTTAAAAACTTCAATTTCACATTTGGCCCATCCATACTGATGGAAAGGAGGTTCCTCATGTCTAGCAGACACACACAATCCTATGAATACAATACAATAAATTTTATTATTTGATATGAAAAAGAAAACCTGAAAACATTACACCAACATATTTGATTTGAAATGTGCTTATAGTAATTTCAAAATAAGCTTATTAAAATTATCTAAAAGCAAAAAACCTCAACAAAATGAACACATCTTGTCTCTTTAATTCACTGGAATACCACTTCATAAACAAAAAGTACAAATATACTCACTTTGAAATGGTGCAGCAAATCTTTAGCCTTTGAATGGCCCACAAACTGTGATCCAAGATAACGTGACTGGACAGCACCAGCCTCCCAAAATCGAATATGGACGTCTAGTTGTTTATTTTTTGTGGACTGGTTGAAGCTTTCATCAAACATCAGCACAAATGGTCCAGCGTTGTTAGCTGCAGAAATCAGTTCTTTTTTTATATGTGGGGCGAGTCCAAACTTTAAAACGTAGCTTGTCTTGTCCTTTCCACAGTTGAAAGATTTAGCCATTTCAGAATCCGAAAACATTGCCTGGAACAACTCCGAAACACCTTCATTGGATGCATAGGAGTGGTGCTGCACGGCAGTGTACAGACACCAGAGCACCTCTGCCTGAAGCGCCGCAGGTGATCCAAACAATTTTTGAAGCGTGCTTGATGTTCCGACGGCAGGGTTCGCAGCTGCAGTTGTGCTGCTTGTTGTGGTCGTGGTAGTTGCAGAAGATGTCGCGTTGCTAGTTACAGAAAAGTAACTAGTCACGGTTAGCTGCTGTCTGCCTTTGTGGTTGTCCGACTGCATGTGCGATTTCACAGCGTTCACACCCATTGTACCAAGTTTAATACAACCAGCTCAGTGGCCTAGTGGTAGAGTGTTCGTCCTGAGACTGGGAGATTAGGGTTCGATTCCTGGTCGGGTCATACCAAAGACTTTGAAAAAATGGGACCCAATGCCTCCCTGCTTGACACTCAGCATTAAGGGGTTGGATTGGGGGGTTAAACCACCAAAAACCCGAGCGCGGCTGTGTCTGCAGCTCACCGCTCCCCCAGGGGATGGGTCAAATGCGGAGAACAAATTTCGCACACACATCAGTATGTGTGACAACTAATGGAACTTTAACTTTAAATTTTTTTTTTCTTACAAACAGTACAAAATCCTTCTCCATCTTGACCATTAACGGGCTGCAGCCATACCTTGAATTTATCGTTTTCCAACCACTTTTGCTGGAATTTGCATTTCCCTATTTTCCAAACGTTTACTCCTCACGATCCAGCTTCTTGTCGAACATCCGGTTTTACGACAATTCAACAAGAAACCGGTCGGAACAGAAGTAATAATCGAAATGGTTCTGCCAGCGTATTGACTCAAACATACGTTTCATACAATTTCACAACAAATCACAATAAAGACAAAAAAATTAAAATTATTTAAGAATATTTCTTGAAAAAATTTAATGCCACTGACAATCTAATTTAATGCTTTTTAATGCCATTTAAGGCCTTAATTTTAGAAAATTTCATTGAATGACTTTTAATGCTTTTTAATGCCCCGCATAAACCCTGGTCCAGTGAGTTATGCTCAAAGAGCTTCTGCACTGCCTGATTTCTAGATGTAATTACCGTAAATCCTCTAATATTGGCGTGTATTCAATTAACGGCCGGGTATCATATTTTGGCCGGTGTCTGAGTCGGCGGAGGTGAATAATGGCCGGTATTTTATTGTGGTCGGGTGGAATGTGGTAACAAGCAAGTACCACAGGGGAGTGGTTGTGTCATCCGTCTCACTTTTGATTTGCCAGTGACAGACCGTGATTTGGCAGGTGCGGAGACGAAGAGGAGGCGAAAATTTAATATCAAGTTCAAAGAGAACGTGCTGATTATGCTGCAGAACACTCTGGGGAGCAGTAGCAGGGGTTGTATGAACTAGTCGACTTCACTATAGTGACTTTTTATGACTGTCGTCGACTAGTCGCTGTCACGGGATAATGAGCGGCAAGATGCAGTCCACGGAAAAGACAGCAGCCTGCTGTCAGCAGGTGACAAGCTCCTGCGCGTCGGGAGGCTACGCGCTGTGCCAGAGCGTCGGTACTGACACCCGCCGTAAAACGGACATTTAACCAAATTGTGACGTTTACCCTCTTGCAATTTAACATTCCCCTCACCCCATCCTAACCTTAACCAGCTTGCACATGCAAAGCTCTGATTGTTGACGCGCTCCAGACATCTGCGTCCTGAGCACGGCCACAGTAACATTATCAAATCAGGTGTTGCCACCTCAAAAACTAATTTAACACACGATCGTTCATGTCGGCTCATTTCCTTTTATGTTTTCTGTCTTTTATTCTTTTATTTGCGCCTGATGCGTTTCGCTGCTGCGGAGCGGGGCGCACCACCTGTTTTGTCCTCTGGTGACGCACCGATCACTGATGCGGCCGCCAAGCAGTAAGCACTTCACTGTTTTTGCAGTCAGTAGATCTTTTAGAACTGCAGTTCAAAGGTAACTCATGAGGTGAATATATATGAACCCAGGTAGCAGTTTCTCTTTAGGATTGAGAGGAGATGCAGGAAGATAATAAACAGACAGGACAGAAAAATAGTCAAATAAAAACAAGTTAGTTTTTGTACCTGCTGGTTGCAACAAACAAACACCACTGAGGGTAATCAGAAGTGAGGAACAGAAAATGAAATAATTATTTTAATGTTTAGAGCAGCAGAAACTCAGAGGCTGCAGGCGCATCAGTGAGTTTGCGGCTGCTGCGCAGGGGGAGGGGGGAGAGGGCTGAAGCAGAAACTACCGTCGTTAAAAGAAATGTGTTTAACTTTGAAAATGTGGGTGCAATTTTAATTGTCAAAAACTCCAGCGAACCATTAGTTCATTTAGCTCAAATAGAAATAGAAGCCTGCCTCTAATTCTGGCCCTCCTTCCAATAAAGGCCTGGAGCTTGATGAACTTGAGTCAAATACAGGCCTGGGGCTGTATTAGAGGATTTACGGTAAGTATATGTGCTTATTGTTGGAACATGGGACGCTCCGATCTGATCATGTGATTTTCAAGCCATCAGAATCCGGTGGAAAAGACCTGATTTAACTCAATATAAAACAAGCATGACCTTTAAAAGTCACCCTGAGATTTTCAAACGTAACAAGTTTTAATTTCACCACGTTCCACTACATCAATATTCATTGCTTCATAGGCAACACCCTAACATCACACAATTTACAGCAGGCAGGAACTCAGACACAACATGTAGCTGCTAGCTAGCATGCTAAAGCAGAACTAACGTGTTTGGATATATTTTAAACCGGGCTGAGAAGTTACTGGGTATTTTACATGGTGGAAAAGAGAGCTGTATTCAACACTACGACTCTGCTACCGCCTGAAATTTTTATTTCCGCCTAAAAAAAAAAAGTCTTTCTTTTTTGGCTTTTCCCTTCAGGGATTGCCACAGTAAATCTCCCGTCTCCATTTAGTTTGTGTCAGCTACCTTGAAAACAGACACCCTGCAGCAACTCGGACAGAAACACAGAGCCAGCCGACACTTAAGGACACGTTAAAGAAAACGTGCTGACAGACGGTAAAAAGGTCACAGCCAAGAGAGCAGTATATCTATCACACTAGAGGACTGTCTGCGGTTGCCAACATCAGATTTAGTGGCCTCCTGGAGCCAAGGTATAAGCTTCCTTTTTTGTCACGCAGCTGTACACAAGCCTGTCGGACACGACGTACCCACCCTGTCTCAGAAGCACGGCCATTACAATCACAAGATGTTTAAACCTGCAGTGTCCAAACTTGTCAAGACAAGGGCCAGAATCACCAAGTTGATGATTGTGGTCGGGCCACAAATATGTGTTTACTTTAAAAAATGCAAAAACTCTTACATGGTCAATATTTTATTTGTACTCCTCAGAATAAGCCTAAAGTGTGAAAATAAGCTAAAACCTGAACATAACATGTAACAGAATCAGAATGGTTTTAATGCCACATGTGTGAGAAACACGCAACATTACAAAATCACTGTGGTACCTGCGGTGCAAGGAAAAATAAATGATAAGCAAAAAATAGAATTAATTAATAAACACAATGAAATAATAATACTATAGCTAATACTATAATAACAAATTGCTTTGATCGGGAGCAAAAAAGTAGTATCAAATACTTACAGGAAATGAGCGTTTACATGGACCATACGTACGCTTGTATATTGTTAAAATGCAACGAATCAACTGATTGGCTTACGGAGGAAAAAAACCCACCAAAGTTACCAATGTGACATTAGGATGTAAAGGTGTGTGTGTTCTCTTAACTCCCACAATATCCACCATACTTTTAACAAATAATAACTTTTTTTTTTTACTTGTCCCATTCTCAGATGTGTTGACAACCCTTTTAGTCGATTATATTTTTTGCAGGAGACTTACAGAATAAATGCTAAATAAGACATTAGAGAAGATCTAATCAAATTTATCCTTTCATTTAAGTAACTCCAACATTCTCAGATATTCTTCCGGCTCTTGGAGAGTACAGATGCTTTTTTCCTCCTCTCCTCCCTATCTTATCCCCAAGGCACTTTGTCTGTCTTTGGGTGTACGAAGCTTCTACATTTTTTCTGGAAACTGGAAATTATTAAAAATGGACCTGGTCAGCTGGTCACTCAACGCGACTGATAAAATTTTCTCAACGATGAGAATGGGAGAAGGGGCTCCCGGGTGCCCCTCTGGGACAGATCCAGTTGGGCATATCATGGACTCCTGGAAACAGTGGAACCTGATTTGACTCTCTCAGATGTCTGTAGAGGATACTCAAGATGTCTGGATATTTGTGGTGTTGGCGTCAGGTTTCCTGCTCTTTGGCCTTGGAGGTTACCTGACTTACCGGAAAATTAACGAGCTGTTGAGGAATATTGGCTCACTGCCGGAGTTCAGAGATGGATTGCACCGTGCTGTGAATTCACATACTCATGTAATTGTCGAGATGAGGCGTAAGCTTGGAACTTTGGCTGAGATTCATGCGTTGGCAAAAAAGATGGATGCCATCAAGGAGCGAGTGGACGAATCAGCACGGATTGGGATAAATTAATTTACGCCATTATTGGATTTTGAGAGGTTGAGGACCAACGGAACTTTTAGACAGAGAAGAAATTATCTCCGTCTGGCTCCAAAACAATTTATCTGAATCTGGTGCCCTTGAGCCTGTGAGGCTGAAACGAATACTCCCCCTCAGAAGAAATGTGGAATGCTGCGGTCGCCATGGCAGCTCTGTCTCCCTATCCCGGCCTGGACGGGACTGCAAGCTGTGAAGGCCGCCGAATCGTTCCAGGAGTCACTGTGCTCTGTAAACCCAACGACCTCCCACCCCTTTCCAGACTGAGGTGAAGAGCGCTGCTTATCGTGGCTGCATTCATTGACGTGTGGAGAGTCCCAAACCCTACCACCCTACCTAGTGGACACTTATGTTGTGTTATGTCTGAAGTCTGTTGCATTTCTGTTTGAGGTGTTTTTTGCAGAGCAAAGCTGCCCTCCCTGTGGAGGGTAACTCTGAAGTGCCTTTTTTTCCTCCACCTGAACCAATCCTCATGTAACCCCTCTGATCTCTATTAAGGTAGCGCGACTCAGGTTGCGAATGACCACAGTCACCAATTCTTGTCATGTGTCTATGCCCATGTATGTCTGATCTCTGAATTGTGTGTACTGAAACTCTAATTTCCCTCTGGGATTAATAAAGTATCTTTGATTTGAATTGAATGTGGATCAACTACTGGAATTTATGATTTTCCAATTGATGATTATTTTACATATCGGGATTTGTTTGAATTTTACTGGCATCCATATTTGTTTTAAATTGAAAACATAAGTGCAGAGCAGGAATTGATTTTAAATACTCCTTTTAGAAATCTAATTATTGCTAATAAGTAGCCTGACCAAAAACTTTCTTACCTACGAAGGTACTCAGCATACGTCGCAGCATCCGGTAACACTTGCTCCAGCATTTCATCACCATCGTTTCCTTTCCCCTTGATGAACTCACACAGAACTCTCCAATAAACAACATTTTCACAAGTCAGAGAGTCCACTGGAATCAGCTTCCTGTTGAGAAACACACACTTATTCTCCAACTTTAGAATTTTTTATTGGTCACATGTGAAGAGGAGAGGTGCGAGAGTAGACCTGTTGTCAAGCTGCGCTCTGTTCTGCAGCAGCTCTTCAGTAGACATGCCTTTGAAGAGAGCTTTGAGAGTTTCCATGGCAGTTTCTGCACAGTTCTCCACATCCAGACGGTGAAGCAGCTCAATGATGTTCCCATCCAGCAGCAGCAGCCAGGCTGGTAACAGACGACTACAGACCACCTCTCTGATGGCTTCTACCAACGGGAGAAACAAAGCTTTAACACAAACCAATGTTCTTCAGTGTGAGGACGGATCTCTTTTTCTCTAAAAATATCTGGTTTAATCAAACAAATCTGACAAAAACTGCTTAAACAGGCAGTAGAAATAATATTTAGACTTTCAAACAGCATTTTCATATGTTTTAAGCTTCAAATGTATCATGGGAATAATTCCTGTTTCCTTTGAACATTACCTGAAGTGTCATGAAGACCATGTTGCAGTAGTCCAACTCTCTGAGCAATGGTTAGCGCCTTGATGTGAACCTTATCAGCTAGAACCTTAAACATAGAACACAAATGTTAAAAAAAAACTATCAACTTGTTTATTGTGCTAACAAATAAGAGCTGTTACATATTTTAGCCTCTACTTGCATTTCTAGAATAATTAATTTTGTTTCATGGCTACCTGATAAGCTAGTTTGCGAACGTTTTCTTTGATGTCTCGAGTGCGTTTGAACACTTTAGGAAGGGTCTGAGGCGACATCGCAATGCAGGACAGAACAGCACGTCGCACCTCCGCGTTTGTATCATTTTCCAGAATTAATATATAAGCTGGAAAGAGGAAAAAGGCAAAGCGTGAGAGAAGTCGGGCCAATAAAAAAAAAAACAAGCTTGTTTGTAAAATCAAAGAAAACAAACCACTGATGGTGGGACAGTCTGGGTCGCTTGGCTGCTGAAGGCGAGCCATGGCCAGAGCCGCCTGAATCCTCACGTTGGGGAACTTATCAGTGACACGAACCAGCATGGCTTGATGAATCCGATCAAAGAGATCATCATCGATCTGGGCGTTCTCTGCCATGCTGCCCAGCAACTTGTTGATCAGCTGGCACACCCGGAAACGCACGGCATGACTGTTAGCTTTATGAGACTAAAAAGACAAAAGGAGCAAAATCTAAATGGGTTGTGATCTGGAACAGAAGATGTATTAATAAAAAATGTGCAGAACTACTCGATTAAAAGAAACTTGCCACGACTTTCAAGCATCAACATAAGTTGATATTTTGTCTAAATGGTCACAAAGACAACAATAGATGTTTATACCTCTAACAGGAAGTTGAAGATGAAGCTCAGAAATGGGTGATCGTCCTCATCATCTTCTTCCTCCTCCTCTTCCTCCTCTGTTTTAGGTGGAGACTGGAAACTTGTGGAAAACTTTGCAACAAACTCAATCACATTTTCCACAGCTGGCTCACGTTTGTAGACAATCATGGCATACTTCAGGTAGTGGACAAACTCCTCGTGGAACATCGTCTTGTCCTCAAGCTGCAAGAGTATGGGATTAGTGATGGATGGTGAAATTAGAGGTATACACTGCCTGACCTACTGCCACAGCTCCAGATCATAAATCCAGGTGACATTTTTTTATTTCCCTACAGGAGCCAGCATTGTCTGATTCTCCTGAATTTAGTTCATGCTTGGTTCACATCCACACTTGGGCTCACAAACCTAAATTTAATAGAGTTAAAGTGGCATTTCCTATTGTTTCTGTCCAGACTGAAAAGCATGACGGAACTTCTTTGGGTTTCAGGTTCTCGTGGAAGAATTAGAAAGGTTTTCTTCTAGTGTGCCTTTAAAGGTAAAAATTACAAGGTGCTTCACAAGCTCAGTGAAAATGTTCAAAATGAGAAAAATAATAAAATGGGAAATAAATTAAAATAAACAATGTGAATAAAAAAACAGAACAAAGAATGCATGAAATGCAGTAAATTTGATTCACATTTTCTTCATAGAGCTCTTTTGCATCATGTTTATGAAATAGCTTAACATAAAATAGTCATTTGTAGAAGTAATGCTATTTACAAATATATAACAGCTGCGGTTTTAATCATTTGCGCAATAAATACGACAAGAAGTGTCTAAGGAACATTGCAGAAGGAAAGTAGCTGCATATTAACCTTGTTGTAGCGGCTCTTCAGACTCGCCACTAGCTTAGCCTTGTTGTTGTGGCTCTTCTGAGCGCGCTGAAACGCCTCCTTAATGCTCATTTCGTTGTCCGCAGTCATCTTAAACTCTTAAAAAAGGAACAAACACAAAATATTCCAACATAAGTCAGTTGCGTTGTCCAGACTTTTTTCAGCATAAACAGTGTCTCCAGTGGCTCGTGAGCTAAACAACTCTCTCCCATCGGAATAAGCAAAGAAAGAAAACTACGTGGATAATCACTCACAACTGGACATTTTTATGTTTTAACTTACACTCTACATAATTTAAAACCGAAAGTTGTTTTCATCTTGTTTTAAATTATCCAGTTTGTTGTTAAATGTACCTTTTCATAAGTTTCCAAACCCAAAGAAGCTACCGCCTGTTTTTAAATTTAACGGCAAACAGCAATATCTTCTTCTGTGGATTCTTTTTGCGTCTGACAAGCAGCTCCTTAAATAATCATCGCCCCCTGTTGGAAAGAGAAATGAACAGTAGATGGGAAATACACAACTGGTATCTTTTAGTAATTTTTCTTTTCTTTTCTTTTCTTTTCTTTTCTTTTCTTTTCTTTTCACTACTTAAATGCATTTCTGACTAATCATCATTATTTTGTTTTTGTATACACTTTTGGTTTTGCCATTGCTAGTTAAATCTCTCCAGGTTCAGATTTTCCCCCCAACAACTCCTTGGTAACTGCACAATGATTTCCCAGGAATAAAAAAGCAATATCACACTCGAGGTCATGCATTGTTGCTGAATATCAGCACTGGTGTGATTATCTATGGCACTTGGCCTGCGGCCTTGTGCCCACGACTGAATCACACCAGTGCTGATATTCAGCAGAGAGAATTTCTATTTTTATTTTTGTTGTTGGCCTCTGAAGAAAGATTTAACCTCCTTTAAAACAGGAACTGGAAAGATTACAGTGTGTGTGTGTGTGTGTGTGTGTGTGTGTGTGTGTGTGTGTGTGTGTGTGTGTGTGTGTGTGTGTGTGTGTTCTGACCATACGTGTGTCTGTGTGTGTGTTCTGACCATGTGTGTGTATGTGTGTGTGTGTGTTTTCTGACCATGTGTGTGTGTGTGTGTTTTCTGACCATGTGTGTGTGTGTGTGTTTTCTGACCATGTGTGTGTGTGTGTGTGTTTTCTGACCATGTATGTGTGTGTGTGTGTGTGTGTGCGTGTGTGTGTTTTCTGACGGTGTGTGTGTGTGTGTGTGTGTGTGTGTGTGTGTGTGTGTGTGTGTGTGTGTGTGTGTGTGTGTGTTCTGATCGTGTGTGTTCCCCAAGGCTGGAGACTGAACAGTGATGCAAAGGGGCTAGCCTCTAGAGAAGACCACAGCAAGCTCCTTGAGCAGAACCCAGCATCCATCACTGTGGTAGGCATCCAACAAAGAGCCTCAGGTCTGAAGGACTGGACAGCTCCAGGACCTGACATGATCCACACCTACTGGCTTAAGAAGCTCACTGCACTCCATGAGTGTCTGGCAGCACAAATGAAGCAGCTAAGGATGGGACTCACCCTGAATGGCTAAATGACTTGGCTAATACCAATGTGGCAGTGTGAGCGTCTTGTCACAGTGTCCCGATTGATCATGTACCCTGGCTACTTGGCTGACTGGGTGTGGGACTCTCACCCAGGAGACTGGGTATCAAATCCCGCCCGGGCCCTCGTTTCTCCACCTTGCCATACCAAGGAGACGCCCTGTCCCCACCGCTGTTCTGCAGAGGTCAGATCCTCGTCTACCAGATAATCAACAAGACTGGCCATGGATAGAGCCTCCTCTACATGGAAGACCTTGATCTCGCCATCCATATAGAGGCGGTCTAATCTTTAGGTGTTTGAATCGTGCTTAGTCCGACCGCCTACCTGAGACCATGTTGTCATGGAGACCCTAACAGGGGCTAATGAACCAGACTACACAGCTTCCAGGAATATGGAGGTCCTCAAACCCTCCCACCACAATAAGGTGGCAATTCTGGGGGAGGGGTGATTTTTTTTGGCCTTTTTTGTGTAATTTTATTGGTTTTTTGTGTGTGTGTGTATTTCATATTTTTTATTCTATTTTATTCGATAGAAAAACATAAATTTTACAAAAACATTTTTTTGTTGTTGTTCTTCTATTTTTTCTACTTGCTTGTGAAATCTAAACAGCTCGGTTCTAAGTCACCAAGTGGGCCTGAACTTATAGACGTATAGAATATGTGTACATCTATTTTCTACTAGAGGTTTTATCGTTTTTACTTCCTAAGTGAAAAAAAGTTCATTTTTTTCTTAGCTATGGCAGTGCTCCAAGGCTGCATCTCAAAGCACAATACTCAGCTCTACCAGCAGGTGGCACTAACAGAGGGCATAAAAGGAGAACAAATAAACACATTTTACGGCAACAGTTACAGGTATGAGTTCAGCTCACGTGTGTGTGTGTGCAGGGACGAAATTTTGATTTCAGAAGTGGGGGGGACACAGCAGGCTTGTGCGGATTTGGGGTGGGGGGTGTTATGTAAAGACCCCTTGACACGTCACGTGCCCATCTCAATAATTTTTCCATCCTTATTGAAGTGCAGTTTTGGCTGTTGACAATGGATAGGCCATCGTATTTATTGTTTTGGGTCTTTTTTTATTGTTTTTGGTGCAACATTTTCTAACAGGGAGTTAGATTCCTTTTTTATTTAATTTTTGTTTGTTATTTTTATTCATTTAGAAGTTCTGGTTCTGGACATTTCAATGTTAAATGAAGGTTCATTTGTTGCATTTTAAAGGGTGTACTTGCATTATTATGATATATTAACATTATATTAGTGGTTATTTTGGTCTAGATAATGTTGACAATGATATCGTTTATCATCAACAATTTGTTGGACAAAATATAGTCCAGCAAAATGTGTTACTTTCCCAGGCCTAGTCAAAAGTATAAAAATTATTTATACATAAACGGTCCCTCCTGAGATCTGGCCGTTTGTTCATTTGCTGTGTTAGAGGACATGCTGAACTAATGTTTTACACATGATCATCACCCTAACATTTGAGTGTATAAAAACTTATTAAATATGTTTTTCCCTTAAAAGTGTTTAAACAGTTGTTGCATTTCAACACACAAAAAAAAAATGGAAAAAATAAGATAAATCTAATGAAAAGTGTACATCTTTGACATTAAGCTTAAAAAAATCTGTTGACGATGATGATACTGTTCATTTTTCAGAGCTTTTTAATGTGAAAATATGCATTGCAATAGATAAGTTTACAATAAAGTTAAATGATAAAAGTTTTGAAGTTACACTTCTACTACTACTACTACTAGTAATAATAATTATGATAATAGTAATAATAAAAAAATAATAATTATAATAATACGAACAAATTGTGTCTGAGGAGTCAGTTATGTGGAGGAGATGAGTTTGTAAAAGTTAGTTTTGAGTATGTTTGTGAAGGAGGAGGTGAGTCTGAGCTTAATGCAGGGGTGTCACATGTCCAACTTACGTTTAGACTTTGAAAGAAGTCTCTTATATCCACTTTCGTTTCTTGACATGCTTCCTCCTGGCTGTGCCTAACTACCAAAGACTCACAAATGAACACTTATTCAAATGTTATGTAATGGAAGCTGAGCTGAGCTCTGATATTACACAGCGTCTAGTTGACGATGTGACTCAGTACCGGTGTTCCCTAGCGGCTCCAAACTAGCAAAACAACGTGAGCACGTTCTGACTGTTTCCAACTTGAGTGACAGCAGCAACAGCCAATAATACGTTAGCAAGTATCAGCAGAGCCAATAGATTAGCTTTTGGGCGGGTCTAATAGGAAACCGGTTTCCGTTTCGGTCCTAGTGCTCAACCAAATCCATTTAATGGAGCGTAACATTGTTTTTGGACGGAAAAAAGTGCGGGGGACCAAAACTGCCTTTTGAAAAAGTGGGGGGGACATGTCCCACCCGTCCCCCCCCAAAATTACGTCCCAGTGTGTGTGTGTGTGTGTGTGTGTGTGTGTGTGTGTGTGTGTGTGTGTGTGTGTGTGTGTGTGTGAAGGGGAGGAACCATTAGATTTAGCAAAAGTTAGTCTGGCATAGAGAAAACAAAACAAAGTTTAAAAAGCACAGTGTTATTAATTATGAGCAAAACAATTTAAATAGACAAAATGTGGAAAACATTTATTTTTCATGTACTTAAATTTTACATTCATTTTCACTGCAGAGCTGTCACATTGTCACATTATTGCTAACAGCATACAGGTGGCCAATAAAGAAAATATATTTTGCCATTAAATTCAGGGTTAAATACAGTCCTTATTTATGTTAGACTGCTCTAACAAATATATGTGATCTATTGGGAGGTCACTAAAGCTTTATTGTGAATAAGAGTGATATGGAAATGTGTTTCTTCTACATTCATTTGTTTTTTAAATATAGTTTTAAAATTTCCTTGTCTTCATTTTTGCCATTTACACCATATAATTATAATATAATGCAAATAATAAACATTTCTCATTTATCTGATGAAACAAGTTTCTCAAATTAAGTCGGCTGCTGTGATCAAACATTTTACAGTTTCTCATTAGCTTTTTTGCCAACTATTTTTTATTTGGATTTTATTTCTGTTTTGAGTAGTTTATACATTCATTGTGAAATCCAAACACAATAATGCTTTTCCTTTTTAAAACTAAATATTGAGCATTTTTAATTCTATCAGTGTCAATATTGTGTGTTTATTAGATTCAGTTGGATATATATTGGTCTTGAACTAATAACTAACAGTTTTATAACTGACATATGCTGATAAAAATTTGTAACCAAATATATTTATTTTATATTACTTATCAATTACTTAATTACATTTATTAAGAGTAAAATCTCAAAATTGGCCGCGGATTTTTAGTTTCACCCTGTGGCCGCCAGAGGGCGTATGATCTGATGTGCTTGTAGTTGTTGCTAACTGCTGGCTGCCAGCACATCTTATTAGAACTTTCATTATGGTTAGTGTCACAATCCACAGTGTCCTGGGTTAGTTTAACATGTGCCAGACAATTATCTGAAGGTTCTGAATCCCTGCAGATTCTTATTAAACATGCACAAAATAGCCTATTTCATACGATATGCAGTCAGTCAACACATTTTTATAACGCTTACATTTTTTAACAGACAAGAGATGCCACCAAATTATGGATTGGCATAAACGGTGGATTGCATAGTTTGCTAAATCTGCAGGTGAAACTACTGTAATATATGAGATAGACTCTCTACGTGAAGGGAAGATATTTAAAGCCTTTATTTGTTATATTTGTGATGATTATGGTTTGCATCTTATGAAAACCCCTAATTCAGAATCTCAGAAATTTGTATTTTACGTGAAATCAACCAAAGATTTTAAATAGAGAGATATCAGACCTATGAAAAGGTATAATTGTGCATATTGGTTTGGGCCCATTTTACTTCACTGAAATACACTAACTTATGCACAGTATTCTATTTTTAGTGTAACCTGCATATATTTTATATGCAGGTTACACTAATATATATATATATATGTATATATATATATATATATATATATATATATATATATATATATAATATTTATATGTGAATAATCTTGTAATGGGGTTTTTGTTGCATCATTTTTCCTGCTTTTAGTGTGTTTTCCTCTCCTCTCGGTTCCTTTGTGGATTTCTAATGTATCTGATAGATAATCCGCTCCGGCGTTCCTGCCCGGTACCGGATCCCCGAACCCCTCCCCTGCGCCGCGCGGAGCTCTGCCGCCAGGGGCGGGGCAGCACTGCAGCAGTGCGCCTCTCCAGCTGTCTCTCTCCAGTAATGGTCCACAGATATGCACGCCTCTCTCCGCCCCTGCCGCCAGACAGGTGGTCGGAATATCTGCGCTCATCCTCCAGCGCTCCGACCGCGTTAGAACAGGAAAATAAATAAATATCTGTTGACAGCAGGAGCGGCTTGGCTGGCGCAAGCGCGTCCCCGATGGACTTCCAGCGTTTGACATCCGCGATCACCGGGCGGACAGCGGGAGAGGGGGGCAGCAACCGGAACGCACCAGGAGAGGAGCCCCGCCGATCTTTGCAGCGAATTCCTCCAGATGTCGCTCAGCGGAGCGGGAGAGGGTCTGCCCACCGAGGGGTGTGATGCTCGAGTGAAAAATTAACGCGATTGAGGTGGGAATCTTCATCTGTGCGGCGAAAGGATAATCTGTGACGGTCCTCCGATCTTCGGGAAGTTCCCCTGGGAAGGAAGCAGGGAAAAGGGGAAAAAGGGGGATTCCATCATGGCTTCAGGCGCCGGTAAGGCTGCACAGTCCCCTGGCTCCACCGTGAACGGGACTGCGGCAGAGTTCACCAACATCGAGCAGGAGCTGTATGATTACCAGATGCACAGCAAGATGTGCAAGAAGATTGCCCAGCTGACTAAGGTAAGCTGCCCATCCATCAGCTGGGCTGCCAGGGGAGGGAGGAGGGGGTCTGATCTGATGGCTGCATCAGTGTGGAGATTAAAAAATACAACATATGATTTGGATCTGAAATAAAATGCAAAGTGATCACTATATCAGCTGGAAGGTGTCAGTAGATGGACATGTTGGGTCGCATTATCTGGTGGGGAAATGATTAGTTGGATCAGGTCTTCGTGACTGACGGTGATCTGACAGGAGAGCTGTAGGTGAAGGCTGCAGATATCCAGCCAGCTGCACGGAGACTGATGTGATAATCAGTTCGTTTATAGATTATCCTCATGCACTTGCACAGATTCATGCAGGCTTGGCCCCTCTTATAGCCAAAATGTATGAAAAACGAAATCTGTGATTCTAAAATAAATGGATTTATTACATGTGTCAGTGTGCAGCAGGAAGGCTATCAGCTCTAAATCTGCAGCAGGAGAACATATGTGTTGGTTTCTTCTCCAGAAATACTCCTATGTGGGGATTCTCCCTCCCTGCACCTCACAGTAATGCTTATAGAGGCAGTGCATGACCCACTGCTTGTTAAGCGATGACAATTACTGATGACTGTGCACTTTGCTTACTGGTGCACCTCTGCGTGTGTTTGCAGAGCGTCTTCCACACACACGCAAGCAAAGATGACACCGACGATAGGTCAGCACTTGTGTCTTTGCCTGTTAAAAGCATTTATTGTTGTCCCCATTTTTCCTTCATCGTAACCTTCCTGCTCAGAACATGTTCGCCTTGCAACTTTATGCACACCGCACCAAGCCCACTTTAGCTCCAAAGGCCCCCCGTGGATAAACCCGAAACCAGCCGAGCACTGCTGAAATCTAAGAATCATCAAATCCGATATTTGATGGCGAGCGTTTCCTCGGAGCTCCAGGACGCGTGCCATGTGACACGTGGTTTATTTGAGTGTTTTGGGGTGCTGAGTGGAGAAAAAAGCAGGAAGTGGTAACTTTATATGTTTAATAACCTCTGTTCTGTGCAAGATCACGGAGGGAGAAAACACAGCTCCTCCCCAACACCCACCTTACCCTCTCCTTCTCCCAACTCCATCCCTGGCCTCCTTCTTGCGGCCCGCCTGAATGAGCGCTGCTAAACATAAACCATTCGGAGTGTGTTTACGTGGCGGCATGAGGAGAAAGCTGAAGCTGACCGTGACGGACCAGCTGTTGGGAATGTTCACACAACTTTGCATGTGCAACGGCGCACACACACAGAAACAAAAAGCGGAGCCGTTTCCCTGACATGGCTCCCAGAGATCAACAGCAGAGTGTTGAAGTGTGTACACACCCTCGGGTTTGACTGGCAGCTTTAAATCTATCTTTGGATTTCCTGTTCTCATTGTCAGTGTTCTCTGCTTTGTAATCCTGCACAACCAGTGCCCTCTTTGATATGTGACGAGGTGTGTGAGCATGTTTGCTTGTCTTCTTCCTCTCCTGCAGAATCTCAGCGCTCCTTCTTTACCCTGAAGACAATTTTTTTTAGTCCATGTCTTGCTGACTATGAAGTTATTGTGAAAAAGCAAGGGCACTGCCGGTTGTGAGGCTACATGAATAACAGCATCGACTGGCGAGATCGATATGAGGTTCTAGAGTGTGGCGTTACAGTGGAAGGAGGGCAGAGCTGCAGTGCCCAGAACCTTCGTGGTTTCACTTAAACTAGATGAATAAAGGAAAACTTTATTTAAAGCAGAAATCAGGAGTTTTGTCTCAGAGGGCACCATCTACTCCGTCTACTTCCACGATTACAGCTGGAAGCAACTCCTCTTGTTCGTGATTGTGAGGTAAAACACGTTAGCTAAATCAAACACACACACATATTTATATACATAAATATCCGTCCGTCCATTTTCTATACCTGCTTGTCCATGCAGGGTCGTGGGGGGCTGGTGCCTGTCTCCAGCAATCTCTGGGTAAGCAGGCGGGGCAGACCCTGGACAGGTTGCAAGTCCATCGCAGGGCGACGCAGAGACACATAAGACAAACAACCAAGCGCGCACACACACACACACACCTAAGGACAATTTTAGAGAAAACAACCAGTCAGCCGTTGTGATTGATGGCAACATCAGGAAAAAGGAACACGAGAAACCAGAGAAGTACCAGAGCCTCAAAGAAGAACTTGACAATACCTGGAGAGTGAAGACATCGGTGGTGCTCGTGGTCATCGGGGCATTCTGGGCAGTAACCCCCAGACTGGAGGAGTGGCTAAAGCAAATCCCAGAAAAAACGTCAGACATCTCAGTCCAGAAAAGTGCAGTTCTAGGAACAGCTAAGATACTGCGTTGAACCCTCAAGCTCCCAGGCCTCTGGAAGCGGACCCGAGCTTGGAAGGATGAGACCATCTGCAGAGGGTGAAATGGGAATTTAAAATTATATATATGTACATATATGTATATATATATATATATATATATATATATATATATATATATATATATATATTTCACCACTTTCTGTCTTGTTCCAGTAGCCCACTTTTCATCAGGGTGCTCTGGTTTCCCAGCACCTGACTCAGACCCTGTTTGGCCGGGAGCACCAAGGGTCTTGCCAAACCAGAGGAACACCAGGGGCTCAAAGAAGAAATTGAGCAGACGACTGAACCAGTTATATAAGGGATGCTTAATTCAAATTCCATGGAGCTGTTTGGGATGGGGTTTGGGCTTAGCAAAGAAATTGATGTATTGCCTACATCACCCTGCTGACATAAACAGCATAGACCAGCAAAAGGTCTTACCTGCATATGTTGTGTTTTGGTGCTTGCATGCTGGTCCAGCAAGTTTTAGTTTTGGTTCAGCAGCTCATCAGGCTCTGCAGATGCATGTTAATCACCAGCTGGTTAAAATCTGGTGTGTTGAAGCAGGGAAAACATTAAAACATGCTGGACACCGGCCCTCGGGAGAAGGGAGTTGATCACCTTCATTATACCACAATACAGGGTAAGACTATCACTTTTACAGATTCAAATAAAAACGACATGCAAAAATTGTCTTTAATCTGTTTAAATGACTTGTTATGTCTGAATACTTTGATTATTAGCATTACGTAGCCTTTTAAACCAATTCCTCTGAAGATGCTCAGCTACTACACTGAAAATAAAAAAAAAGTATCCAAACCCCAAAGATAAACTATGGAAGATTAATTAAAAGCTAGTTAAAATATTAAATAATCAAAGAAACTTTAGAAGCTAGACCAAATCAGTTTTGTGTGCAGAAGTCTTTATCTGAAAGGTGTGGTTTAAAACATTTTGGAGTTCATCCTTCCACAGTGAGATTATTCACAAGTCAGAAACATTCAAAGCATCTTGGCAGGAGTTGGATTATGAAATGACAATAAAAAAAACCCACAACCAACTCCATGGATGTAATTTGGGGGGGGGGGGGGGGGGGACATGTCCCCCCCACTTTTTCCAAAGTCAAGTTTTGACCCCTGCATTTTTTACCATACAAAAACAATATTACGCTATATTAAATTGACACTGGTTGAGCTCTAGGACCAAGCAGAAAACAACCATTTGTGTTGAAGCCTGTTTCCCATTAGAGCATACTGTAAAGATCCCCCCCCCCCCCCCCCCCCCCCGTGCCCCCCCCCACTTCTAAAGTGAAATTACGTCCATGACCAACTCAAAATCAGGGTACAAAGTAGTCTTTAGAAGATTCTCACGCCTTTCAAATGATAATGGCAGGATCTAGCACATCTGCGTAGTCTAAGCATCATCCGGCACCTTCAGGACTAGTTATTGTGGCAGACTGTGAGCCAGCCTCCATCAGTGCCTGAACTCACTGATGCGTTTGCAGCTGAATAAGAAGAAAAACATGTGGAGGCTGTTTGAGCAGCAGAATTGGACTGACATGATACGGATGATGTTTCCATTCCTACATCAGAATTCATTGGTTCACATCGTTAGGGAGTCTTACAATAAACTTTATTAAACAGCCTTGAATTTCAAACCAGAGGTCGACCATAACCAACACACAAACTCCCTGAAAGCCTGTCCTTGTCTCAGAGCGCTCCTAATTCCTATGACTCACAGTTTGAAGCTAAGTTCATTCTCTGTGGTGTTGTGGAAAAGACAGTGTGTCGAACTGTACTTGGGCTTGACTGACATGATTGTAAGTGACAATCCAAATCAAGAGAGGGATGATGGAACTCTTTTATGTGTTGGATTGTGTGTGTGTGTGTGTGTGTGTGTGTGTGTGTGTGTGTGTGTGTGTGTATTGGAGAAGGTAGTGGTATTTCGTCCCTCACACACAGAGGGAATGTCCAGCAGTGCTGCCCAAGCTGCATGCTGCAGACAGAGAGGCGTCTGGTTAAAATATGAGCCTGTGTGTCTCTTGCATACACCCGTGCGTGTGCGCACAAGCATACACACACACCCCTATGTAAGTGTGTAAGTGAGACGTCAGGGTCACCGAGAGACTATGATGACACTGTCGGCATGGCGTGGAGGTTAAAGCGAAGGGTGTGTGGGGGCATAAGTCATTCTGTACGTTGGTCATGTTCTATATAGAGAAATGGGAGAGAGACACCGTGCATGTGTCAGTTTATACAACTGGACTGTATCTGTGGTTAGATGATACATGGTTTGTCAGGGTGACTTTAGTTTTTTTTAATATCATAAAACCACCTGCTAAAGACTTTCATGATTGTGGTTCAACCGGAGAGTAAAACAGCGTAAACCAGCAGGGTAGAATCAGAGCAACGACTAGAGAAGAAAAGACCGGCCAAGAGGACATGTTAAACCAAGGTGTGTCCAATGATTGGCATCACCTGTCTCAGATATCGTAAGTCTGCCTTTTTAAAGGGGTAGTCACAGTGCTGTTTGGTATCAGGGTGTGTACATCAGCACTTTGTGATTTATATCTGTGAAAGGCGCTATATAAATAAACTTTTCCTTACTTACTTACTTATTTACTTACTTACTTACTTACTTATTTACTTACTTACTTACTTACTTACATGAACATGGACCACAGGACGATCAGGACAGAGTTGTCTGAGATGATTAGAAAGACAAGCATGGTAAAGGTTAGGGTTAAGGGCATGCACACACAGCTGGGTTTTTGTAAAACCAAATATCCTTCCCCATCCATCCATCCATCCATCCATCCATCCATCCATCCATCCATCCATCCATCCATCCATCCATCCATCCATCCATCCGTCGTCCAACACCTCGTATTCAGAAAAGACATCCTGTGCCTTGTGAAGCACATTCATAGGCATGCCAAGCCTGTAGGTGGCAGTAGTTCCTCAAATATTTGCTGTCTTTGTCCAAAAACATTTCTTGGATGTAGACTAACTAGGCAAAACCGTCCTTAACATCGTCCTTCGCCTGTGGTCCTCTCTATACTGAGCAGTAATTGAGCTTGTGAAAAAGTGAGCGTAAACTCCGGTTGTACATGTGACATCAAAGCATTTTAGTCCCCAGCAGTGATTTTGCGAAAACTGGACCTCCAGTGATTTTATGTCCACAAGCAAATTCTGACAAAGGAGAATTTGCAAATCTCCACTTTGGTTGGAGTTTTCGAAATAATTATTTGTGGTGCCATTTATCTTCCGATGTGTGTGGATGACAGACCAAACCATAGAAAAATACCTTCATTTTGTGGGATACCATGCTACGTGTGTGCAGGGTACACACTAGGGATCCTTTTTGTCCAGTCCAGCTTCATATATTAGTTTGTTTAAACGATACTGCTGAATTACAATACAAAAGCAACATTTGATTAAAGCTCATTTCAGTGACCACTGTGTGTACTAGCAATTTTTCCAGTAACTATAAACTTAAACGTCTGAACACTGAACAAGGAGAGTACACCACAAGGTAATACGCCATGTTTGTTTCGCCCTGATTTTTCAGGTGATTTACTCCTTGAACATGAGGAACGAGGAGCAAGAAGCAGCCCTACAGGCCCTAAGCCACGCCCACCACGAGGAGCTGCATCGCATCCTGATGGAGATGTGCCACGAAGGGGAGGGGTCAGCGCTGAGGACACGCCTCCTCGAACTCCAGGAGTCTTTGGATGAGCAGCAGCGAGTTGGGGCCCAGGTGTGTGCATTTGTGAGTCTGCTGTTATAATTTAAATTTTCATTTAAGATGTCTTTAAAATGACTAGATGTATATAACATATTAGCATAATAACACATCACACATGCATCTACATGTAAAAGGACACCAAGTGTACGTACGTGACCCAGCATGCTTAGGGTGGCTCAAGTCTCTTGGTCATGTTGCTGCCACAGTGACATGATGAGTTTTGGTGTAATTTAATAAGTAAACTCAGCTGGAGCAACAAATCAAAACCGCCTCAAACATGACAGCTAACCTATTTTAGATCGCTAGTATTTATACTCCACCAATGTCATGCAGCGTACTTGGGAGCCACAACAAAAATATACACGAGTTTTGTGTGGTTTAACAAGTTTTGAGCTCAGTTCTTGTGGGGCAGGGGGTGTGCATGACTGTAGGGAGAAGCTTTGCTAAAGGTTAGGATTAAAAGGTTAAACATGTTTAAAGTGCAGCAAGCGGGTCATTGACAGCCTTCGGAGTGAATTTGAGTTGGTAGAACAATGAATTTTGTCTCCCGTAGGCTGCTAGTCATACTGTGCAACTATTTTATTTTTTAAAATAATTTTCCTGAGCCAGTATGTGCTAAATGACCTTTTACAGGGTTAATAAAATGTCACTCAGATGCCCACCGCCGTCTGTGGCCAGATCATCGCACTTGCAGCTTCAGAGTGCCGGTGTCGGTACAGGATCGGCTCGGGGGTCTGTCGACTGCCGATGACGTCACATTACTGCAAATCTACTCGGCTTTCACACACACGTTTTGGAAAGACATCAGCAGTTTTGTTAATAAATTCTTGTTTGTTAACACCTAAATGTTTTCTTTATAATTGTAATTTGTTAATAATTCACCATATTATCTTTGTTTTGTAAAGAATGTGGAACTGCATAAAACCAACACCGGACTGACAAAAAAGAGAACAGTTCTTATATGTGAAGCCACATCTGTTTGTATTAATGTGGAGTTCGTCTGTATATTTCCTTAGTTGTTATCTAAATACATTCTTTGACTCAAAGTATTGCTTGGTGTCTTTCAGTAAAGTTCTTATATTTTATTTTGCCCCATTTCATCAACATCAAGAGCTTTTGAGGGTCAGTGTTTATCATTTCCTTATATTTTACATTTCCTTTAGAAATTCAAACATATTTTCTCCAAAAAGTGTTGATTTTTGGACTACAGGACTACAACTGCTAAGACTACGACCGCAAATTTGTTCTGACCAATCAAAATCATAACGTGATAACGTCACTTCCGTAAGCTTCACGTTCAACAAATCAACTACTTTGACGTCATCGGCAGTCGAAGGACCCCGAGCAATCCTGTACCGACACCGGTCCTGTCCCTGTTGGACTTAGTGAGGTGGAGCTGACACGCCTGGTGTTGCAGTCTGCTGCCAGCACGTTTCCTGCATGTTTTAAATCATGAAAACAGCTGATTTGTTTGATTTAGTGATGAACTGCTACTGTAGGAGACCTGTTAGATTAAGGTGTTGAAAAAACAAACGCATAGCGAGGAAACGTTTCACTTTTGGTTCTACTAAACGGCCATTAGGGGGTGCTAAAAGCAAGCTCAAACTGCCTGGTATCCCTTTAAAGTAGGCCAACACTTTCTAACATTTTTCATATAAATATTTTAATAATATTTCTATTTTGAACCTAAATTAAAGAAAAAAAAGGATAAAACAATTTTAGCATTTAATTTCACATATTTGTGGCCTATGAGGACTATTAAAGCAGCAACGTGGAGTTTTCCATAACAGTGATAGTCTTACCCTGTTCTAGTAAAACATCATTTTTTTGCCACGCCCATCCCCCATCCCATAGAGCATCATGCAATTTAAACTGAGCGCCGTTCAGCATTAGCCAATAGCATTAGACGTCCACTTTTTTCAATGTCAATCACAGAGTGTGTGAGAGCGTTTGCAGAAGAAACTAGGCGTTCTTTTTTCTTGTGGACAGTTAAGTCTTTAATCTTTTCATGCATCACCACAGTGGACAGCTACTCCAAATAGTTTTTTTTTTTTTTTTTTTTTTGCTATTAAGCACATCGGTTGAAAAGCGGTTGAATTCTTGTAAGTCTTTCGTGTTCAGAACGCACAATGTCCACTGAAGTGGTAATAAACTAATTTGTAAATTAAATGTTTTTTAAAATATGTTGAAATTTGTTTCATTCATATCGAAAGGTGAATGAAAAATATTGTTAAAACAATCATGGTTGAAGATTTCTAAATTCATGCATGAAAGGGTTAAAATATAAAAATATGAATTGTAACGGCATGAAGGTTCTCTGATTTGTGCCAAAGGTCACATTTGCCCAGCTGGGTCAAGCTGGGTCAAACAGTACTTTGAATCCACAGATTAAACCCAAGGAGCCACAATGTCTAGCCAAGATCATAACATCATCGGCTGTTCCGTCCCGGAAGAAGGACACTTCAAGCTACGATGAGAATAATTAAATAATAATTAATAAACTTATGATTTTTTTACTGTTTAAATAATCATTACAACATAATCACTTGGTTCAGATATAAAGGTATTTTAATTACATGAAATGGATTATTATACTTTATAATGATAAATATTATAATGATTAAAGGTGTGTTCAGTCAACACAGAGTTCAGATAAACAATAACTGCAGCACATGTTTTTGACGCATGACCAAGCTTTCTTCCGGAGAGAGAGGGAGGGGTTCTGAGAGAGTTTGGTAAAAACTAACCATCACAGGTTTCATGTCCAGTTCTGAACAAGACATCATCCTGAGGAGTCAGGGACGGCCGCCTTGACCCTCTGCCTGCTGTTCTGTCACGCCGACAAGAATGGCTAAAGAACAAACGAAACTAATGAGCTAACGCAAGACTCTCCCAGAGTCATTGATTTCTGAAGTTAAGTAAAGACGATAAGGTGCATCTGCCAAACGCTTCGTACAGCCGTGTACCCGGCTACCACTCTGGACCAGAGCATCGGACACTCGCGTCTTCCTGCCAGCCCCGAGTCTCATCTTGGATGAACCCATCCTCCGATCTCCGGATCCACAAGAGGGTCAGCCCTGTTTGGGTGAGGTAGAACACGACGGATGACGTTTGATGCTGTTTTCTCTCAAAATAACTCAGTTATCCGCAAAACATCATTTTCACCAGAACGCTTCCATTCCCTCTGAAAGAAACCTTCTGAGAACTTCATTCACGCGTTCCAAAACTCACCATTCTCATTTTTAGTTCCATCCAACACAGGTTTGCTTTTAAACAAAGCTGTTGAGAATTGTCATTAAAATTGCCATCCATGAATTGTCATTTTTATAATTGTCGTTTCAAATTTTCTGTTTAAAAATTGTTAGGAATAAAACTTATTCATTTTTAAACTTACCTCATTATTGAAACGAAACACAGAAAAGGGTTGCATTTCCAGTTTATCAAATGAAAAGAATCTTACTGAATCTTCTGTTTAATAAATAAACTTTTGCTATTAATTCAAGTATCTTAAATTAATGTTCACACCATTACAGAATCAACAGGATAATATGAGAACAATTGTAAAACGTGTTTTAGCTCTTTTGCTTGGTTAGGGGTGTGCGTTCACAAACAAGAGGCGTTGCTTCCAGCCAAAGTTTGAATTATGGGGGAGATAGGGGGGACCTGGCTCCCGTGTAAGGGTGATGGGCTCCCCTGGAAGCACTCAAATGAAACACCCATGAGGAGCCCGAACAGTGATCCAGTTTCAACCTAGATTACATTATTTGTACTCAGACTAGCTGTTAGCTGTTAGCCACCAGTCCTCTAGGAATGAAAATCGTTCTCCAAAAGAAGATTAAGGAAGCTATCTCCAGTTGGCAACAAGACAGTAATTATTTTTAGCTTTTGCGCTGAGACACACTTCAAACTGCCTGAAAAATCCCTTTAATGTGAGGTTTCTTAGGTGGAAGCTGATTTAGTTCTAGAAAATATGTAACTGCTTCTACAAACGTAGGGCTTCAGCTCTAAGGCTGTAAGGAGTGCTGCTCCTTCACAGCAGTGGAAATATTTTACAAACATTTGCTGTATCAACAAATCCCAAGCAACGTATAAATCAGGAGTCGTACAATCCACATTTAAATAGTTTGTTTCAAATCTGAAGAAGTGTCTCAAATAAACAGATGTAATAATTTCTCAGATAATAAATACATATTTAGTTATTTCTTTTTGAAGTTTTTTTCTCAGAGGGCAAAAAAATGTACTGCACCTTCAGCCCCTCTCCCTACTTCTGCGGCTAAAAATGGAAGCAGCAAATTCTCACATTATGCTGTTTAATCACACACACACACACACACACACACACACACACACACACACACACACACACACACACACACACACACACACACACACACGTTGCAGACTAACATGTCCATAAGAATTGTTGCCAACTCTGCATCTGTGTAGGTATTTCTCCAAACGCTCTGCGACTGACATCTGAATGTAACCGGATCACTAACGTTATTGTCTAATGCTGGGCTCGATTCAAATTGCATGGGCCATACGGGACGGGAAGTGGGTTAGCAAAATAAAATGATGCATTGCGTACGTTATAACTCAGAACAGGGTGAGACTGTCTCTTTTCAGATCTCTGAAAAGTTCCTGGAAGGTGTAAAACTTTGGAATGTGCTTTAATGCGACTAAAAACCCCTTACTTTGTTGGGCATCAGTAGCTCAACTGGTTGAGCGGGTTGTCCGGTAATCGGAAGGTTGCAGGTTCGATCCTGACTCCGGACAGAGAATTCTGCTGTTGTGTCCTTGGGCAAGACACTAAACCCACCTTGCCTGCTGATGGTGGTCGGAGGGACCGGTGGCGCCTGTGCTCGGTAGCCTCGCCTCTGTCAGTGTGCCCCAGGGCAGCTGTGGCTACATCGTAGCTCATCACCATCAGTGTGTGAATGTGTGTGTGAATGGATGAATGATACACTGCAGTGTAAAGCGCTTTGGAGTCCTTACTCTGAGAGGCCGCTATACAAGTGCGGGTCATTTATCATTTTCTCCAGAGCATTTTATTGCACATTATAGCATCTTCTTTGTTCCTGGAGACTGTGGAGGCTAAAAAAGGCAGAATTTTGAAATAGAAATGATATAACGTGTGGCTCCTGCCTGACTGATCTCAGCAGTGCAAAAAGATAATGATGCTCTGCCTCTTTCCCAGGGCCGTTTGAATGTCACTACATTGCAACTAATTGGCCTGTTTGGCAGCAGTTTGGTCCTCTTTTTCAAAGCTGTTAGACCCATGCAGAGTTCTCAGATCCTAAACTTTTTTGAGACAAAATTGAACAGTTGATTTATTATTTTTTTTACGTTTTCATTTCAGAAATATAAAATTATTTGGTATTTTATACTGTTTTAACAAAATGCCTTAAATTAGTCTGTAATGTTGTAGCGGTGAGGATTTACTACGTATTTGTTAAGTGATCAATTAGATGTGATATTCCATGTGAACATGAAATATGAATCTGATTGGTCTTTGAATATTTGAATTAATAGAACTCTAGGTTCTTGAACTATTCAGGGAACACTCGCACAGAACCGGGCAAAAGGGCTTTCGTTCACTCTGCTCCTTCTGCATGGAATAGGCTGCAGGAAAACTGGAAATTGACCAAGTTTATCTCATTGAATACATTTAAATCCAGACTAAAAACCCTTCAGATGGATTCCCTGTGTTGTAACTGCCTTCTGTAATTTTGTGCACAAATAAATAAATATTTAGTCTGTGGAGCTGATAAATTTGTAACTGTAACTTTTGCTGCCTCTTGGCCAGGACTCCCTTGAAAATTAGTTTTAATCTCAACGGGACCTTCCTGGTTAAATAAAGGATAAAAAAAACCCACATATGAATTCAGACAAAGTATAAAGTTCTAAAATTAATTTAATTCTATTTTCTTAACTGATTATACATGACAAGGTATGAATGAGATGATGGTTGTACAGGATAACAGATAAAATGGTGGAATGTAAGCTAGATAGAAAGACCTTGTAAGTATCTGAGAGATCTTGTGCTGTCTAGGTTGTGAAATCAGTTTGGCCGTATGGTTTAATAAGCTAGAGATTATTCATAAAACCATCCGACACAATCTGTCATGTTTGGGGGAAGGCGCCTAACCCAAGACATGCAGAACACAACACAGACCAAAAGATGGAGGAAAAAATAATTTGTTTATTTACTAAATAAAGGAACTGAAGGTGCACCGAGTGTCAGTGGCTGGTTTCAGACACGGAAGCTCTGCGTCTGGAGGAGGGAGAACACTGGTGAGTATTTGCATGTAGTTCCTGAGGTCCATTTATGTCCAAGGTAGGTTTGAGGGGCTTACGGTCAGGTAAGAGTAGCTGGCTGGAGGAGGGAGCAGGTCGAGAGCCGGGGGAAGCACAGGAGAGGGAGCACAGGTGGAGGTGAGCAGGGAGTCCTGGTGGATGGGAGACACTGAGCTGAAATGTCTGGTGAGTAGTTATGGAGAGCGGTGAGTGTGTCCTGGAGGATCTGAGTTTCCAAACCCAGGAGTCCTGAGGTGAGAATCCAAAAGCTCAGCGACCAGAGGGAAAACACTGGAATCCTGGAGGGGAGAGAAATCCTGAGTCAGCTCCTGGAGGTTAGTAAAAATCCAAAAGTCTAAAGCCTAGAGCAAAAACACTACTAGCAAAAATGATCCTAGAGATCCTAGAGAACATGCGGGGCTGGGTACTACCAAGCTGTGGCAATCTTCCGGCGTCGAATTGTGTCCTCCATCCACCTTATGTAGGAAGCACCCCGCTGATTGCTGATCAGGAACAGCTAGTAACACTCCCTCTCCTGGCAAGAGAGTCAGAGATGTTAAGTGAAAAAAGAAGGACTCACCCCGGCTCATGACACAATTGAGCAGTCCGGGGAGGACGCAACCCGAGCGGTGAGTTCACAGGACGTCGTGGCTACAGGAATCTCAAAGAGCAGTATAGATCCCTTTGAATTCAGATCACCGGCCAGAAGATACTACTAGGGCCTGCACTTTAGACGTTCCACGGCCGAGGTGTTGTAGAGTCTGATATCACTAGCAAGCGTTGCAGAGAGGCTTTGACCTTGGGGTCAAAAGAGAGGATGGTTCCAAATGCTTGCTCACCGGTCGGCCAAACCAGGAGGCAGCTGGAGAACTGAGGAATAAGGAAGTGATTCCTGCATATCAACTTTATTGTTGATAAATTTAGACTAATCAGAATTTGACAAGTTTAAAGGCGTTACCAAAGACCTCAGAGATCCCTCTTTCCCTCAGATACTTAGAGGTTTTGTCTTAGTGTGAGGTGAAAATGTTATAACAGTTATGTGGTGCAAAAATGTTAAACATTAGTAATAATATTATGATATTATTGTGTTCATACTTATAGATTAAATTACTAATCAACAGTTACTTATCTGGTGTAATGTAAGATCTGAAATGAATCATTACAGGAAAAATATTCACTTTAAGCCATCATTGATTATGGTACACACATTATTAAAACACTTTGGATTTAAACATATTGTCAGAGGTGTGACCAAGTCACTGCTTTGCAAGTCACAAGTAAGTCACAAGTCTCTCGAGTCAAGTCCAAGTCATAGACAATCAAGGCCAAGTTGAGTCCAAAGTCAATGATGTGGAAGTCCAAATCAAGTCCAATTCCTTAACTTTGAATTTTCAAGTCATAATCAAGTCATCTGTCCAACTTCAATTTAATGACAATGATAATAAAGAAATTCCAGAAATAAAGCTTCTTAAAGCTTCATTTATTTTTTCCAAACAAACAGGAAGTGCAACAGAATCTGATTATGAACACAGTGCTGCTGCATTTTGCCGTACAAGATCAAACCCAGATTCTTGTCCATGTCGTGCCACTTGTGTGCTAAAATATCAAATATGCTCAAGTCATCATTAAGTCAACAGATGCAAGTTGATTCAAGTCGCACGTCATTGGCTTTCAAGTCTGAGTCAAGTCATAAGTCTTTATAGATTTTATCAAGTCAAGTCAGACTTGAGTCCAAGTCATGTGACTCAAGTCCACGCCTCTGCATATTGTTCATTCAACACATTTGATTATATCAACCTATGAAGTAGTAAAGTTGTTTATGATTCAAGGAAGATGAACTTCATTCAGAGTGTAAAGGTCTCGTCTTCTGCATGAGACCTTTGGTTTCAGCTAAGATAAAGAGAATCAGGAGAAGGGTTCATTATAGCTTCCCTTCTTGGCAACAAGGTCGTAGAGCAGTGCGCTTACTGCTTTGGACACCAGTACAGTTAAGATGTGTCACACAATACTCCAGGCAGGTGGAACAACCTGGACACTTCCGTGAGATGACCTCTGACCTTACAGTGGACAAATAACAAAAATGTTTGCCTTTGGTACGCTACACCATAACATATAAAAGAGAAGTGCATTTTCTGATTCTCTGCACCTCCAGGTTCAGGCAGATTTTGAGTTTTTTCGGATCCAGGCAGAGGAGAGGGAACGTGAGACTGAAGCGCAGCTGAGAAAAGAGTTTGAGCAGAAGCTCCAGGCTGCAGAAGAGGAGCTCCAGGAGGCCAAGGCTGATATCAGTGCAGCCCAGGAGGAGAGCCTGAGACTGGGCAAAGAACTAGAGAAAGCTGGGGAGCAGATCCAGGACCTGAACGTCAAATGTGAGGAGCTCCAGAAAGCAGCTGAAGATGAGACGAAGAGGGAGCAGGAGGAGAGACAACGAGAAGATGAAGAAAAAGAGAAACAAGAGAAGGAGGAGAGGAGAACAAAGCGGAGCGAGGAATCGGAAAGAATGAAAGTGCTCCTGGAGGAGCTGAAGTCACTGAAGGAGGAGAGGGAACGTACAGAGGAGGAGAGGAGGCGAGCGGACAAAAAAGAGCGGGAGCAATGGGAGCAAAAGTTGAACGATCTAAATGAGGAGAAAGAGGAAACGAGGAAGAAAATAGAAGCCGAGTGGAGGCAGGAGCGGCAGAGATGGGAGGAGAGGGAGGAGGTGGAGAAGAAGGGCATGCACAGCGCTCTGAGGGAACGAGTGAAACGAGCTGAAGCAGAAGTAGAAAGTCACCTGGAGAGGCTGGCGGAGAGCAAGAGGAACACAGTAAAACTTCAAGAACGGATACAGGTACACACACACACACACACACACACGCACACACGCACGCACGCACGCACACACACACACACACACACAGAGAAAAACAAAGGTTCCCCTCTCCTTTAAACTAGAAGCCAGAGCTGTGAAAAGGGAAGTAAAACTAAAATAAAATGCTGCAGCTTCCTGTTCCTGATGCCTTCGTGTACTGACAGTGTTGATGGGAAAAGGGGTCATGCTAGGCTAACCACAGCCTGCCCTCCCTGAGTGCTATTCCCACTGCCAACTAGCTGCTAATGAGTAGTTAGAGCCGGATAGATTTGCTGCACCACCACCATTAGCACCTCACGCTCGAGCATTAAGTAGCCCTACGAGGGCCGGCACCAAGCTGACACAAGCCCTCACAGCAGACCATTAAAAACTGGACAGCAGAGATCCCTGACTCGCCACATTTCCTTTCTCTACCACACTGGCTTTCATCTGACTTGCTTCCTTTGTCTCCCATCTCCCTATCTGTGTCAAAAATGTCTCTGTCTTCTATTTTCTGTCATCCATCATTTTCCCCTCAACTATTCCCACTCGCCTCCTGCCAACCCCTGAACTTCCTCTGCTTCACCATTTTAACTCGAATCCAGGATCTGGAGGAGGAGTTGGAGCTAGACCGGAAGCGCGTGTTGGAGGCTGAGGGTGTGGTTAAACGGGCGGAGGAGGAGCTTGCGGTTGCCAAGGAGAGGCTGCTGCTGCAGGAAGACGAGCTTCAGAGCAGAGCAGGTCAGTCTTCGTCTGACACAGGAGGGTGGGGGTCCTGCCCCCATGAACTTAGACTTGGCATCCCAGCAATGACTTAGCCCCTTCTACTGGATATTAAATAAGTTCATTTCGTCTTTGTTATGAACTGAAATTTCTTATATTCTTTTAACCCTCTCACTGTCTTTATGGGTGACCCCGCGAGGAAAGTTGACCACTGAGCAGGGTTGATGGTTTATCCCTTGAGGTCCACGTGGTATGGCACGGTATGGGGGCCAAAATTAAGACTTCTGCCCAGCAGCAGGAGGCTATATAAATTCCGAAGCAAACTACTGATCTGATTAATGATAAGCTGGCGCCGGTAACTGAGAGGCTGGCGCTGCTTACTGAGAAATAGTACCTTTACCGGCATTATTACTAGATACGCTAGGGACTAGCAGCCCTCGGCTGGTCATTGACTGGTTCAAACACTCCCTCTGCTATCTATTAGCATGGATAGGCTAGTGTTAGCCTGGACGGGCTGGTGTTAGCATCAGAGAGGCTAGCCATTAGCATGCCTAGGCATGTCACTAGCTGGATTTCCTACCCCCTCGATGGACCTTAAGCATGGCTAGGCTGGGATTAGCATTGGACAGGCTAGCCATTAGCATGTCTCGGAGAGCCACTAGTCAGCTAGTGGCCAGCTTAGGCATGCTAATGGCTAGCCTCTCCGATGCTGACACCAGCCCGTCCAGGCTAACGCTAGCCTATCCATGCTAATAGAGAGCAGAGGGAGTGTGTGAACCAGTCAATGACCAGCCGAGGGCTGCTAGTCCCTAGCGTATCTAGTAGTAATGCCGGTAAAGATGCATTTTCTCAGTAAGCAGCGCCAGTCAGATACCGGCGCCAGCTTATCATTAATCAGGTCGGTAGTTTGCTTCAGAATTTATATAGCCTCCTGCTGCTGGGCAGAAGTCTTAATTTTGGCCCCCATACCGCGCCAAACACGTGGCAGGGGTGAGGAGTGAGCTCTACCTCACCCCTGCCACGTGGACCTCAAGGGATAAACCAAGTTGACCATTGATCAGGGTTGATGGTTTATCCCTTGGGTCCATGTGACAGGGGTGAGGTGGTGCTTACTCCTCACCCCTGTCACATGGACCCAATGGATAAACCATCAGTCCTGCTCAGTGGTCAACTTTCCTCACGGGGTCACGCCCATTAGTACAGTGGGAGGGTTAACAGGACAAACGTTGTGATGTTTCTCTTGCTGACAGTTTCCACTGGAAGCTTCAGTCTTTCTCAGGGCTTCATCCGACTTTCTGCCGTTGTAATGAGGAAGCACCGGGTGTTAGCTTCTCTGGGGGGCGTGGTTTGATAGCGCTCCCAGGGCAGCTGATAAGTGACACAATGGCAGAAAGTCGGATGACGCTCTGAGAAAGACTGAAGCTTTCAGTGGAAACTGTCAGCGGGTATGAAGAAACATCTTTAAAACTACGTTTGTCTTACTGAAAGAACAGTAATTTTACCTTCTACTGATCTTTTACAAAAAAGCAACTAATGTCATACTACTACTAGAAGTTGGAAACATTTGGGGGCTGGTCAGTCTTTTCCATCATTCTGCCGTTAGTTTTCATGTTTTTGCTGACGACTGCCAACTTTATCTCCCCCTCGGTGGGGAACGTGGCAAATCGGTGGACAACCTAATAGACTGCCTGTTTGAAGTGAAGAGGTGGTTGTTGGCAAATTATTTGCACCTCAATGAGGACAAGACCGAGGCAGTCCTATCTGGACCTAATGGTCGCAATGATACCACCTCGCTTAATGTAAAGACAGCGGTCACAAACCTTGGAGTTAAGCTTGGTAATTCCTTGGGTTTTGATGACCATGTGATCGGATTTGTGTCGACCTCTTTTTACCATCTGCGTCGTTTAGCTAAAATAAAACCGTTCCTGACAAGACAACACCTGAATAGTCCGTTCTTTTACTACAACACGGACTGACTACTGTAATTCCCTCCTATTTGGAGTGACCAGGGCAACTTTGGCAAGGCTGCAGCTAGTGCAAAATGCGGCTGCAAAAAATTTGGTGGGAAAAAATAAATTTGACTATGTCTCCCCAGAATCCTTGCACTGGCTGCGTGTGGATTTCCAGATTTGTTTTAAAGTCCTTTTATTAGTTTTTAAAACGTTGACTGGACTGGCTCCCGCATATTTGCAGACATTGATGCATCCATATACACCGGGATGGGCTCTCCGCTCAGACGATAGGCAGGACCCGTTTAAAGACCAGAGGAGACAGGACTTTATCCGTGGCAGGCCCGAAACTCTGGAATGAGTTACCCTTTAACGTATAGTAGAGGCCAAAAGTACATTCTCATTCAATGTGTTTGCTTTTTTTTCATGACCATGACCATTTACAAGGGGGCCAAGAAGTGCTAAGCACCTCTGGAAACTCCTTCAAAGTTGTTGGAAAACCATTTCAGGTGACTACCTCGTGAAGCTCATCAAGAGAAGGCTAAGAATGAGCAAAGCAGTAATAAGAGCAAACGGTGGCTATGTTGAAGAAAAACATGTCGCTCTGGATAAAAGCGTCTGCCAAATAAATAAACATAAACATGTTTTCAGTTATTTCACCTTTTTTGGTTAAGTTCATAACTCCACACGTGTTCATTCATAGTGTTGATGTCTTCAGCAGGGATCTACCATTGTAAATGGTCATGAAAATAAAGAAACCACATTGAACGAGAAGGCGTGTCCAACATTTTGGCCTGTACTGTAAGTGCTTCAGCATCGGTGACAGTTTTTAAGGTCATGTTAAAGACTTTTTATTTGATCTGGCCTTTACCCGCGGCCGTTAGTCGGCTGGTATTTTCTTTTGTATGCTGTTTTTATTTCTTTTTATTTCTTTTTATCCTTGTCCTGTCATTACTAATACATGTCTGCACAGCGCTTTGGTGTCATCCCCATGTCTGAAAGGCGTTTTAGAAATAAAGACCGAGTTGAGGTGTAAAAGCAGGTGCTGCTTTGGCCCCCTGCTGTGTACAGAGGCTTCTCTCTCATGCAATTTACCTTGTTTTCCTCTCTTTCTGTAGAGGTTTGTGCAAAGAAAGTTCTGCTCGGTGCGCCGCCATTATTCAGTCAGACTGTTAATTAAGTTTTGCTTCCTGTCACGATAATGTAAACCGATATTGCACCAGTTTGTCGTTGTTCATTCACTAATAACTTACCACAAAGGCAAACAGCTTCATCAGAGTGTCACGATACCCAGGCAGCAAGAAAAAAGTAACTAAAGGAATTGCTTAAGAAATATTTTCCCCTCTAGTGACCCAAGGATTTGTGGCACTTTGTCTTTATTATTAGTAAAGATACGATATATTTCAAATTTCCTATAAAACTGAACGTGTACATGTTATGAATCGAATAGCTTAATCTGAGCTGAGGTTTGCAGTGCCCTCTATGATCAGTCGAGCCATTAATCTGTTTAAAAATGCAAATTCATGTTTAATTCCAGAAATGACTGAACTCAGAGCTTTGTCCGTGTTGCCTCTTTTGTGTTTAGTTGAGTCAAAAGGAAAAATAAACAGCAGAAAACGCATTAAGAGAAACACTTTAAATGAAAAGGAGCAGAGAAAAGAGCAAAGGTCACATCTGCCCCCTTTTACACAATAAAATCAGCGTCATCGCATTCTTTATTCAGACTTTCAAATGTAAACAGATTCATTTTTATCACCTCTTTGATTTTATGTACTAAATAAATCTCAAATGCACATTCATGTTGTGGGACGGTATATAATATTAAAGGGTGTGAATCATTTGTGAGTGTGTTGACTTTGGTTTTTAACCTGTCAGAAGAACTGCTGAATCGTGGAGGCTGCGAGGTGTGTGTGTGTGCTGAGATGGAGGAGCTGAAGAGCCAGCTGAGTCGTCTGCAGAGCAGGAACAGAGAGCTGGAGCTGCAGAGCAGCTGCCGAAACAGCGACCACGCCCGCCAGATACGCCAGGTGAGATGCGTAAATCCAAGAAAACACAGCTCAGCTGACGTGTGATAGACCTCTGATGGTTGTGTGTGTGTGTCCTTAAAGCATGCCGAAGCCCTGTCCACTTTACGCTCGGAGATGGTGAGAGCCCAGACGGAGGAGCTGCGTCGCATCCAAAAGCACGCAGATGACGAACGGGACAAACTGCTGAGGGAGACGGAAAAAGAGAGGGAACGACTGCAGAAGGAGAGAGAGCAGGAAAAAGAACAGCTCGAGAAGGAGAGGAGCAAACTGCGCAGAGAGAGAGAAGAGGAGAAGGGAGCGCTGCACAAGGAGGCGGAGGAGATGAAAGAACATCTGAGGAGAGAAAAAGAGGAAGAGGTGGGCCGACTGCGCAAAGAAGTGGAAGTGGAGAGAGTCCGCGTCCGCTCCCAGTTGGACAAGAACATGGAGCAGATTGAGACGGAGAGAGCCCATGTGCAGCAGAAGCTGGAGGAGGAGAAGAAGAGGTTGGTGGAGAAAGCAGAGGAGGACAGGAAGCGGCTGAAGGAGCAGGTGCGGAAGGCCATAGAGGAGGTGATGAGGAGGCATGCTGCTGAGTTAAACAACGTTCAAGAAGCTCTGAGCGCAGAGAGGAAGACCAACCAAGAGGTCAGCACCGCTCTGCTCCTCACACGGGGGAAGGAGGTCCTCAAGCTGATGTTGGGCACATCTGTATCATTTCATCCATGAGTTTAGAGAGAAAAATTCTAAACATAATTTAAACATTTGCGGTTAAAACTCGAAAAGAAGTTTTTTCTGAGAGGCGAAACGTTACGATCAGTCGTTCCATCTTTGATGAAACGTTTAAAAATAGGCTGCAGTTCCACTGAAAACACACATTCTTTACAGCGTCCGCTTCCGACAGACTCTGGGTGCGATTACCTTGGATGCTGGAACAAAACTGCAACAAGAGTCGGTGCTTCCTTTCATCCCGAGGCACAGCTGTCTCTGCTCAGAGAAACAGCTGTGCCTCAGACAGCTTAGGGAGTGGTTCACGGATATTTCCGGCTCTCGTTGCAAATATTTTTCTAAAGTTCATCACACGAGCATCTGCCCTTTTATTCTCTAATCCCGTAGACTTTTTGTTTGTTTGACGTTTTTGTTTAGGTGTGTGCTCGTTTGGAGGAGGAGAGGAGAGCTGCTGAAGAGCTACGTGGCGGGTTGGAGACGGAAAGAGAAGAGCTGAGGACAAGACTGAAGGACGCCACCAATGAGGTCAGAAGTAACCACGTGTGGGTGAAATCTATCAAACATTCCCATAAGGGGGTGAAAGTAAATGTGAGGCGTGTCCCTGCCCTCAGGTCTGCAGGTTGGAGGTCATGATCCAGCAGAATGACAAGAGGGAAAAGTCGGCCCTCGAAGTTGCACCTTCATGTGAGGCACAGTGCTCCCGCCTGGAGGAGGAGCTTCGCCAGGCTCGGAGTCGACTGGCTCGGGTTCAAGAGGAGGCAGAGCGGCAGCGGGACAGACAGCAGAAAGAGATAGCATCCCTGAGGACGGACAAGCATCGGCTGGAGGAGAAAGTCCTGGAACAGAGCCGAATGAGCACAGAGAGGAGGCTTCTGGAGCAGAACCAGCGGCAGACAGAGGACCGAATCAGGTTGGTCGAACGTCACAGAGTCCCTAATCTCCCTTTGCCTTTCACCTAAACAATCAGTGTTGTGGCTGTGCAAGGAAGAAAAGACTATTTTGCATTTAGGTTTACTCCAACTCCGTGGTCTGATTCTCTCCAGGGCAGAGTGTGAGGATCGCCTCAGAGCAGAGTTCAGGATCGAGATGAACGCAGCCGTCGCTGAGAGCGAACAGAGGTGGCAGGGCCGAGAAGAGGAGCTGCAGGCCCAGATATCAGAGCTGCAGGCTCAGCTGACTGAGCTGCAAACACAGGTGAGCCTACGTCACAAACTACACCACAAAAACACATTTATCATCCCGAAAGAGACGTGGTTTTACATTTTATATTCACTTAGGACTTAAAAATATGCAGCTGAATGAAAACTGTTCTTTAAAAAATCAGTCTCTGTGTAATTCATGACAGAAATTAAGTTAAGTATAAAATCACTGAACTGGAAACACTGATTTTTATTTGTTGCCAATAAAGGTGGAGAAAAAGAAGGCGGGGCAAGGAGACGATTGCCACGGCAACCCTGAAATTGACAGGCTGAGAAAGGAGGTACAAGATACCAAGGAGATAAACAAGAAACTGAGAGATCTGCTGCAGGTACACACACACACACACACACACACACACACACACACACACACGCACTTGGTATGATCCTACTGTACGTGCCATACTTAATAGATTTTCTCTGTGGTGAATTATTTAGCAGGTTTGATTAAAGCGCTGCGGAGCAAGCATCAGTGTTTTTCTGTGAATGGAAGCTCCTACACATATGCACTCTCTGTATTCGTTAGACACGTGTAGGACAGCAGCCTTGAAGAATGCAGCTGAGGTGGAAAAATAAAATAAACAACAATAAACATGTTTCAGGAGCCTCAGACCCAGTCACTGGCAGAAGAGAGACACACTCATGCCATGACACTGCAAGCAAAGGAAGATCTGCTGTCGGAGATCAACAGACTTAAGACGATGCACCACCTGGAGCTTGGTAACATGCACGCACACACACACACACACACACACACACACACACACACACACACACACACACACACACACACACACACACACACACACACACACACACACACACACACACACACACACACACACACACACACACACACACACACACACACACACACACACAGCAATGTGCTCAGTGAGATTACAAATTCAACACTGAATTGGTGTTGCCATGGATACAATTCACCATGGCAACAGCAGAAGGGTACCTGTAACGGTGGGTCATTTTCTCTCTCTCTCTCTCTCTCTCTCTCTCTCTCTCTCTCGCTCTCTCTCTCTGTGTGTGTGTGTGTGTGTGTGTGTGTGTGTGTGTGTGTGTGAATGTAAAATCAGATAAGCAGCGTGCAGAGATGACCCAGCAGCACACCGAGTGGAGCCGACAGATGACCCAGAGACACATGCAGCAGATCGAGGACCTACAGGCCCAGCTACAAGCACACACGCAGATGATGGCTCTGCAACAGGTGCACGGAGCACATAGCTGAATGTTAATCCACAAACACACTCACTCCCTTTCCCCACGAGTTAAGACCTGCTGATTTAATCTCCCTCCGTGTGCACACTCAAGCACATCACAACAGCTTTTACCTGATGTGATGTCGTTCAAATCCACAAAATCCTCCGTGGCTGCGGCACCGAGCCGACAGCGTCAGACTAATATTAAAAAAAAGGTGGAATATGATCGTTGGTTTCTGATGTGGTTGTGTGTGTGTGTGTGTGAAGGACCTGAAGCAGCAGAACCAGAATCAAGTGTTTGAGCGTCAGCTGGACGAGAGTCGCTGTGCCATGCTGGAGCTGCAGAGAGAAAACACAGCACTGAAGAAACAGCTAAAGGAACGGTAAGGAGAAGCTAACGGCTAGTGACGCCCTTCAGGGCTGCAACTATTTATAATTATCTTTACTGATTAGTCTGCTGGCATTTTTTACTTGAGTCGCAATTCTAAGTTCTTCATTCGGCAGCTAATCACCAGCATAAAACTATAGTTCATTATACCGTATTTTCACGACCACAGGGCGCACCGTGTTATGGGGCGCAGCTTAGAGCGCACGCGCACTTCCTCACTGCGTGCGCTGACGGCTCGTGCTCTTCTTATGCGCTGTGTTGAAGTTCAGAATGTGTTTACCGGTAGTTGGTGGATTTAACCACAAACTTTCCACATGAACAAAATCATATGTGTGTTATTAATAGGCCTAAGAAAATAGAGTGATTTGAATTGTTTTATTAAAAAAGGCAGTGGGAGCAAATATGAGTTTGGTTGAGCTTTATTTGAGTGCTATTAATTAATCATCAAATCCATCAAAGTCCTCATCTTCTGTCTCTGATGAGAACAACTGGGCTAGAGCACAGTCAAACACGCCAGGTTCTCTCTCGTCACAGTCAGTTTCATAGGCATGCCTCTTAGCAGGTGCCATTCTCAGGGTTGTCGGAACAATGTTCAGCATACCGCGCATACCTGCCCTGTTGAACTATTCGGGGTCTGTCTTCGCTCACGTCCGCACGTTCACGCCACGCCCCTTGTCTTCTACTACGTTCGCATCTCACAACAACACAATAGGCGCACCGCACCATAGGGCGCGGCGTACATTTTGGAGAAAATTTAAGACTTTTAGGTGCGCCTTATGGTCGTGAAAATACGGTAGTTAAATAATTAAAGTTGATTTACAAAATACATCTGGAAACAAGACACGCATTTAAAATCCAGGGTTAAAAAATTGTCAAGTAAATTACGTTCAGTGAAAATATGCGGGTTGCTTAATGAGATTCAGACTAGCCGAGTGTTCTAGTTTTATGACCAAAGACTTTTGTAATTGAAGTGTTTTTTATTTGATTGTAAGAAAAACAGACAATAAAACTGCCACTTTATTGTTGTTTAAGAGATGTTAAACACACTTCGTTGCCCATTTTGTTCAAGTAACCGTGCAAAGAAGTGAAAGGTTCTCTGGCATCACAACTAAAGTGCATTTCCTCAAGATTAGATTTTTTTTCTCAGAGGAAAAAGAATATACTGCACCATTGCGCCCCCTAGCGCCGTAATAATGACGGGAAGTGACGCCTCTTGTTTGTGAAAGTGTGCACCCGTAACCGTGAAACTGCTAAAACACAAGATTTTGCCACTATTGTTCTCACGTTATGCTGTGTATTCATATATGTAGATTTTAAAGACGTAATAGTCCACAAGAAATGTCACAATGTTTGTAAAATAATGAATGAATATTTAATTATAATGTATTTTATTTTACTGCATTCATTTTTATCTGCATGTTATTTCTAAATGTAAAGGTCTTTTAAAATTGTCGCAGCGTCGCCACGCTCGAGACAGAAACAAGCGCTATTCAGCCAAAGTTTCATAATCGGGGAACATTTTCTAAGTGACAAGTGTCTCTGAGAGACAGGGTGTGGAAAACACTCGCTTCAGTGAGAGGAACCTTCCCGCATGCGCTCTGGTTCTGCTGCTGCCTGTGACCGACGTGCTCCAAGCCCCTCTTCACATCTTCAGCTGTCCACCTTACGTGCACGCTGACATCAAGCTGCTCTGAGCACAGTGTCCAGTATAATGCTCAGATGTTCTGACGGGAATATTTGCTTGATTGATTTAGCTACCTCCGCTACGTGCATAACGACTAAAATGTCAGCGCATCTGCAGCCTTGAGGTTTCTCCGTAAATATAAATGGTCAAATACGGAAAATATCCGGTCATGCAAACCCTGCCGTTTAACAGTTTTTGCCTTCTTGTGAAGATTGCTGCAAAGAGGAACAATTAAACACGACTGTAACACCAGAGCCATGCACACTGCGCCCTTATCTCCGTCTCTGTAAATGAGGGAAACAAAACTAACTGATCGGATCCTTTTCTTACCTTTTCAACATCATTTAATGTAAACTTTCATTCACTGCAAAGTTTAATTACAACAATCCAATGAGACAGAGTCTGGATTTGTAATCTGAACAGTTTCAACATGTTTTAAAAGAAGATGCGTTAAAAAGCGGCACCTTCTCAGGCCCATAGGCCCACTCACAATGCTGCTGTGGCTCCCAGTGTTTTCTTTACTGAGGGAAACAGGTAATAATGGCTCTCTGACGGGAAAAGGTGCTGACCCCTGGTCTAGGTACTACTGCAAACACTCGCACACGCTCAGTGATTGACATCTGTGCGTAAGAGGATGTTCAACGCTATTAGCTAATGCCGAGCAGCGCTCAATTCAAATTGCATGTGGCTCTATGGGACAGGGAGCAGGCTTATCACACTATAGGGTAAAACAATCACTAAGGATTTATTTTTAAATTTATTTTTTTACTTTTTTTTTATTAGAACAACGACATTTACAAGGAGATGCATTTGAGTTTCTTCTTCCCCTTCTCCAGAGCAGTGTTTCCCTGAACAAAGTTCGAAGTTCCTTGTGTCCATAAGATCTTATATTTACATTCATATATCCAACATAATCAAATCACCAATCCAGTACTTACGTAGTTCTGACAAGCTTTCTCATCTTATCTGCTCTCTAATACATTCTACACTTTACTTTGATCTAGCTAAGTAACTCAACCAAAAGAAAAAAAAAGAATTGACAAATTAAATTTATAATAAATAAATAGTAATTTTTATATGAGAGTACTCACTAAGGATTTCTAAAATATCATTACCAATTTCTGAAAAGGAGGGAAACCTCCATATTGATTCTTTAAAGAAGCCTATACAAGGAACTGTGCAAGACCCAGGTAGAGATCCCTGAGGTACATCGTGGGTCGGTCATACGGAACATGTGCACAATCTTTTAGTCAGACGTTTTACCAAATACTCCAACAAATCAGACCACTTAAACCCACCACACACACTCTTGTTTTGTCTACTATATCAAATGAATTCCTTGTTTAATTAGCAACGTTTTCAATATTTGTTGCTTTGCATGAAATATGATGTGCCCAGTTTTTCAATTTTTCTCTTGTGTATCAAGAGAAAAATCTCTTGTGCATCTCTTTCCCAGCTCAGTGCAGAAGAGTTCAGAAGCTGAGGGGAAAGAAGAGGACAGTGCAGAAATGTGGAAGACGAGGGATGCCCAGCTAGAGGAGGAGGCACAACGCCTGAAGGAGGAAGTGGAGAAGCTGAGGGTGGAAATGGAGAAACTCGAGGAGTCGCAGAAACACTGGGAGGAAAAGAAAGAAGATGATGTAAAAGAAGAGGAGGTGGATGAGGAGAAGAAGAAAGAGCGGGAGGAAGAGAAGAGGAGAAAGGAGGTGGAGGAGATCAGGAGGGAGCACAAGAAGGAGATGCAGAGTTTGGTCTCTGAATACAGCAGCGCCCAGAACCACCTGCAAGCTAGAATAGTGGCTCTGGAGAACGAGTGAGTTGAGAGTAGTGTCAGATGTGAAAACGCTGTTGCTGATGGCTGCAGGTGTGTGAGAGAAGGTGTGTGTTTGTGTGATTTACCCGCAGACTGCGTGAGCGGGAGGATCGCTGCAGGAGAAGGGAGCCTCGATGTGATGACCTGCAGCTGGGGCGACTCCAGGAGAGGCTGATGGAGAGAGACCAGCTTATTAAACGTTTAGTGGTGAGAACACACACACACACACACACACACACACACACACACACACACTAATACTAATCTTCTCTGTAATTCAGACAAGGCATTCACAACCCAAATTCAGTTGGTTTTTCATATTTTGTTCCCTCTGACATACAAAACAAGACTCTTAAAGGGCAAGAAAATGAATTTTCTAATTTATTTAATCTTATTTTGTCAAGTCTATCCCCCACAGGGATCGTTTTCTGCTTTTTAGTACTATTTATATGTTTTGTTATTGTGCAAAATATGTAGTAGAAATCGTCCAATATGGGGTTTTCCGTTGCTGATACTGTTGCAGACATGTGGAGGTCAGCCTATGGCCGATATGTGGTGCTAATTATTTTTAGCCATATCAGGACATTTCTCTCATTTTCGATATACTAAAATGTTTACTAATAACAGAGTAGGCATAACATTTCTCAACCTAATCAGTTGTTCAGCACTGAATTTAACCAACTGTTCAATGTTAAATTGTGCACTGCGCTATATAAAAATCAAAGTTAATCAAACATCAGTAAATAACTGATTATCAAATATAAAATGTGGAGGTGAATAAAAAGAAACGTCAGATGACAATAATGTTTCCAAGCATTTATTAAGCAGGTGTTTATTTTTCAGGAACATAAATATTAAAGTAAACTTCTGCAACAGCGCCAGGCTGCCCACAGATGTCCCTGTTTTTAAATATGCTTTACTAAAGTAATATATTGGCCAATGCTGACATATAAAAAATGGTAAATATCAGTCAGATGTATTGAGCGACCAATATCTCAGTCTGTCGATAATATCTATAGTAAAAAGGCATATAATGATTATTTAATAAGTGCAGTTGCAACCTGCAAAAACAAATCACTCAAGTTATTAAATATTTTTACTTTACTTCACTACTTGTTTTCCTTTTTTTTAACCCACATTCATTATTTTTACATCTCAGATAAAAGTGCCTTAGAAGCTTCCTGCAGGTGGCGCCAATGTCAGGTTAAAGCCGAATTGTATTCCAAATACGTTTTATCTAAGATCATTTAGTCTGATGCAGTTTGGTCAGAAGTCTGTGTTTTTAATGAAATCTCGATACGTTTCCCTCTTTGGTCTGACCTCTGAGGCTATTTCATCTGATTTCTGTCGATGTTTTCCTGAAACCTAAGGATGTCCTAAAATGCACACCGTACTCCTGTCAGTTTAAGCCCCTCCTCCATAAAAGCACACTTTATCCTGATTAGTCGACAGACACAGGAGCAGAAGCAGAGGTTAAAGATGAAGTAGAACAAGCATCCAGTTTTGGTTCCAGTATTAGTTTTAAGCCCCGCCCCCTCCATATAAACTAACAGGACACTTTTCAGGCTTTAATATTAATATACACCTTATTTTTCCACAGTGTTGACGATATGTTACACAAAGTCAAGATTAATATTGGCACATTATCTCAACTTACTGGCATATCTGTTCAATAATAAAATGAGGAGTTCAGTGCTCACCCCGTAATCGGAAGGTTGCAGGTTCGAGCCCCACTCAGTCTGTCGCTGTCGTTGTGTCCTTTGGCAAGACACTTAAACCCCCCTGCCTCCTGGTGGTGGTCTGAGGGACCGGTGGCGCCGGTGTTCGGCAGCCTCGCCTCTGTCATTGCACCCCAGGGCAGCTGTGGCTACATCATTGTTCATCCTCACCAGCGTGTGAATGTGTGTGTGCATGGGTGAATGACTGATTGTGTTGTAAAGTGCCTTGGGGGGTTCCAGGACTCAAGAAGGTGCTATATCAAACACACATCATTTACCACTTTATCATGACTGTGGACATTATTGAATCAATACATGCCTAATGAAGGTCTAAAAATAGTCAAACATAAAACTGAACAAAATCAATAATAAATGATTGGTGTTTTTAGTATGTTGTGTGTTTATGATTGCCTACGAATGAGCTATTTCATTTGGCCTTTTTTTAAAGTGTTTGGAAGCTGATTAAATCATTGTTTGACACTTCTTAAATATGTATATATATATATATATATATATATATATATATATATATATATATATATATATATATACACATATACATATATAATTATTATTTATTTAAATGAAAAATAAGGCAACATTTGAACACCTTTTTAACATTTCTGTCCATGAACTTGTTCAAAGTCAGCTACAAAATCATCCCGGATTTCCAAGATGCCAAATTATTCGCTAGTTAGGCTGTCTAACTGTCACCTTCCCGCTGTACACTTCTCTTTTCATCTAGATTATCCTAAAAGTCATTTAAAAATTTATATTATGGAAATAAAAATTGTATTACAAAGGAAAACCTCCTCACTAACCAAACACACATGATTTATTTTTTGAAAGCATATTAAATTTGTAAGCAAATAATCAGGAAATATGTTTTTGTTCTATCATTCCTTAAAGTTTTTTTATCCCTAAATTTCATTTTCCAGTACTATACGTCCTAGGTTAGGCTACTAACTCACAAATCAAAGTTTATTTTGTTAAAATATTTAAAGGCACACTTTGCAGTTTTGCTTGCTTTTAGCACCCCCTAGTGCCTGTTATTAATTTGCTGAAAATGAAACATATCTCCTCGCTGTTCGTTTGTATTTTAGCACTCTAACTGCTACATCACTAAATCAAACAGATCAGCTGTGCTCACGATCTAAAACATGCAGGAAACAAGCAGACCCGGTCCATCAGAGACTGGACCAGAACTCTGAATATGCAAGTGAGATATTCTGGCCACAGCGGGTGATGGGGGTCTGAGTGACACGCCATTATCCCTGTAAAGGGCCATTTTAGCACATACTGGCTCAAGAAAATTATTTAAAAATATGAAAAAGTTGCATAGTATCCCTTTAATCAAAACAGCCTTAGCTGCAAATAACTGAACATTTTCCATCTAGTCACACTAATTTGAACAGCATTCCCCTTAATGGTGCGAGATCATTTATGCAGGAGGAAACTGCTTTAAGTTGAATGTCCTCTGACAAGGTGCTGTGTGGGCCATCTGTGTGACATGTGGGGGATTAGCAAACAACTATGCCCTGCAGACACATCTCAGAAGCAGAAACACCGTTTGTGAGTAGTGAACGTCCTTCTTCGTCCTCCTTCCCTGCAGGAAGAAAGGCATCAGCTGCAGCTACACCCTCCTGTTGCCGGGGACAACAGTTCCCCCAGGCTCCGTGACAGCAAGTCCCGCCCTGGGAGCATCACGCCAACCATGAGGGTGAGTTTGTCAGTTCAGCTCATGCGCATAATGAATTCATCACAATGTTCCTCCTTCCAGCTAAACAGACTTTCTGAACTGAAGCCAGATTCTGTTCTTGTGGGTCAAGCTCTGTGACCTGACAGCCTGCCGCTCTGATTTTAATACACGGCTTCCGCGGTGAGACCTCGCTTACTCTGCTCACGCAGCATTGGGCTAATACATATACACACTTTGTTTCTAAGCTTTTCTTCTATTTTTGGTTTTGAGTCACATTTAAATGTGTTAGTAAATACAAAATTTTGTTTAAAAAAGTTTTTATTTATCAAGGGAAAAATATCGCCAAGCCGTCTTAACCATGTGTGCAAAAGTTATCATAAATGTTTGTGGTGAGACACGAGTCTTCCACATTCTTGAGAAGGAATTTTCAGCCCCCAAATTTTTTAGAATTGTTTCACTCAGCCACATCGGAGGGTTTTCCAGCATGAACGGCCTGTTTAAAGTCAAAGGTCACACACTCTCCTTCAGCATTTTCTGCTAGAAAGCAAAATTCACGGTTCCATCAATTACAGCAAGTGGTCCTGATGCAGCAAAGCAGTCCCAGACCATCACACTACCCCCACCATGTTTGATCTTTAGTATGTTTGTCATCTGAAATGCCACAGACATATTTACACGCCTCGTGGACTGGCGCTGCCAATTGGATCTGCTGTAGTGGCTGGCCGCCATCTTGGATGGCTCTCTATTCACCCTCAGTGCATTTATTTCTACTACTGAGGAAGGTGCTTACCCAACTAAAAAACATTTTATTATGCCACTTCACAAAATCAGACATATGGTATGGCATGATAAATAAAATATAAATATACTTGCATAAAATAAATAAAAAGAAATTAAAATATACAATCCCAGCAGGTAGGCTAGAAAGGTAAAAGGTAATCAGTCCCATGTAATCTGTTTTCAATAGTATGCCGGTTGTGGCAACCGTACACAAAAAATGGGCATAGTTGCTCACCCCGCATTGACTCCAGTTAGTTTTAGAGAGTGAGGAACCCATCCAATATGGTGCTGTTATGCTTTCCAACACTCAATGAGGCATCAACAAGTTCATGTCTATGTGAAATTTATCTCCAGAGGTAACGGGAACACACACCTTTCAGAAAGTTTTGCTTTTGCCTCCTTGTTCAACAGAGTATCTTCCTAATAGATTTGTGATTATTACAATGTTTTTTTTTTTTTTTTTTTTTTTGTTAAACGTGAGATGGGTCTTTGTGGACAGCAGAGGTTTTGACCCTCATGACTGTCCTATAGAGAGCCATTTCTGCTCCTATCAACTTCTTCTTGTTGAACTCTGACCTCTGACTTGAAACTTAACGAAATGAGACCTGCAGTACTTTAAATCAGTGGTTTCTAACCCCCCAAAGGGCTCTACTCTGGGGGCCCCCACAATTTTGTCTGAACTGAAGTTGTGAGGTTACCAAAAAATAGAAGTTGTGGTTGGGGGTCCCGGCTTATCTTGGATTTAGGCAAAGGGGGTCCTCAAGGAAAAAGTTTGGGAACCACCGATTTAATTGTTGTTCTGGGTTTGTCTGATTCTGAATTTCTTTAGAGCGGGGAATGATGAGTTGCTTTTTGAGATCATTTAGCCTTCTTCATGTTATCTTACCTGTAATCTGGACTGGGTGTGTGGCTTCTGAAACTGAACTCAGGCGTCACAAAAATGTGATTAATGACACTTAATTCATTATTTAAAAAAGGGGTCAAAATGTTTTTATATAGGGCCAGGCTAGTTTGGATGGCTTTGTTCCCTTCATAAATCAAAACATTGTTAATAAATTGCAGTTTTATTTGTTCAGGTTACATTTGTCTAACATTAAAATGATTCGGCTGATCTGAAACATTTAAGGGAGGCAAGAGAAGCAAAACCAAAGGAAGTCCGTTATTGGGGAATAGATTTTTTCCACAGCACTGTAAACATGCTTTTGTGATAAACTGCTATAGTTAAAATGGTCTTAGGTGCTATTTTTGAATTACTTATAGGTTAAATTAAAGTGGCTTAAAATCAGGATTTAAATGGAAAATTGGCAACAGACTGAAAATAATTTAAAAAAACAGCCAAAGTCAAAAGAAATTCTTCTATCACCCTAAAGCAGCAGGTTGTAAATCTCTCTCCTGTATATGAATTTGTTTCTCCATCAGAAAAAAGGTGTGGAGTCGCCTCCTCGTGTCACCAGCATTCCAAGCGCTGCTTCCTACGACAGGAGCATCTTCCTTCCCCATTCCTCCTCCTCTACCTCGTCTTCCTCCTCCATTCATCCACACTCCTCCTCAACCCTCCCCCATCAGTCAAGCTCCCATCCTCATACCTCTCCTCACTACTCCACCTCTTCCCTTCCGCACAAGCACACCTCCCTCTCTCTCAGCCAACATTCCTCCCCCTCCCTGCCTCGCTCCACCAGATCCCGGACGTCCTGCATCCCCCCTACCCCGGCGCCAACTGCTCCTCTCCCGGTTTGTCCCTCACCTCCGACGGGCATTCGATATGTGTCCCCCTCCTGCCATGATCCACATACATACTTCCAGGGCCAGACGATCAGGTATGAACTTGATATCCAGGATGTGTGTGTTTTTAGGTTTTAAAAGACCTAGTTTCTCATCAGTCTCTAATTGAGGACAACCTAACAGGAATGCTTAAACCCATATTATCCATCCATCCATTTTCCTCTGCTTATCTGGGGTCAGGTTGTGGGAGCAGCAGCCTAAGCAGAGGCCCAAACTTTACTTTTCCCAGACACTTGGACCAACACTCCAGGGGAATCCTAAGGCGTTCCCAGGCCAGCTGAGAAACATTGTCCCTCAAGCGTGTCCTGGGTCTTCCTTTAGGCCATCCCTTGGTTGGATATACCTGAAAAACCTCACTTAGGGGGCATCCAAGAGGCATCCTAACCAGATGTCCAAGCAATTTCAACTGGCTCCTCTTGATATGTATGAGCAGCAGCTCTACTCTGAGCCCCTCCCAGATGACCAAGCTTCTCACCCTATCTCTAAGGGACAGGCCAGAAAACCATCTTTTGCCACATGTATCCACAATCTCCTTCTTCCGGTCACTACCCAAAGCTTGTGACCAAATTAATCAAGAGCTTCACCTTCTGGCTAATCTCTCGTCACCACGACAGACCGGTACGATGTCCACATCACTATAGACATAGTACCAATCCACCTATCGATCTCCAGCTCTATTTTCCCCCTCATTTGTACACGAGACCCCAAGATATTTAAACTCCTGCAGATGGATTAGGACTTTGTCCCTGACTCAGAGAAGGCATTAAATCCCCAAATAATAACAAATGGGATTGGAATGAAGTGGAAAACTGCCCTGTGGTCTGACGAAGTGGTATGTGGGTGTGTGAGAGCAAAAGGGTGAATCACGGATGAGCAACCATGTTTCCTGACCAATCAGAGTATGTAGCTTTAGGTAAGACAGGATTCCTCTTTCTGAGCTTTACAGCAGCTACTCATCTGACCTCATTCCCAACCCAGTTTCTACAAACTGCTGCAGGCTGAACTCCTCACCTCTCCAGGTCAGAGAGTTCCTTCTATAACTCCAATAAAAGCAGCATTTCGTCACCCTGTAAATTCATCTTTTCAACCCTCGTGGCTTTATTTACGGTCCGGAAGTGGCCGATGTGCATTCCCACATCAAAAGCTTGGGCTACGGAGAACAGGATTACTGATATGTGAGTCACTACAGTATTTTTGACACCTTTCCCGAGATTTTTAACCCTCCCACTGTCTTTATAGGTGACCCCGCGAGGAAAGTTGACCATTGAGCAGGACTGATGGTTTATCCCTTGAGGTCCACGTGGCAGGGGTGAGGTGGTGCTCACTCCTCACCCCTGCCACGTGGACCCAAGGGATAAACCATCAACCCTGCTCAATGGTCAACTTTCTTTGCAGGGTCACACCAATTAGGACAGTGGGAGGGTTAAACACACTGAATTAGTGATGCACCGATATGAAACTTTTGGGCCGATACCGATATTAAGATCACTGTTATGGCCGATAACCAATATTTGCCGATACCGATATACTGATGTTAGTCCTTCTAAAATCAGCAGATTTTGTATAGAATGAAAATGATTAAAGCTGAATTTACGTGAGTAAGTGCAAACAACACACACTTTTACTGTTCTGAGATGATTACAATCACTATCACATGACTAAATAAATACACATCACCCCCCTCACCGTCTGAAACAGGCAAACATTTGGAGACGAGATGGAAAAAATATTGGTAGTAAATATCGGCCCGGTTTTATTTATTGAACAGATACCGATACGTCTAAAAAATAACTAACATTGGCCGATACCGATATTGATACCGATATATTGTCCATCCCTACACTGAATCAACTCTACATTTAGTGATTTAAATTATTTCTGTGAACTACTTAAAACGTTGATATTCTTTCCGTCTGCTTTAGCCTTCCTTCACTGATGGTGTCTGCCAGTTTCTGCCACTGCTGATCAGTACACAGCCAGGTACAAAGGCATTAGTCAGGAGTCCTGACTCAGGACAGCAGGTGGTAGGAGCCTTTTCCCATGTTGAAGGCTTTTATTTTTGCTGAGAGACTGAGTGTCTGTTACGCTCTTAAAGCAGAAGAATTTAAAAAGTTATGGAATTTCACTAACGTCCCCAATCCCCCAATGGATAAACAAGAGTCCTCTGCAGAATACATGTTAGGTTATGTGGTGGAGGCTAGTTAACTGGGAAGTCTGAGACCCAGAGAAAAAGTCATTAGTGAGAACCAACCTGGGTCATCCAGTCCGAGTGTGGTGGGCCTTCTGACTGTTTTAGTTTACCTTTCATGCATGTTCCTGTGTTTTTATCTTCTAGTGGTTTGTTTTTGGTGTCTACTCATCTCTTCTGTTTGCATAAATAATCACTGAGTCCTTCTACATTTTCCAATTTTTGTTAGCGAGCTAAGATCCATCATTTTCTGACATAAGTCTCTCAATTGTTTTGAAATCCAAATAGCTGTGTCATTTGAAATGACAATTGTTTTTAATTTATCTAATTGTTTAAAATAGTGGATATTTTAGTTTAAAACAATAGTAAAATGCACCATTCTGTTGCTAACTTACATTATTCATTTATATAAAAGGAGCCCCGACTGATTTGACAGGACAGTGTGTGTGTGTGTGCGTGTGTGTGTGTGTTGTGTCTTCCAGGGGCCCGTATCTGGAGCCGAGGGGGACAGAAGGGCTGAAGCAGGAGTGGTTCACCAAATACTTCTCCTTCTGAGCACA